TCTTTGTGTGAATGAGCTAGCCTAACACAATAGTTATCTCATCATACTAGTGATTACTTTTTGTAATTAGTGTGGAATAAAATTGATATTCCAATTTTTGTAAAATGTAGATTCCTTCTATTTTAGTTGGCTTCTTATGGAGGGGATATTTACAAAATAGATTTTATATCCATAATTCATAAAGAATTTCATGCTGTTTTTTCTTGTACCAGGGTTTAAATTCAGGGCCTCGCACTTATTTGGTTTTCTTGCTTATGGCTAGTACTCTATCATTTGAGCCATTCCTTCAGTCCAGCTTTTTCCTGGCTAATTGGAGATGGAATCTCATGGACTATTTTGCCATGGCTAGCTTGGAGCCTTGAGATCCTCCAGCTCTTAGCTTCCTGACTCTATCAGATTATAGGCATGAGCCACTAGCAACCTGAAGAAAGAAGCCATATCTAAATCAGATTTTTTAATGATGATTAGCAGATGAGGCAGAAAATTCTAGTAATACTCTACTTTCAACTTCAAGAGAATGCCCAGATTCTTTGGATAGTAGAATGAGATTTTAGCTGGAAAATTTAGAACAGATTTTTTTCCTTAATGATAATTTGAAAGAAACATTTAGATAAGCATCATTTTACCTGATCATATGCACATAGTTATTGAGCCCTAGCAATCCTCTCCCTAAGAAAGTCCTCCTTTCTTCTCACTGTGTGAATGTTTAGACTGCTGTTTAATTAATCATGTCCAGGTGTAATTATTTATCTTTTACTATTCATTGGGTTTACTTGTAGATTTATAGGCATTATTATAAATGAGGGAAACCATGCAGCCTATGTGTCTCTGGGTCTGGCTTACTTCTCTTTACTAAATTTTTTCCAAGTCTTTCCATTTCCTTACAAATGGGGCAATGTCATTCTTTCTGATGGAAGCACAGAATTCCATTGTGCATATATATAGTATCACATGTTCTTGACCCATTCATCCACTGACAGGTATCTGGGTTGACTCCACATATGGCCATGGTAGACAGTGCTGCAATGAACATGGTCATGCTGATACTTACTGAAATGAACTCCAAAAAGTGGAAGCAGAGGTGTTTTTTTTTTTACTGTACTGTTTACCGTCCTCCTTTTTCCTCCCCTTCTGTTACTGTTTTGTATTCTGTTACTGTTCTGTCTTGTATATAAGTTTATCTGATTTGGGGAGGGGAAGGGAAAGCACAGAAATGGTGGGAGCAAGGGTGAACCAATTCAGCAGTGATACTCAGTAGACACTGTGTTGAAAATGAGCTACATGACTTGCATGGAGAGAAGTCAGGAGGGGGAAAACTGGGAGAGAATGAGAGAGAGGGTGACACAGTTCAAAAGGAAATGTACTCATTACCTGACTTATGCAATTGTAACCCTTCTGTACATCACCTTTACAATAAAATGTTAAAAATAAAAAAGAAACATTTAAAGTTGTTTAGGGTAATTTAAATGTCCTATGTGAAAGTGGTTTTCAGGAAATAAATGGTGATCGAGACATGCCATGATTTGTAGATTGAAGTTCTCATGAAGGATTATTTATCAGCACGCATTACTTTACCTCATTTACCCATTGGCTGAGTTAGTGCTTCAACTATTCCCTCTCCTTTCTCTTCTCTTTCCAACACTTGCTTTTCCATTTCATCCACAATTATCTATGCTTTCTCAGTAAGTTTTCCTCTACAGCTATTCACAAGGCTTATGCTGTTTCTTGCTGTGCTTTTGTGTGAGTGTTCTGGGGCTTGAACTCAGGGGCTAGGTTCTGTGCCTGAGCTTCTTTTTGCTCAAGGCTACTGTTCTATCACTTGAGCCTCTTGCTGTGCTTTTTAAGTGCCAAAATTGCTGTATTTCTCCCTGGTTTTAGAAAAGGAAATAAGAATAGAGAAAATGCCAAGTGCTGCCCCTGGCCATATCATAAGCAAGTGTTACTTTACCTTCCTTTGGATACCTTAATTAATTTGGCATATGGTTCTTCATTTCCTTTTGTCAGTACTGGGGTTTGAACTCAGGGACTCAGGTTTCGTAGGCAAATGCTCTACTACTTCATCCTAGGTGTGTTTGCATTTTAGAACTTGAGCTAAGTCAATCTGGTTTGAGTATAGGATGTGAAATCTACAGTCATTGTAGAATATAGTTGCTAACCTTCAGATAAGATGAGTCTGATTTTATATGGCCATGGACTAAAGATACAAATGTAGAATCCCTGCCTCCTGGTGGAAGCGGGGTGAATCACGATCATGACCCTGATTCCCAACCCCAAGGCTCCATCATTGACCTGTCTGGCCCTCTTGTCACTGAGCTTACTTGCTTTCTTTTACTGTCCCTTTAGTTTAGTTTAGTTTAGTTTGTTTGTTGTGCCAGCACTGGGGCTTGAACTCAGGGCCTCAGCACTGTCCCTTAGTTTTTCTTCCCTCAAGTCTGGTGCTCTACAACTTGGGCCACAGCTCCACTTCTGGCTTTTTGATGGTTAATTGGAGATAAGTTTTCTGCTCAGGCTGGCTTCAAACCACAATCCTCAGATCTCAGCCTCCTGAATAGCTAGAATTACAGATGCGAGCCTCTGGTACCCAGCTATTTGTTGTGAGGTAGAAGTGGTTATTTTTTTTTTACTCCCCCCGCAGTGGTTAGGGGACAATACTGTGTTCTCAGCAGAGACTGTACTGCAATTCAACCACGGCTCGGCAGGGACACTGTCATCAGTGTTCCATCCCTGGGACTCACTCTGGTACAGCATCTCCAGGTCTACTTTCTGCTTGAAATCTGATTAAGGGGTTTGATTCATTTTAGCCTGAAGCCTTTTGCTTTGTATTTACCATAAGCTCAAGGACACACGTGTTTCACTGCTCTAGCCTTGCACTGTGAAAAATCTCAACCCAATTTTGCTTAGACTAGACCAAAACCATTGTTGGTTGAGAATTAGTTGTAGCAGGCTGTTAGTCAAAGCTGTTAGGGTACCACCATGTTCAGAAGCCCTGGGGTTTCCAGCTATTTGGGAGCTTTGAAGTTCTCTGAAAAACCAGGTAAGGCAAGAGAAATATCCAATGCATGTATGTATTCATTCTGTAATATATTTGCCTTGGAATTCTGTTTTATTCAGCATTCTCCTATGTGTAGATAACTGCAGTTTTCTCAAAAAAGAAAGCTGAAAATATCTGACTTTATAAATGAGCTTATCATCTAGCTACTGACAAGGTACATGCTCTTTCTTTATTAGCAAGTTAAAAGATGTTTCTAAACCACTAAAGAGCTTACATAGGAAAATTTGCAAATTAAATTAGAATGTCCAGGTTTTTAATCCAATTTTGTATCTGATGTTGCTCTTTTCATTAAGAAATCTTTCCTAAGCCAAATGTTGTGTGTTACAAATTATTTCTAGTAGGCATAGTATTTGAGTCTCTTCTTATTAACTCTTCATGAGAGACAGTTTTGAGCAATATATTTATCTTTTCAGTAGGCCTTCTTCTTACACCATGTAAGATATATGCTTTTAATTTATTGAATGGTCTCATGTCTCAGTGTGGTATTTGTACAGAAATGAGACACCCAGGTTATTTTTAATCTCTTTATATTTGAAAGTTAGCACAAACATACAGTCAGGAATTTACTGGAATAATTCAGGCCTCAGATTCCAGAATATTCTTTTCCAATATTTGATAGCTTTTAGGACGGAATTCTCTTTCTTTAAATAGCTAACACATGCACGTATATTTGAAAGAAAAGCCTAGATGTCTAAGTGGTTTTACATCTTTCTTTTTATATGGTGCTTTTTTAGTTAGCTAGAATTTCCAAATTTCAGGATTATATATATGTTTGCATGTGTATAAAGACATGTCAGCATTCGATCTTCTTATTCCTCAGGCTTCTGCCTGAAAATATTCAACAGTGAAAGGTACTTCAATAAGGGAAGAAGTTTCTATGGGTATTGTACATGAGGTTTTCTTGGTCCACAAGTGGTCACCATGCCAAATTCTGTAAAACAGATTTACTATCTGTGAGACTGGTAATATGGGCCTGATTTTGATTAACCAGTTCACTTCAGTGGGAGGGTGGGGGTTGTTCCTGAATGGAGTTGTGACCAGCTATCTTTAGGGAGGGGGTAACAATGCTTGCCAAGAAATGTGCTCATTGCCTTACTTATGTAACTGTAACCCCTCTCTACAGCATCTTTACAATAAAATAAAATTTAAAATAATAATATGATATCTTAACCACAAAAACAAATAAGTATTTGTAATGTGTTGTTATTGTTTGGTTTTTAATTAAAGTAAACAGATAAGAACTGAGACATCTCTAATTCTTCATGCCTCTCCCTAGTTCTTGATTCTTTAAAAGCATCTCAGATCTATCTATCCAGCAAAAGACTCAGTACTTCTGATGACCTTGACCAAAATTGCTTTTTTCCTTTTTCTTTTTTTTCCCCTTCAATACATAGCTCTGGTTTTAGGTATTTATTTTGAGTTCTTGTTATTGTCATAAAAACTTTAAACTATAACACCGAACTATATGAAAATATTTTTATGCGTGTACCAGTCTCTAGGGATTGAATTCAGGTCCTAGGCATTTCTCCTGAGCTATTTTGCTCAACGCTAACTCTCTACCACTTGAGGCACAGCTCCACTTACAGCTTTTTGGTGATTAATTGGAGATAAAAGTCTCATGGACTTTCCTGTCTGTATTGGCTTTGAACCACGGTCCTCATATCTCAGCCTTCTCAGTAGCAAGGATTACAGGCATGAGCCACTGACACCTAGCCTGTCAAAGTATTTTTAACACATGAAATTTGATGGCTACTTTCAGGAAAGAGATAAGTCAAAAACTTGATTATAAGAAATATGAATTTCAGCACTGACATTTTTTGTATTCTGATTTCTTGGCTAGTTGATGTTTTTTCCTTAAATTATAAATTCAAAGACAGATTGAAAAATGTTTTCTTAGTAGATGTTTTATCCTGTGTAAGTATTCTAATGTTATGTTCTTTTCCCTTAGATTTTAACAAGAAAAATTTAAACTTCATTGGATTTCCACATCAAAGGAAAGTCCCAAGGTAAAATGGCCTTTGTTGAAGAAATCTTAAATTTTGGAGATTTGTAGTGTTTTTAAATGATTATCTGAAATTCCTCTTTAAATCCCTGAAGTGCTAGGGATTGAACTTGGGACCTTACAAATGCTGGGCACGCATGCTCACATTGAGCTGTACCCTAGCTTTCTCTTGTTCTCTTAAATTCTTATGAGTCTTAGTCATTAGAATATATGAAATAGGAACTGGGATGTAGCTTGGAGATACAGTGTATACCTAGCATGTGCAAGGTCCTAGGTTCAAGGAACTTGCAAAAACAGCAGACATATATATTTATATATATTATATATGCATATATAACATGTATATAATATATACATATGGGCACATGCATGCATGTGCATGAAGCAAGCTGGTTTAACAGTATGCTCAGGCAATAAATCTTTCTGTTGCCTTTAATGTGTTGGAGGAACTATTTGGGGCATAAAATGTTTCAGTCATTTGTAATTAATTGCTAATTTAGGAAAGACAATTATTTTTTTCACACTTAACTCTAAACTTGGATGTCCTCTTGCAATCTCCCAATCAAGTGTTGGAGCTTTTGATCTTTTGGAAAGGGGTCTCTCTCTCCCTCTCTCTCTCTCTCTGTTGTTCTCTCTGTCTGTCTCTGTCCTTCTTTTTCTCTCTGTTTCTCTGTTTCCTCTCTCTGTTTCCTCTCTCTGTTTCTCTCACTCTGCCTCTCTTTCTTGCTCTTTTTCTCATGTCTGTCCTTCCTTCCTTCCTTCCTTGCTTGTTTCCCTCCTTCCTTCCTTCCTTTCTTGCTTCTCTTCCTCCCTCCCTCTCTCCTTCCCTCCCTCCCTCCCTCCCTGCAGATTTCCAGCTGCTACCTGCCCATGAAGCTCTTGTAGCCTGAGCCTGGTCTTGTCATTTCTCTCCTCACCTGTCTATACTCCTGTATTTTGACTACAAGTTGTTTGGTACAATTTCATTTACTTAATGTTTTAAGTCACTGAGGCCCTGTCATCATTCATGTAGACAATGTAAAAATGACAGTGTGTACCATACAAGGAGCTACCCCTCAGCTGCTTCATTGTAAACCACTAATACCATTTTCAAGGAGAGGCACAAAGCTGTCTGTAGATCCTCAGGCATGAGTCTCAACTTGTGCTTCACTGTGCTTCAAGGGTCCAATCCCCTGTCTACACTTCACCTAGCCTGATACTCTTGTTCCTAGTGTACTGTGACATTCTCACCCTACTACATTACAACAAACACTTGCCTGACTTCTGTCCTCATCAGGCAGAGCTCAGTCCTGCATTTGAAAACTGAAGAGATGCTCTTATAACTCTTTGATTTGGCTTAATATAGCTAGGGCAAGTCCTTGATGTATCTTATACACGTGTGTGTATGGTAAATGGGAGCAATAATGACACAGGTCATTAGTAGCATTTTTTTATAATTGACTGATAAAATCATAAATATGATGCTTGGCATATTTATGTTTTGAATCTCTGACATGTTTTAAAAGAACTTAATATAACCCTGGCAGGTTTCTTGATTTCTTAGCTATTTTAATAGAACTAATCAGTGACTAAGAAAAAGGAAGGAAAAGAAAGGGAGACAAGAAAGCATTACTTATTTGAGGACAGGAAAAACAGGAAATGTACAGACAGTTGGGTGGACAGACTTAAATTGTGGGCACAGCAATTCAGAGAGTGTGGCTATTATTTCATTGTAACCTATTCAAAGGACACCATCTTACTAAAAGTAAAATGTCCTAGCCATATAAAAACCATAGGCCACACAAGAAATCTAGCCCCTCAGACACCAACTAGGAGAGCTTAAAAAAAAAAGGTAAAAGGGCTTTGCCCACCCCTCCACCCCCCTTGTCATGCAATGTTCTCTTGGACATTATCAGAACAGCATTTTGCTCTCCATTTAACAACCCCCTTCCAGCTCTCCAGGCATATAATTAGGTTAATAGGACACAATTAAAAAAAATAATCCATCCTGAAAGCAGAGGGCAAGGTCTTCTGAGATGATTGAAGCCAAGGAGGGAAGGTAAGGGGGTGGAAAATGAGTCAGAAAGCATGGGCGTCATGTCAGAGAAGATAAAGGCAGCTAGATAAAAATACAAAAGGTTTTCTCAATACTAGAACATCATAGAGTTCTAATTACAAAAATTAGCCCATACTTCAGTTATAAATGCAGATGTGGTTTCATACTGAAATATAGGCTTTTGACTTTTGGTTGAGGTATGACAGCATGCCCAGATCTACAGAGTTGACCCAGAAGAGGAAGGAAAGCAGACCCCAGGGAGCTAAAGGCTCACTGTTGTCAGTCCTGTGAGTGGGGCCTGGCTATGTGCGTACAGCTCTGATGACTCAGACAAGAGGAGAAGGAGACAGGGAGAAGGAGGTGTCTCAAAGGCTTTTGGGGGGAAATTGTGTTATATTTGCCATATAACAGGAGTTACTCATTCTACCTGGATGTGATGGTATATGCCTAAAGTCCCAGCTACTGAGGAGGGAAAGATCAGGAGGACCAAGATTTGAGGCTACCCTGGACAGAAAGTGAGGACCACTTCTTCCAATCTCAACAAATAAGCTGGGTGTAACTGGCATCATGCCTATATCCCAGGTACTCAGAAGGCTTAGATAGGAAGATTGTAGTTTGATGCCAACTCCAGGTAGAAGCCTGAGGACCAAGAACCTATTTGAAAAATAACTAAATAGAAAAGGAAAAAAAAAAAAAGGAGTGAAGTTATGAGCTAAAAAAACAAGTGGGTGTATCAGTCAGCTTCACGTTACTGCAGTGGTGTTAAGGGGGTATTACTCATTGATAAATTGATGTATGTTCCAGAATTCTTGGCCGAGATGCCTGGCCTGTATTCTCACCATTGGTTAGTGCATTTTTTTTTGGATCCGTCATGGGGCCTGGGCACTGTCCCTCAGCTCTTCAGCTCAAAGCTAGTGCCCTACCACTTGAGCCACAGTGCCACTTCCGGCTTTTTTCTGCTTACGTGGTGCTGAGGAATCGAACCCAGGGCCTCATGCATGCAAGGCAAGCACTCTACCACTGAGCCACCTTACCAGTTAGCACATTTTTATGTAGAAAAAACAAAGGGGTAGTAATGCTTTTTAAAAACCTGGTGGTTTCTTGTGTTGGTTTAAAGGTTTTGCATCATCCAGAACCCTCAGCAAACTGGCTTAGCCAGAGCCCAGGTTCCCAACCGGTCTGCTCGTTTTTTCTGTCTACCTATCTGCTTCCTCTGAAGTTATCTGTAGTGTGCAAGAATAGGGGAAAGAAGCCACAAATAAAGGAATTGTAGGCAGCCATGGGGTTATGGCTTGTGCATGGGAACCTGTGAGTTTTAAAAGATACTACTGTAGGGGGCTGGAAAGGTGGCTCAGTGGTAGAATGCTTGCCTTGCATGCATGAGGCCCTGGATTCGATTCCTCAGTACCACATAAGCAGAAAAAGCTGGAAGTGGTATTGTAGCTCAAGAGGTAGAATATTCAAATTCGTAATTAAATATTTATTTTATTACTTACTGCCATTCTGTAAGTAGGGTGCATTTCTACATGAATTTATTTTGTAGGTTTGTACTAAACTATACATCTGAAAATAACCATCACTGTCTTATAATTCATGGTGTAGACACTAGCACTAAGGCTAGATTTCTGCCTAGGCAGGTGTCCTGGGATCTTCAAGCCAGTCCAGCATGTGGTTTATAAAACTTAATATGCTCAATATTTTACTAGACCATATGTATGCTTGTCATTTATTTATGAATATAAGCTCTACTGCATTTATATGCAATAACCAGAACTTCAGATGGTGTACCATGTTTTAAAATGTGCAGAGACCCTTCAAACTTAATTTACATGGGTGATATAGATTGTTCCTATGCCCTCTTAGACACCACACATAGCAACTACTCAGTCTCTTCATTAGCCACTATAGAAATATACTGCCCACTCCCATGGAGGTACAAATGGAGAAATAGGTTTATGGGTATATCAATCAGCTTCACATTACTGCAGTGAAATAGCTGCCACAGGCTAGTCATCAAGTCAAGGGAGGTTTATTTGGGCTTATAGTTCTGGAGGTTCAAGTTCAAGATCAGGTGGGTCCATTTCTTTGAGCCTATAGAAGAAACTGAAAGGAAGAGACCCTGGTCCCACAGACTCCTTCAAGGACAAACCACCAGTGACCTAATGACATCTCACTAGGTGTCTCTTTCATATGGGCTTTTGGGGGACACGTATCCAGCCATGGAGAAGGCCAGCTCCACAGTGAATGCAATACATCACCGTAGAGCTGTGTACCCAGAAACCCTGGACATTTCCATTTCAGCTGCTCCTCGTGTGGAATATGTAAACTGAGGCTGAGTCATCCCCGTGGTGTACTGGAACCGGCCCACCCCAGGTTTTGTGCCTATCCGTTAACTTCAGTGTAGAGAGCCCTATAAGTAGCATAAAGTAGGCTTTGATGGACATTCTTAAACCATTATAACCCCTGGAAAACAATTGTTTTTTGCATGAGCAAGAGGGCTGAGTTGTGTATGCTTCATTGGGTCTGGTGGAAGTAACGAGGACAATCTTAGGATGTGCCTTTTAAGTCTTGCACAAACTTGTCCTCTTTCCCTCCTTTCTGATGGTACTGGGCCTTGAAAGTCAAGGCCTCATGGTTAGTAGGAAACCACTTGAACCATACCTCCAGCCCTTTGACTCTAGTTTGTCTTTCAGATAGAGTGTCTCACTATTGCCTGGGACCCACATCAAATCTCCTATGTCTTAAGTAGCTGAGATTACACGCATGTCTCACCATGCCAGCTCTTTCATACCTTTTATTCACACTTCGACTTCTTGGTTATTTGAAAGTATCTGTTACTTTAATATAACACCAGAAGACTATATATGTATCAATTCAACAAGCTGCTGATTTTCTGAGAAGAAAGAAAGTATACTATACAGAGGTTGGATAATTAACCCAAGCCTACACAGCTGTCCTAGAGTCTAGACAAAGTTGTCAATCTGAACAAAGGGAGACTTTGACCCTGGTCCAGCAGTGTTCCTTACCTTTCACAGCTGCTAAGACTAATACTGTCATTTATTTGCACCAAAAAGTATAATATTAACATAAATGTAAATAAACCAAAAGCATTCCAGTATACTCACCAAAATCAAACTTTATATTTGTGATCTCTATGTATATATTTTACTATATCTGCAAGTAGCATGGTTTTGATGTCCTGGTTTATTGTTTGTTTTTCACTTTCTATCCTGCATTTTAAATTGACCTCTGTCATCTTGTTAATGGAATGCTTTTTAGCTTTCAGAACGAGTTCACTCTTGAAAGTAAAGAGCAGCTTGCTAACCACAAAAGGGAACTCGATGCCAAGTTTTTAGCTGCACTTCCTAAAGGTAAGAGCTTTTTTAAATGGCTTAAGAGTATGTGGACACTGAATTGCACTGAGCACTTCTCAGACCTCTCCTTTGTGTTCCTGGCTCCTCTAAGAATTAGCTTCAGTCACTGTGTCATTTTCTCATTCCCTCATCTTTCTATTTGTTCCTTCCCTTGGACCTTAAGTATCCTGGAGTTTTCCCTGGAATCCAGATAAAGAGGGAGAGAGAATGGAGTTAGCATCTGGTATTCTCTCTTACCCTTTAGCCTCCTCCAAGGGTAGTAAGCTCCCCGTGTGCCCCCCACCCCCTACCAATCACTCTCTCTAGGGACTGCTCCCCTAGCCACTGGTTGTTTGCCAGTGTTAAGTGTTTTACATCTAATGGTGCACATCCAGCAAAATATTTGTACCTGCAAAGAATTGGCTCCCTGTACTTTCACCTCTGAAGTGAGAAAATGTCACTTGATTTTTTTTCCAACAATTGCAACACTAGCATGAGGGATGACCATTTAGTAATAAGAATGATCATTTAGCTAGTAAGAAGGTCCTTTAGCTTACAGAATATCTTCATCCTGAATGGGCTTTACAGGATATAATAACCTGTCCTTTAAAGATCAGGTTGGTAGGCAGGGCAGGGTTTTTTTCCTCTCTATTCCAAAAGGGAAAATATAAATCCGATGCAAAAGGAATTAGATCAGAAGAAATATTATTTTAATAGAAACTAAATGCAATTGAAAAGACACAGAGGAACTGAATGGATAGAACATCTAGACACCATCTGCGGCTGATGGGTAGTTGGTTGAAAGGCTCCATGTATTTGGACTGGGGGGGATGAAACTTGAACAGGCTGTTTAAGAACAGTGTGGAGAACTGAAAGAAATTGATAGGATTTCACATGAGAAAGCAAGCTCTAGTAGTTTCTCCAAACCTGGGGGTGGGGGTGGGGGCGAGGAACAGTAGAGCCACAGTGGTTGTTGCAATTGTGGATAGTACTGAACCCTGTACACACTGTGACCTTTCAAATACATGTGAACTAAGCACTGGAAGAGATTAGCAGCAGTAGTATAACACCATACTGTTATAAACGGTATATGGATGTAGCCTCTCTCTACAAAGAGTCAAGAGAGAGCAAAACATATTGTTTTAAAACCACAGTTGCCCACAGAAAGTAGAAGGGAACATAAAGTGGGACCACTGTCCTCAGAATGGAAGTGGATGCCATTATGATCTCAGAAGCTGTCCGTGTTAAATGTTCAAAGAGAAGGCACATGGCTATATGTCAGACTAGGATGCTATGGACAGTTACCACACAGATGCATGTGTGAACTGAAATGGTCCTTACAATTTTAAGATTAATTAGGAAAGACAATGAAACCCTTTTTTATTTTGCTTATAACACTTGTTTTTGTCGTTCTTATTTTATTAGTCTATATTAACTGGACAAAAACATGAAAGAAACTCAACTTATTATGAACTATACTTAAGAGCTTCACATCTATGGATATGACCAGAACAGACTATAAAAAATAAATAAGTATGGCCAGACATAGTGGCAGACACCTGTAATCCTAGCTACTTGGGAGGACTTGACAAAATTACAAGATTGTATATGAAAAACAAAGGAAAGAAAAAAAAGACTTGGTGTAACTCACATGGTAGAACACTGGAGGCCCTAAGTTCATTCCCTAGTCAGAGAGACAGACAGACAGACAGACAGACAGACAGACAGACAGACAGACAGACAGACAGAAGATTTTAGCCTTGTTGAGAGGAGTTGTCAGATTAGGCACAATCCCGTTTCTCAAAACTTTTTTCTTTCAGGCTAAAGGGACCATTTTCCATCACTCTTTTTGTTTTGTTTTTGTAAATAATACCATGGACAATGATTAGAAAAATCACAAAGAGCATGAAATTCTAGGCTCCTTAAGATAAATCATATTGGAACTTTATCTACAATAAGATTTAAAAAGATGCAAGTTTGTTCACCATTTTATTATCAAGTTTATCATAGTAGCAAAAATAAAATTTTCACAAATGTTCATTTCTTTTTCCTCACCCTGAATTTCAGCTGAGGTCCCAAGTCTTATTTTACAGTCTTTGCTTTATCTCTGGGCCAGGGACATTTGGAAAAACTCAGGAAGTCCCAGCAGTCTCTGTTTCTGCATTTTTAACAGTTATGATTAGTATGTTTGTCTGTTGGCTCTTATGAAAAGGAATTAAATATAATTGTTTCAGTGCCTTGGAGTTTTATATTTGTTTTTGAGTTTCTAGAAAATTCTTTCCATTTCTTCAACAAAAGTCTCTTGCTCCCATGAAACGGAATATAAAAATGGTCATTCCTTTTTCTCTTGGGGACTTTTATAACTGTATATCCACAAGCACAAAATCAAGGCATGAAAAACTTTCACCTGTGTAAAAGTTATAACAGGATAAGATTTTCCACTTTGGAATTTAGAAATGGGTCAAATACTTTATGATCTTTAACAGCTCTGTTAAAATGTAATACACATACCATGCAATTTATCCATTTAAAGTATACAATTCATTGGCCTTTGGTAGTCCCAGAATTAGACATTCATCACTACAGTCAATATTCAAGCATTTTCATTATTCCATAAAGAAATCCATATGCTTCCATCATCACCCTGCCTGGTCAGTCCTTTAGTGTTGTGATGACTTGTTTTATAAGCTGCTTGTCTTTACATCAGTGGCTGCCATCCAAATGTGAGACTTCAAGTATGTTCCCCCTGTGAGGAGTCTGAGCACTGTCTGGCCTGAGCACAGGCCTGGCCTGTGCTCTCAGGGTGTCAAATGACAGAGAAGAGTGGCATGCTTGGGCAGAACTATGGACTACTTTTTCCTTGGTGGACCTACTGCACTGAGGTTTGGAGAACCAAATTCAACAATGTCTTTGCCACAGGCCTCTCAGAGCTAGTTGAAGATATAACATGTCCCTAGAAATTTACCCAGCAGAAAAGTATTGCCTCAAAAATTGGTGTTACACAATGGAATTCTATGCCTCCATCAGAAAGAATGACATTGCCCCATTTGTTAGGAAATGAAAAGACTTGGAAAAAATTATATTAAGTGAAGTAAGCCAGGCCCAAAGAAACATAGGTCCCATGGTTTCCCTTATTTGTAATAACTAGTATATGTCTAAGTCAAGCAGAAAAGGTCAGATAAGTTGATGTTAGGGAAATGAACCCCAAGATAAGTATTCAGATTTTTTTGTTGTTTTCTCCTTTCATGCAATTGTTTCTAACATATTTATAAGATGATTTCTTTGTTGCTTTGTATGTCCCTCCCCCATGCTTTCACTGTATTTGATGTTGGTATAATTTGTGGAGGGGAAGGGAAAAAACAAATCCTTTCACTAGGGATACAGGTGGACCCATTGCAACAATGAGATGTCGTTATATCGAAAAATGAACTTTACAACTTTGGTAGGGTGTTGGGGGAGGATCGAGTGGGGGGAAGGGGGAGTAAGGAAAGGGATGGGAAGGGGAAACAAAGAGGAGGCAACAATTCTTGATAAGAAATGTACTCGTTATCTTGCCCATGTAACTGTAACCCCTCTGTACGGTATTCTCACAATAAAAAAAATTGATGTTATATATATACTTATTACAAAGAATCTCTTGGGACTGGGGATTCAGTTCAGTGGAGGAGCACTTGCATGGCAAGTTCAGTCTTCAACTCTGGGAGAAAAAGAAAAAAGGAAGAATTTTTTTTCAAGTGGCCTTATTAGAAAATGAACCAATCAACTCCTATCTGAAATTTCTATCTATTGATCAACAGGTTCTACATTTCCCAAGAAATCCATGACACATGACTCACATAAAAGCATAAAATCTTAATGTAACCAAGCGCTAGTGGCCCATGCCTGTAATCCCACCTACTCATGAAGCTGAGATCTGAGAATTGAGCTTTGAAGCCAGCCAGCAGACAAATCCAAGAGACTATTATCTCCATTAGCCTACAAAAAGCTGGAAGTGGAAATAGGGCTCAAGTGGTAGTACCAACCTTGATCAAAAAAGCTAAGGGAGAGCACTTTGGCCCTGAGTTCAAGCCCCAGTACTAGCACCAAAAAGAAAGAAAGAAAACAGATCTTAATATATTTGAAAGCAAAATAGAACATTACAACATTACTTATTATAACGGAAATTAGATGATCTATTCTTGTTTGTATCTGAATTGTGTAATGACTAATATCACTGAACCTAAACCACTCATGAATTGTAATTAGGAAATAGCATTCAGTCAATTGAATTGTGACTCTTTGATCTAATTTCAGAGAACAATTTTATTGATAATTGTTAGGAAATACTAAAAAAAATCTTGAAATAAACAAGCATCATGGCTGCAGCTTACTCTTAAATGGCTTGGAAAAATATTACAAAACTACCCATGGAGAGAGAAGAGAAAGAACACCAAATGTGTCTATAAACTTTTCTATTGGTGATAGATTACATTAAAAGTTGTTTAAAATTTTGAAAGAAAACTGTCAAAGTTGTCGGTCAGGCTTGGGATGTGACTCAGGAATAGAGCACTTGCCTAATATGCATGAGGTTCCATCCCCAGTGCTATAATACATGTGTATATATCAGAAAACTTAGACATACATATTAGCTAGTAGATAACTGAAATAGAACTGTACATAGCCCCTAAATATTAAGCAATGAACTTATAACATAGATTTCCACAGTGTGATTGTCCAACTTTACTAATACCTGAAAAAAAAGAGAGAGAAAATATTTATTTTGGCTCTTAGTTAACCAGCAAAAAGGTGGAAGGGGAGCTTGTGGTTCAAGTGGTAGAGTGCCAGCCTTGAGCACAAAAGCCAAACAAGAGCACAAGGCCCTGAGTTCAAGTCCCAGTACAAGCATGTGCACAAAAAAGAATAATAAGCCAGGCACTGGTGGCTCATGCTATCACCCTAGCTACTCAGGAGGCTGCCGTCTGAGGATCATGATTGGAAGCCAGTCCAGGCAGGAAAAGTCCATGAGACTCTCTAATTAACCACTAGAAAACCAGAAGTGCTGTGGCTCAAAGTGGTAGAGCACTATCCTTGAGCAAAAAAGCTCAAAGATAGCACCCAGGCTCTGAGTTCAAGCCCCATGACCTGAGTGATCAAAAAATAAATAAAGTTCTAGTTGTTGCTGTTGTTGTTTTTAATCTCACTTCATTCCTTAGTATAATGATCAGAGAGGACTGACTGTAAGACATGGTTTCCACCTCCCTACTCTGTGGTGGATGACTATTAGCTTCCAGGAGTGATCATTTGGAGCTCAAATCCACATGTGCTTGAGAAGATTTCAGTGATGTTTGTCTTGTCCAGGAGTATGAAAGTCCAGGAGGACAGGCAGTCTGGCAGAAATCTTTACACCTGAGTTGATGACTCTGAATCTAGGATAATCCCTAGGAGGTTTTGGAATCATGGGGGAAGAGGCATTTTTGTGTTACAGGAACTGAGAACTATTTTGCACTAACCAACAGTTCCCCTTAAACAAGCACCAGTGTACTGTAGCTGTCTGTGTCCTTTTCTAGGACTGGCCTTCTGAGTATGTGGACCAGATAGATGAAGAGCATCTATGTGTGTGTGTGTGTGTGTGTGTGTGTGTGTGTGTGTGTGTGTGTGTGTGTATGTGTGTTCAGTAATCTCTGGAGACTTTCCTTCCCACAAGTAGAAGTGAATTGCTTACCCTTGCCAGCACTCTATTCTTGAAGGGATGGAGAATATGCCCTGCCTGGGTCCCTCCCCTTGCTGTCCCTCTCCAGGCTAAGGTTGAGTTTCGGTGATGACCTGTGGCTCTAACCATTGTGGATCCCTGCTCATCTTCTCCTGGATCTTAGAGAATGTTGCTGCTGAGTGGTAATAGTAATAGGAATGAATAGTAGAGCTTTATCATGCTTGAGATGTTTGTGTGAGTTTCCTTCATTAGTGGATCATTCCTTGTGAAATATGGAAATGAATAATGGCTGGAAGCAACTTCCTTCTTAGCTTCTTTTTTTTTTACTGGTTGTAATCTTTATTGAAAATGTCTTGAGGTCCATGATTTCTACAGAAAAATTTAAAAATCAAAATTTAAAGTAGTAGACATGAATTTTGAACAGTCTTCTTTTAGAACAAAGAAAAAAGGTATATCTTAACTTTTTCCAATAAAAGTTATATTATGTGTAATATAATGAAGAAAAGGTTAGCATAATGGTAGTATTAATATACCACTGTGTGTATCTCAATTATGGGTTGAGGCCTGGGTTTAAACATAACTTTCAGGGCTGTTGGAATTAAATTTCAATAACTTATAGAGCAATCTTTTGAAAAATATAGACCCATTCTCCTCTTTTGGGCTTTGGGCTTTAAATAATTAAGTAAATCTCTTTAGTGTACATCATCCTTGAAAATTTTCAAAATGTGTACTACTGCCCATTAAAGTTTTATCACCATAATCTAACACAAGCTAATTCATTAACTGGGAAGCTGTTCTTGGCCAACCCCTCTTATACCATCCAGACAGGATGCTCCATTATTATAGCCTTGTGTGTCTTCTAAATAGGAACATGACTAACAATGCAGGTCTAGCTTACTTCTTCCTCCAGCTGCTTTGATTCTGGGGGAAGAAACAGGATAACGTGTGTGTGTGTGTGTGTGTGTGTGTGTGTGTGTGTGTGTGTGTGTGAGAGAGAGAGAGAGAGAGAGAGAGAGAAAGAGAGAGACAGAGACAACAGAGACAGAGAGAGAGACAGAGAGAGAAAGAGAGTGAGAGAGTGGGAGGTGGGGAGAGAGGGAGAGAGAATTCTGGAGCCTCAAACTCTCACTTGGCTTTTTCACTCAAGGTTGGTGCTCTTCTACTTGAGCCTTACCTCCACTTCCAGCTTTTGGCTAGTTAATTGCCTTCAAACTTGCCTTCTTGGGCTGGCTTTGAACTGTGATTCTCAGATCTCAGTCTCCTGAGTAAGGAGGGTTACATACATGAGCCACTGATGCCTAACTCATTGACTTTTTTGGCCAGTCCTGGACTTGAACTCAGGAACTGTGAACTGTCTCTGAGCCTCTTTGTGCTCAAGGCTAGTGCTCTACCACTTAAGCCACAGTGCCACACTTCTGGCTTTTTCCGAGTAGTTTATTGGAGATAAGAGTCTCACAGACTTCCCTGCCAGGCTGGCTTTGAACCACAATCCTTAGATCTCAGCCTCTTGAGTAGATAGGACTATAGGTGTGAGCCGACTACCTTAACAAAAGCCAGTTCCATTATAGTTGTAAGACAGCTGCCCTGAAAAATAAACAAAAACCAGTCATGCCTCTAACACAAGAGACTTACAAACATCGGGTGTGTAAGTGAATAGTTGTACCTCATAGCCAAAAAAAGAAATTCAAATAGTTATAAATCAGATTCAGACAAAAGATGGGATGTAGCTCAGTGACAGAACACTTGTCTAGTATGTGCTAAGGCCCTGGATTCAATTCCCACCATGGCAAAAAAAATAAATTCATTAAGTTCCTTGTATTCATGTCCTCTCCTTTTTGTTTTTCCTATAACTCAGCCTTCAAAATGATGCTGCCCTGGGCTATCTGACTACCTAGCCCCTCTCCTCCCTCTGTCATCCCTTCCTGAGTCTTCAATAGAATCCTCTCAGATGAGCCCTTATGGATCATGCAGTGAAGGAGGATTGCAAATGTGATCTTTATTCTCTTCCAATTTTGTTCATTTCTCCAAAGAAAAAATTGTTTGACATTTCAGACAATCATATCTCTGTTGACAACCTCCCAACCATCTGAATAATGGTTTGTATTTTTGTTTGTTTGTTTGTTTTGATGTAGGGTTTAGTTCCTCCAAAACACTCAGACAAACCACCTAAATTATTTGGAAAAAACAAAAGTTAACATTTCCTGCTTAATTAAATCATAGAATAAAACAGGAATCGCTATGAGTTCATGAAGGTAGATTGCAGATGGTCCTGTGGATTTCATAGTACTAGTTTGTACTTTTGTGATTGTTTTCCAGAATAAAAGCTTAAAGTAAAGGTGGGCGTGTGGTGTATACCTGTAATCCCAGATACATGGGAATCAGAGTTAGGAAGATGTTGTTCTCAGGCAGGACCCAGGCAAAAACATGAGACCCTATCTGAAAAAATAAGGCAAAAGAAAAGGCTCAAGTGGTATAGTGCCTGCCAAACAAGTACAAGACTGAGTTCATACCCAGTACCACCAAAAAGTCAACAAAAAGTAATAAGTCTTATAGTACTTTGTTAAACCTAACAGTTCAAAATAGATAGCTCTTGGAGTTTCTGTTTAAAGCAAAGCAAAAATAAATAAGTACCAGTGGTTCATGCTTATAATTCTATCTCAGGAGGCTGAAATTTAAGGATCGCACTTTGGAGCCAACCCAAGCAGAAAAGTCCACAAGACTTTTATGTTCAATAAACTAAAAAAAAAAAATGGAGCTATGGCTCAAGTGGTAGAATGAAAGAAGCTCAGGGACAGTGCCCAGGCCAAGTTCTAGTATTGGCACAACTCAAAAAGTTTAAAAAAAATTACTAAAGAGAGCTTACAAGTCAGGCCTCCTTTGACTTCCCTGGGTAAAGTAAACCTACTTTTTGAACCTGTACTTGTCGGTCCTAACTGTGATGCATGTGTATGTCTATGTGTACCCATACTCATTTGGAGTTTGCTTTCAATTAATCAGCAAGTTGGTCCATAATATACATTACCATTGTATAGAAGCAAAGAAGAGAAGTTAAAGTTGCATAAACAGGCTTCATGAATGAATGAGATGAATGCATTACTCCTAACCATGGGACTTCCCTTTGTCCTTTGCTTTGTTTCAGTTGCAGACTTAAGAAAAATCTTTGAACCAAAGAGGAAAGAGATTTTAGAAATGAAGAGGTAAGGGACTGAAGAATAGAGGGCTTTATTCACTTCTCACTCAGCCCTGATTCTTCCCATGATGATTTACTGTACCTTTCTTGGTGTATTCGCAGAAAAGAAAGAATTGCCAGGCGCTTGGAAGGAATCGAAAATGATGCCCAGCCCATCCTCTTGCAGAGTTGCACAGGGCTGGTGACCCATCGTCTCTTGGAGGAAGACACACCCAGATACATGCGCGCCACCGACCCTGCCAGCCCCCACATTGGTGAGCATGAGCTGCCATCCTCAGACAGGCTGTTTGGCATGTACCCACTGCTATTCCAGTCCAGCCCAATGGTATTGGAAAATGAGATGTTCAGCAACACTGAATTGCACGCATCTACTTTTTAAAAATTACATTAGTTGTGCTGGATGCTGGATGCTGGTGGCTTTTGTCTCTCATCCTAGCTAGGGAGGTTGAGATCTGAGGATCACAATTTGAACCACCAAAAAAGCTGGAAGTAGAGATGTGGCTCAAGTGGTAGAGCAACAACCTTGAGCAAAAACATGAGGAACAGTGCCCATGTCTTGAGTTCAAACCCAGTACCAGCCCCTACCCCCTCAAAAAATACATTTATTATGCAGAGGATTTCATTGTTACATTTCCACACATTTACTGTGTAGTCCAATCAATCTTACCTCCTCTGTCTTTCCTTTTTATGCATTTTTGTTAAAAAACAGTGTCAATACATAAGCAGTCACTACCTCATAGGCTTGGTCCTCCCATATTGCAGCAGTAAGAAATGACTTCTAGGGGTACATGGTTGAGTAACTGAAAGCCAGACATTTCTGCCTTAGACTTGGGACTCTTAAAGGTAATTATTATGTTTGTCTGTGTCTATCTGTCTATACCCTCAGGGTCTACTGTAGGATCTACTGTCAGAAACTTTTAGTAAATGTTATTTTAGTATTGGAATGAATGTGATAGCTATCTAAAACTAAATGTTTCAGTGCCTCGCAAAGTGGGGGTAATGGCCTTTGGCAGGGAGAGTAAAGGCAAAGCTGAACCTTGATCAGTTTTAATTCTTCCTCTTAAGCTTTTATTCAGCAGTTTACTTAATTTTGGTGTATGTAGATATACTGCATATGGGTTTTTCTCTTTCTCTTTCTCCCTTCCTCTCTCTCTTTCTCTCTGTCTGTCTGTCTGTCTCTGTCTGTCTGTCTCTCTCTCTCTCTCTCTCTCTTTGTTTTTTTTGTGTTGCTTCTGGGCCTTGAACTCAGGGCCTAGTTACTATCCTCAAGCTTTTATGCTCAATTTTAGCATTCTACCACTTCAACCACAGCTCCACTTTCAGCTTTTTGGTGGTTAATTGGAGGTAACAGACTTTCCTGCCTGAGCTGGCTTTGAGCTATGATCTTCAGATCTTAGCCTCCTGAGGATTATAGTCTCGAACCACTGGCACCCAGCTAGATGTAATATTATATAACATGTCAAATGTGACCTAGCTTTTGCTTGATTCCACAGTCACTGAGAGTCACTGTTATGGACACCGGATGTCCAGTTTGACCTTGACCCCAGCAGAAGGGGACCCACTCAGAGCTGATGCTCCAGTCCCCAATCCCTGGCTTCCAAGCTCTGTGCTACTATTTTGTTGTTGTTGCCAATGTTTTCTAGTTTCTTCCTTAAGAAATAGCTGTTGATTTCACATCATAATACTATCCATTTACATGTGTCTATAGTTTCTAATTTCCTGTGGCTAGAAAACCAAAACTATTATTTCTAATTATATACAAGAAGAAATAAGAACTGGTCAGAATACCAAAAATTATAGCCAGAAATGAAATATTCAGCTATGTAGTTTATGCTTTTACATCATATAGTAGTAAGATAGAGAGACTTGTTTTTGAGGAAAAACTCTCACTGTGTAGCCCAGGCTAACCTGGAACTCAAAATCCTCTTGTCTCAGCCTCCCAAGTGCTAGGTTTACAGCACCAATAGGAAAGAATTGTTTAATAAAATGATACTGGGAAATAAACTAGACAATGGTAAAAGAGGGACACATTCTTTTTTATACTTCATACCAATCCAAAAAATGCATTCTAGCTACTTGAGCTATTAATTCAGTGAAAATAGTTGGTAAACATGAAAATATGTACACTGAGCTCAAATAGATGAGAAAAGACTTTCAAAACACAGTAACAATGGGAAACAAATCACCAGACAATTAGATCAGCTGACCTAACTGCTTAACAGTTAACATATGCACTTCTAAGAAAATCTTACAAATGCTTACACATAGAAGCAAAGTTAAACTGTAAGCTTGTTTGAAAATATTTCTGAAGACAAAGGCCTAATGTTCCTATTAAAGTTTACGCAAACCAATAACAATGATGCCATGAATCAGTGTTGCAAAGAGCAGTAAGCTTGAGCAGACATTGCCTAAGAAAAAGAGAAGGAAAATGATTAATAAACAAAAGAGAAATACACATCTTCCCTTTTTTAATGATCAAAAGCAATTTTTAAAAAAAGAAATAATCTGTAATTATGAAGAGACACATATTGCAAATATAAGTATGAACAGATACAGACTTTATAGAAGTTCTTATTATTTTTCAATACCATAGTGGAAACAAGGCCCTACATGTTAATCATTGAGCCATTACTACTGAGCTGCATTCCCAGCCCTGTAGAGATAATTGATAATTTAGAAAATACCTTAACTTGAGTGTTAGTGGCTTATGCCTATAATCCTAGCTACTCAAGAGACTGAGCACTGAGGACCAAAGTTTAAAGCCAGCCTAGGCAAAAAAGTCCAATTAGCCAGCAAAAAGACAGAAATGGAGATATGGCTCAAGTAGTAGAGCAAAAAGCTAAGGAACATCATTTAGACCATGAGTTCAAGTTGCAGTATGACATAATAATAATAATAACAACAGCAACAATGATGACAACAACAAAATAAATAAGAAATTAATGGTGGTTGAACATTGAAGAGCACTGGAGAGAAATCAGTCAGTCCATGGCAGCCTAGACACTCCACTGCTCATGGTGAACAGTGTCAAAAATTATGGATATGTGTCTATGCTTGATCTCCGTATGTATTATTCATGTGGTCTGCTTGTAGGCCGGTCCAATGAAGAGGAGGAAACTTCTGGTTCTTCTTTAGAGAAACACACTCAAGCTCAGTGCTGCACTGAGACCACAGGCATCCACAGTGATCCCACCTGTAGTTCAGGTTCCATGGACACTCACAGTCTTGAGTCGAAAGCTGAAAGAATTGCGAGGTACAAAGCAGAAAGGAGACGGCAACTGGCAGAGAAATATGGACTGACTCTGGATCCCGAGGCTCACTCTGAATATTCATCACGTTATACCAAATCCAGGAAGGACCCTGATGCTGTGGAGAAACGAGGAGGAGTAAGTGATAAGCATGAAGAGTCAAGTTCTCCATACTCTAGGGCTGAGGGCCTGGGGCTCAGGACCTCCATGGTGGACTCCAAGGAATACACCCTCCACTGGAATGAAACTTCTGACAAGGAGGTGCTGCTCAACGTGGAAAACCAAAGACGAGGTCAAGATCTGAGTGCCACCCGCCAGGCCCATGACCTGCCCCCAACAGTGGAGAATTCCTCATCCTTCTCATTCTCTGGGCGAGGCGCCTCCATCACCGAAGTGCCAAGATCCCCCAAACAAGTGCCCAGCTCCTCCCTTCAGCAATCTGCCTCCCCAAACCACTCCATCAATGACCCCCCGCTGCCCTCTGAGGCTCGATCCAGGTAAGCACAGGGTATGGTGCCAACTGAGACAGGAAATCCAGGACTATCCTTTCCCTTTGCCTCGGTGCAGTGTAGTGGGAATGCAGTTCACGATCTCTGCAGGTCTTTGCTCCATAGGGAAATAAGATCTTTTTCTTTTCCATTTATAACAAACAGGTTCTTCCAAAGCAAGATGCTTTGTGTTCTTTCTTGTGTACAGGTTTGGTGTCATAAAGATACTTTCACAGATGCCTCACTACAAAATCCATCCTTTTACTGTGTGTCTCATTTACCGTTCATAATTGCTATTTTTGGTTCATTTTTCTGTAGTGGTACACAAGATTTAGGATGCTTCTTTCATTTACCATTCATAATTGCTATTTTTGGTTCATTTTTCTGTAATGGTACACAAGATTTAGGATGCTTCTTTTATTCTCTGGCAGTAATGAGGTATGAACTTGGGGTCTTACACTTTCTAGGAATGTGCCACGTGAGCCACTCCACAAGCTCTTTTTGTATTGGTTATTTTTGAGATAAGGTCTTGCTTTGTGCCTGACTCTGGACTGTGAGCCTCCTATCTGTGTTTTCCTGTGTAGTTGGGATGACAGGTGTACACTAGCACACCCAGCTGGTTGAGATGGAGTCTCAAGAATGTTTTGTCTTACTGGCCTTTCATTATAATCCTCCAGATTTCTAACCTTTCAAATAGCTAGGATTATGGGTATAAGCCACTACAACAGGCCAAGAATTAGAACTTTTGTTGATTGCTTAGTGTTTAGAACCCCAAAGCAAATATAATGCTAATCAGGGAAGAGGGCTCAAGTTGGGATATAGACTCTGACTGCCTCATGTACTGCTAAATGTAAGTATAATATATGGTTACCTAAGTATGCCTGTACACTAGAGGAAATTTTCGTGTACAGACCCCTCCAACTCCCAAGTAACTGATATTACAGATGAGTACCACTACACTTGGCTGTGATGCAAGCTGTTTATTGACAAGAATGACACATGACTTATCTTTGGTACTTCTCAGAGCTTATTTAACTCACACTATTATTATTCTTCACGTAGTAGGAACTCAGTAAGCATGTCAAGTGAACCTGAATTACTAATTGTACTTGTGCTATTGGCTGCATTATTCAGTGTAAAGGAAAAAATGAATCAGAAGAATGGAGCAGGGTACTACGCTTAGAATGAAGTTTTTCTGCAATATAGTAACATGTTCATTAAACTTCTAAGAATGGGAAGCGGGGAGGAGCGGTGCAAGGCACTTACAGCTTATTTCTGATTACATTTGCTCATTCCTAATGAGAGGTGTGAGTCTGAAAACCATCTCCAAAGTCTAGAGATCCTGTAGTGCTTGTTGAGCCTTGCCTGTGGCCATGTACTAATAGAATGTGCACAGGAGAACATAGGCATCGCATTCAGTGCCCTGCCTCAGCTTGGTCTACTCTGGCAAGGAGAAGTTCTAATATATGCCCCAGGAACCTGTCAGAGTGTTATGAAAAGCAGATCTGAGATCTGTTCTCTAAGGAGTCCTCCCATGTGTCTCACAGATTCATTTCATTGGGAGACTAGAATCATCCCTACCTTTCAACCCCTGGACTTGCAAACATCTGCACTCCCCACCTTGGTAGCTTTTAGCTGCTGATCTATGGTTAAATTTATTCCTACTTTTTTGTGACATATTTAATTCTGTTCTCACTGCCAAGTGGTATTGAATTAAATATGAATATCTCCCAAAATACCAGCAATGTACAATATCTAAAAATTCAAAGTGTATTCAATTTTAAATGTAAAATTATGTCTGGGAGCACAAGCTCTTTTATATTCATGCACCTGTGCACTTATACAAAGCAGCAATTTTTCTATCAGGCAGTTCTTAAGAAATCATCTGTAAATTTTAATGAGATACAGAAATACAGAAGTTAACTATCCATTATTCTGCAGCTGAATATGTGTTTTGATTAGAAGCTTTTATATAATTAGTGCTGGACACCCACCTGATGAAGCTAATTTTATTGGTGTGATGAAAACAAGCATTTCTTTTAGAAAAGGTCTGGTCTGTAGGCAAGGCTAGTGTAGAACTCACTATACTACCAACACTGGCCTACATGATCCAGTTTTAGCCTCCTGAATGCTGGGATTATAGCCATATACCACCACCCTGGTTTAAGAAGCACTTTTTGTCTATTGACTTTTAGGTGTAGAGGGAACTAAAAGCGTATACTATTATGTACTTAGGGATACAAATTAAGAGTAACTAACCATCAGCTTCTATGAAACTTTAGGGTGAGCTCTTACTAATAATACAATTCTCTGCTAGCCAGTTACCACATCAAACACCATTTTACCTAAAATCACTACCTCCTTGTTCAGTGACCCTATACCTCTCTCCCAATGCAGATAACCTCTGCCCTACAGGGGACTGAGCTCACACCAAGACCCCACAAAATAAATTTTCTATGCTAAAGAATTTTTAGATTCATGGGACCACAGGTTACCTTGAAGATCATTTAGTTTAAAGATCTATTTTATACATAGGAGAAAGAAACCAAGGACTGGAAAGATGAGATTTAAAACTACTTTGATAAAACTGAGACCAACAGACTAGATGTCATAGTTTATTCTGTAATATTGGCTACTCTGGAGGTATAGATAGGAGGATTGTGGTTAAAGGCCTACTCAGGCAAAAGCTAGCACAAGAGTTTATCTGAAAAGTAAACTAAAAGCAAAAGGATTGGAGAGTACGGCTCAAGTGAGATCATGAGTTCAATCCCTAGTATTATAAAAAGAAACAAAAACTGAGACTATCTGTCCATTTATTCATGTTCTCTGTTTACTTTGGGGTTTTTTGTTTTTGTTTTTATTTATGTATCTCCCATCACAGTTGGAAAGAGTTTGCTGGCTTACCCTTTGAAGGTTAGTGATTCAGCAAAGATTATTCAGGAGCCTTATATAAATCATTTTGGATAACACACACACTTCTTAAAAACTTTGTCCTTATAATCAAAAAAAGAAGTTTGTAGTCTAAGATGATTCATTCGTTAGTCATCTGTCTGCCTCATCAGTGTTGATTTCTGAGTTAATTTCAGCTCTAATGGAGTTGATTATTTAAGAAAATTATCTTGAGCATTCTGGGTGTGTAACATTGGACTCAAAGCTGGGAATATCATTTAAAATGTGAGAAGTGATCACGAGACCTGGGTGATAATTTTTGTAGAGAACAGACTTGGGTGTCACCAAGGATAGCCTATCAACTCTTTTCCCTTGGAGAAGTGATCATAGTTAAACTAAGGCCAAAGGATGTAGTGAGTTTGTCAGGATAGGAATGAGATGAGAAACCCAATCATGGGACACCACATGTGCCCTGAGAAGACACTTGGTCTTTGCTTTATGGACAGTGGCAAGTGGATGAAAAGTTTTAAACCAAGGATAATAGGTTATATATTTGAGGGGGAAAAAACAAAGCACAGTGGAGTAATGTGGAGAACAGGTATAAAGAATAATCCATTCCAGCCAGGAAGTGTGAAGAGAGGGATGGTCACAGTTACCCAGGCTTGACAGAATGAGGCCTCTGGTCCTGGACTTTGTCATTCCCATGATCCTCTTGGCATTTCATTAATTGAACTTGGGGATGTTGATGATAGGGTGGTTGGATTTCTAAAGACTTGCAAATGAGTTTCATGACAGAGGAATCAGAGAGAGGAGAGGGAGATGGAGGAGGAAGAAAGATGAGAAAGAGGGAAGAGAGAGAGGAGGAGGAGAGGATAAGGACAAGAGAACCCATAGAACAATGATTAGTGCGTTAGCTTCCCATTACTATAATGAAATAATATAGGCACTTAAATTATAAACAGAAAAAAGAGTCATTTGGCTCATGAGTTTGGAGGGCCCAGTCTAAGATCAGATAACTGCATTGCTTGGGCCTTTGGCAAGAACAACACACCATGGCAAGAGCTCATGGTGGAACACACCACTTAACATCACCAGCCAGGAAGCAAAGAGAAAGACTGAAGCACTTATCATTATCATTATCAGAGGTGTTGATGCTAAAGCAGATGTGGTATCGGGGACATACTATATCAGCATGGTCACTGTGGTGATAATAATTCTTCTAGATAAAGGAAAAATGGACAAGCAATGGTACATTATGAACTGTCTCACAGGTCCGCTTCACTTAGATCTCAGGAGAAAGGATCATGGGACATTCTAGAACAAAGCTGCCTCACCCTACAAGAGGACTGAGAAGTTTTATTGTAATTTTCCTAAATATTGCCAGCTTCATGATGTAGGTATTTATATCAGTTGGTAAGGACAATTTCAACAACTACTTCAGCAGAGACTTAAGAGAAGAATACACAACTTGTCTTAATCATTTTCATATCTCTTTCCCAGATCCAGCCCAGCATGACTCAACAGATTATCTACTTTTTTATGCCTATTTGTTGTTTCTTTTAGTTTGCAACCGTAAGGTTAGAAACTAGGTCCTGGAACATGCTAGGAGAGCCCCCTACCACTGAGCTACATCATATCTCCAGCCCAACAAGTCACTTCAAACTGAATGCCCTGCTGTTTTCTATATAAGTTTAAACAGTCACCAAACTCTAGCAGTGCTGCATGCAATATCCAATCTGCAGACTCTGTAACTTTTTTTTTTTTTTTTGGTCGGTCGTGGGGCTTGAACTCTGGGCCTGGGCGCTGTCCCTCAGCTCTTCAGCTCAAGGCGAGCGCTCTACCACTTGAGCTACAGCGCCACTTCCGGTTTTGTGGTGGTTTATTGGAGATAGGAGTCTCACAGTCTCTCCTGCCCGGGCTGGCTTTGAACCGCGATCCTCAGATCTCAGCCTCCTGAGTAGCTAGGATTACAGGCATGAGCCACCAGCACCGGGCTAAGACTCTGTAACTTTTAAGAGACTTGTGCCTCAATATAAATCATCGATTGCTCTCTTCATCAAGAAAGCCATGCCGTGAAGAATTCTGCTGAATGTAACAGCAGACTTGGTGATATTCATTTTCTTTGGGTTCAAGCCTTTTATCTTATCATGGTCTAGAGGCACCAATCATTTGAACACACCAAGAACAGAGCTTGTTTATACTGCAGCTCTTTTCACATTGCCTGGGGTTGGAATTCTGTTATATGGTCTTGAATCAATGTTATCATAAATAGCAAACTGTGAGAGAGGAGCATGAAAGTGAACAAACTATTATGGGCTGCCTTGTGAACTCAGGTCTCAGCCCTGAAAGACTGAGTACTGATGCTAACAGTGAATATAATAAAGCTTCTTCTCTCAAGATATTACCTGTCCAAGTGAGGATAGGGACATAGTAGAGGGGAGAATGACAGGACAGCGTGTGTGAATGTGGGTGGGCAGATCAGGGTATGGAGGCTTAGAGTGCATTCTGAGGGCTTTGGGTTTTATCCTAAATAATACACATATATATATATTATATATATATATATATACATATATATGTATATATATGTATATATATATGTATATACATGTATATATATGTATATATATATATACATATATATATGGATATCTATAGCCATGTAAAGGTTTCAAAAGGAGGAATGACCAATATAGCTTACATTTTCAAAGAATTGCTATACCTGCTAAACTGAAAGATTATAGATGAGCAAGGGAAAAATATAGGTAAACCAATCAAGCCATCATTTCTGTAATAAGTGAGAGAGATGGGAGTGTGAGTTGACCTAAAAGGCCTAAAAAAAAATAGCCTACATTTTGTAGAATTTGCTGGTGATTTAATGTGCACTCTGTATGAAACAGAGAAGTCAAAGGTTAATCTCTATGGTTTGGTTATTTGCCATTTGGGGAAGTAGAGTAGATCCCAAGACAAGTTTTGTTTGTATTTTGGGTAGGCTAAATTTGAAGGTGAAGGGTGCTGGGGATTGACTTCAGAACTTCATGCATGCTATGTATATATTAGGCTGCCTGACCAGCCCTTGTGTATGTTGAATTTAAGGCTTATACTGTATTTCCAAATGGAAATATCAAGTAGTCAGTTGAATCGAGGAGTATGGAATTTAAAGGCAGATGCTCAGGCTATTTGATGGTAGATGGACAAGAGGAAGGCTAGAGACCATCACAGGGACTTTTTAGTCTGGGTGAGAGGGAGAATCAACATTTTTTTAAAGCTGGTAAGCGAGACAAAAAGCAGATGGAGGGGTAAGCATTGGTATCCGGGCTACTGGCTTGATAGTGACCACACCCCATGTAGGAAGTCCCCAGGGTGTGCTGTGCACAATATGTAGTTATCAAATTGAGGTCTTTCCTGATCTTCCTCGCTGTCTTTTCCTCTTTCATTGGTAGGAAACCTCACCTAAATATTTATTAGCAAACTTCAAGGATCCTGGAAGCCTTGTTTGCAGAAATTCTGTCCTAAATTATTCTTGCTGAGCTGGAGTTATAGTCACTCAGTGATAGATCATTTGCCTGCATGTGTAAGGCCCTGGGTTTAATCCCAGCATTGGAAAACTAAGCCAAACTAATCAGCCAAATCAAACAAACTAAATCTCTCCTGCTTTCAATTTTATGACAAATGTAATTGAATGACTTCCGAATGGAATTTCTATATATATCAACTCATTATAACTCATATACTTACAGTTTTATGTTGTCTGTGAAGAAGAGGAGACCACCATGTGGAAATGTTTAGCATGTTCTATGTACAATGCCTTCACATAGCTTTGTTTATTGCTTTTGAGTAAGATGCATTTGTGTATGTTATATAAGATGTGTTAGGCTTGGAGTCCTTGTTATTATGATAGATAGTAGTTTGGTTTGGGGCTAGTTCCTTATTCTAGCAGCAATGAGACATGGACTTCAGCAAATCCTACTGTATTTGGGTATAATTTCCATTTCATAAATGCCAACCCAACCTAGTTTTGACCAAGCCTCTGTTCATTTTTTATGGTGATACCACTCAAGTTGTATACATGGTCACATTCAAAAGTGTTGAATAGAAACACAGAATTTACAAAAATACTCTCATAGAAAAAGACACTCAACCTTTAAAATAACTGTGAGAGAGATGTGTTCACTATATTAATTTGGTGTTGCTTTCCAAAGCAATGATGAAGTGTTCCCTTTTGTCTTGCTAAGTTTTATTAGGACTTTTCTAGTGGCTGGGTGCCTGTGGCCCGAGCCTATAAAACCTGGTTAAAACTAGAGATTACAGTTTGAAGCCAGCAAAGGCAGTAAAAGTTGGTGAGATTCTATTTCCAGTTGGCCGGATAAAAGGCATGGTTCAAGTGGTAGAGCATCAGCCTTGAATAAAAAGTTGAGTGACTATTCAAGATGTTGAGTTCACAGTGCTTGGGGGCAGGGGAGGGGAGGGACGGGAAGGCAGGGAGAATTCCTTAGCTGCACATGGTGCATTGAACTATTCTTATGTTCAAATAAAAGCTGGGAAACAGAACCCTTTATGACCCCAAAATAGAATGATTTTATGTATGTCTGAATGCTTTATTTCCTATGAGGTAAAATTGCTGTAATGCTGGGAATCAGGAAATGAGTGATAGATTTGGATGTAGAAAAACTGGAGGATTCTACAGAACCCCAAGCATAAAATAGGACTGACCAAGGGGTACAAAAGATGTGACCATCTTTCACCAGTCAGCTTGAACCAAAGTTTGAACTAAAATAATTTTAGAAAATTAATTTAATTGCAAATCTTATTCTACATTTTTGAAAGTTGCTTGGAGCGTGCAGTGTGCTTCCAACCTGATGTTGAAACTTTGCAGACAGATTCTTAAGTACTAAGCTGATAAGTGTTTTAAATCACCTGCTAGATTTCTGGTCCTTTTTAAAAAAATTTATTTCATTATAAAGATGCTGAACAGAGGGGTTACAGTTACATAAGTAAGGTAATGAGTACATTTCCTGTCACGCATTGTTACCCCCTCCCTTGTTTCTCTCCCACTATCCCTTCCCCCTCCACGTGGTAAGAGGATGTAGTGGGTAGTTTGGTTATTCCTCCTGTGGTTTGTTTTGCATTGTTAGCACAAGGTTTTCCTGGCCTATGATTTTTCCTAATAATATCTTCAGCATGCTTTGGTTCCATTCTGCCTTGCATTATGTATTCTTGAGTGTTGAAGAATGGATGGGTAAATAGCATGTAATCTTATAATGCAAGGTTTGTCATGGCCAGGATAAAACCCTTTCTATTATTACCTCTCAAATCTTACTTAATTTAGGATGTTTTACAGAAAAGTAGCTAACAGAGAATTGTCTAAGTGACCTGAATAATTAGCATTTGTAACTGTATTAGTTACATCATTTTTGGTAATAGCCACTAAAGATACGATCTCACCAGAATTTTGTTTTATATCCTTCATGTGGCAATATATTGTTTGGCATGGACCTTATTTTCACATACTGCTCTCTACCAGTGTGTCTCAATGAAAACCCACCAATGTTAAATTGCTTTGTATTTTATTCCAACTTCTTGCAAGAAGTTGGTATTTGTGGGCAGAGTGTTGACTGTCGCAGACTCCTTTCTAATAATTTAAATGATATGGAAAATACTTTCTCTGTCGACTTTACGAAGAGCTATTTTTATCTCTTGATATTTGTAGTATGTTGGATGTCTTAGAAATTCCATGAAGCCAATATACACCCCAAGGCAGAATGTGCCTATCTTCTGTTTTCAAAAGCCAGGATTATTTTCTTAAAAAACCTTCAGATTTTGTTATGATAATAAAGTCTGTGTGTATGTTGACATTTGAACAGAAATTACCTCAAGTTTTATTTTTTGTACATGGTAGTACAGGGAAGCCCAAACATGAGTGGTTTCTCCAGAAAGATTCCGAAGGGGACACACCTTCACTTATCAACTGGCCTTCCAGGTACCTCTCCAGTTGAAATTCTGTGGCTTGTGTTCAATGGATGCTTTGCTACTTTCCTTCTGATTTGCCTGGCTAATACTGACTCTCTCCTCTTACACTTTTTAAAATAATGGCAGTGCATTTGAAAATCACATGTTCAAAAGGAAGTTTTTTTCTGATCATAGGCTTTTTTCCTCCCATTGTCTAACCAATGCTGGCAGTTTTTCTCTTCCTGGTTTCCCCTTTCCTAATCCTACCAAATCTCATGCTTTCCTCCTTTCTCACCAGTTGGGGGCAGTAGTGAGTGCCTTATTAGACCTCTTATGGCTGAATCTCACTACCCAGCCCCTGTCCCCTTTAGCCAGTGTCCTCTCTGCCTAGACTCTGGCCCCTATGTTTTCAAGTCTCCTTGACATGAAAACAGTACTTAATTTTCAATGGTTAAAAAAAGCAGACAAAACCCCCAGTCATTTCAATTTTAAGAAAGGAGGCAAGGAGGGGCAGAAAAAATAAGAATGAGTGAATCATTAGAGGACAAACAGGCGAGGTCTCAGTTTTTCTAACAGTGAGTTTATTCTCAGACAAGAACAGCACTGAGATTGTCTGTTATGAGAGGCACACATTCCACAAGAGAACGTGACTGTGTCTAAGCCTTCTCTTGATTAACAAAGATTGCAAATATGAAAACCTCCAACATTGGCTGGTATTAAAACGGTGCAGGAGAAAATAATTATCAGAATGCTTCTTTTTCCCCCATAAAATGTTTGTAGTAACCCCCTTTATATGTGTCTTGGATTATTTTTTTTTAATGAAGTATCCAGGTACTCTATCTGAAAACAGAGGACATTATTTTGTTTTTGTATTTTATCCAAAAAACAATCTTGTCTCTAAAGGCCCTGTTCTATTCCATAAACCATTTGTCATAAATAATTAATTATTTTTGTGGAGTCATGTTAAGTAAGATGAAAGTTCTGCATCTCCCCCAAGAAATAATTTCTCCCTCTCCAAATGCCTTTTTTTAATTAAAAAAACAACAACAACTGTGTCTACTTGAACTTAGGGCTTTGTGTTCTTGCTCAGTTTTATTGCTTATGGCTAGTGCTCCACCTCTTGAGCCACACCTGCAGTCCAGCATTTTGCTGGTTAATTGGAGATGGAGTCTCTTAGACTTTGCTGTTCAGACTGACTTTGATTTCAGCCTCCAGAATAGTTAGGATTACAGATCTGAGCCACAGTGCCTAGTAAGCCTTCTTACCTACCTAATCAGTAGTCCATTCTATTTGAATAGCTCCCCTTTTACATAGTATTTCAAAAAATAAAAGAAACAGCTAGCACTAAGGATTGTGCACTCTTTGCTAAGCAGTAAGCCATGTGCTTTGCCAACATCCCTTTATCTTTTGGCACTGCTGGTTTGTTGTTGCTGGCAATCCTGAAGTTTTGAACTTAAGACCCTCACACCTGCTTGGCTTCCTGGTTTAGCTGGCATTCTACCACTTCCACCACACCTCTAGCCTGGCTTTTTACTTGTTATTCTGAAGATGGAATGTAGTAGACTTTTCTGCTCAGCTTGACTTTGAACAGAGACTCTCCATAAGTCAACCACCTGAGTCACTAGAATTATACAAATGAGCCACTGGTACCCAGCTTGTTGGATTTTGCTTGCTTTATTTTATTTTCTCTTTCTGCTGTGCTGGGGATGGAACCCGCACTTCATACCTGTTAGGCAGGTTGTCTACCATTGAGCTACATTCCCAGCCCACTACTATTTCTGTGTAAAAAGGTAAAGTACCGGACACTTAAGAAGGACAGGTAAGTTCTCTAAGACTTTTAAGATCGTAGAGCCTGACTCCTGGTTAATTTTCTTAGGCAGTGTTGGACAAAAGCTTTTGAAGTGTTTAAGTAGCTAGAAACAGCAAAGAACAATCTCTTTCTGGATTGCTCTTTAACTACAAGTATAACAGCAGTTCCAGAGGGAATGGACGGGAAATGTTTATTAATTCTCTCAACAGTACTTTTTCCTCTCATACTGTGTTGATGCTCATTATACCAAGGACTCCCAACTACTCACCTGTCATGAGTAAATAAATATAATCAGCATTGCATGAAAGTTTGAGTGCTTCGAGAGAGAGAGAGAGAGAGAGAGAGAGAGAGGTGATTATCGTATCTTTAGCTCAATCATGCCTAATCACAAATAACCTTAGATTTCTAGGAATCATTGGAATCCCAACATTTAATTAATAGTTCTACGTTTCCTTGGAAGTCTCCCTCCACTAACCCCAGAATCCATATCCAGGTCCATGTCTTGTGCATGCACATTAATGCTTAACGGTGGTGTTCATAATGAATTTTTCTTTCTTCTGGATATTGGTTTAGTCAAAAGAAATGCATTCTCCCCCAAGGCAGGGTCTGGCCTTTCTAAGCTTCATGAAGGATAGAGTTAGTTTTGCAACACACTGGCAAATTTGGAAAGTTAATACCCAATCCTTTTATCTGGCAAGGATTGAGTGTTTACATTAAATACCACTATGCTTTTGTGTGTGTGTAAGTTCTTCTCTTTGAGTTGATTTCCACTGATAACTTGTCATATGTGCATGCTTCCTTCTTCAGCAGGGACTGCACTTTGCAACTTAAACCCTTTTTCTTTCTTCAAGAGTTAAAGTTAGAGAAAAATTGGTGAAAGAGGAGAGTGCTCGCAGCAGCCCCGAACTCGCCTCCGAGCCATTAACTCAGAGGAGACATCAACCAGTGCCAGTCCATTATCTGTCCTTTCAGTCAGAGAATTCCGCCTTTGACAGGGTCATGAGCAAAGCAGTGAGCTCTGGGCAACAGCTTAGCCGTGGTTGTGTCCAGCCAGAAAATCCCATCCACACTGTCAAGTTGGTAACTACAGAAACCCCAGAACATGTGTCTGAAAGCAGCTGGGTGGGATCAGCCACTTTGGATGTCATAAATCCTCCCACATTGAAGATTCTAGAAGGTGAGCCAAGGGATGTTCCAGCCCTCCATATTTGTGAGTCAAAAGCAGAAGATGCGCCCTTCTCTGAAGCACCTGAGAAGAGCCATAAAACAATCGTTACCTTAAAGGATGGAATTGGAATGAGCTTCCAAGATTCCCCTCACAACGAAAACTTAGGTAAGCTCGTCGTTAGCACTGTCACCTTAGAGCATCACAAGGAACCACAAGCTCAGCACGAGCCTGCTGAGAAAACAAGCCGGAGTGAGATGGTTCTGTATGTTCAGAGTGAGCCTGTATCTCAAGATGCCACGTTGACCCATCACCCAAAGAAAGCCTCTCCAAGGAAGCACAAGGTCCTTACCCGCTCGCTGTCTGATTACATGGGTCCCCCTCAGCTCCAGGCTTTAAGACAGAAGGACCCAGCCTCAAAGCGAGAGCTGGAGCTACCGACCTCCAAGGCTTCAGGCACCTGTGCAGAAGCAGCCGTGCTGGACACAAAAGTCTCTGTTGCCCAGCTCCGAAATGCATTTCTGGAGTCTGCCAGAGCCAGCAAGAAACCTGAACTGTAGGTGATGTTTCCAACCTCTTCCTGGTGTGTCCCTTGCACGTCTTTGGCAGAATGGTTTTCTACTCAACTCATGTTGTGTGGTGCACTGAAGCCTTAGCTTAGCTCACAAATGTGTGAAGGGCTGACTATAAGGAAATGGCTCACCAACTACCATTTGGCTTGTGCCTACTAATGGAAAAGTAGAGGAGTAAGTGGGTCTGCGGAATGTTCCACCTCCGTGTGTGCATGATAGAGGGATGCAGAGAGATCTATCACTTGTGCCTTGACCCACTGAGACGCATAAACCTTTGCTTTCTTCTCTTTCTCTATCTTTCCACTTCCTTACTGCACATTCTCCATCTTCTGATTCTAAAAGCCAATCACGGGTTGAGAGATCAACTGAAGGCGTTAACTTGTCTACCAGTATGGAACAGGAGAGAGGGTCCCGGAAACCAAGACGCTATTTTTCTCCTGGTGAAAGTAGAAAAACTTCCGAGAGATTTAGAACTCAACCTATAACCTCAGCAGAACGAAAGGAATCAGATCGGTAGGCATGCATACATGTAGTTCTGTGGTCTAGGAACATAAAAGAGACGGAAGGATTCTTACCACCCTAACAATCATATGGGAAATTGATGATTCCAAACTTCTTCCACTAATCTCAAAAGGATGTTTATTGGGCTTATTTAAGTGTATTTTCAAAGAAGGTAGACTTTTCCAACAGTATGGTTTTAAATTGTACTCACTTGTCAACTATAATTTTGTTTTTATAGGTTCTTAATGTTCTTATTAAGCTGGAATCTGTATGAAATATCTTTCAGATTTTCCATGTATTTTATATTCATATAATGAATGGCCACTTGTGGTATTCAAGTTTTTATATATTACCATGCTACTCATAGAAATGTTAAGGTTCATCAAAACAGTTTCTCATCAGCTCTGTGTAATAACTCATCCTGACTTTTTCCACGGGGTGTGCACGTGACTAGGATTGTATCTTCACTCATCCCACAGTGTTCATTAACAACTCTATGTGGTATTCACACCAAGGTGATACACTCTGAGAGAGAACCATTGCAGCTTGGATGTTGTTTTCAATGGGATGTTTCTTTGTGGCTCTTCTTCCCAGCACTAACTTTTATTACTATCTGCTAATGTCTTTCTAGGTATACATCAAGTTCAGAAATGCCAACTGTAGAGGGCAAGTATCTGCTTTCCTTTTTCTTCTCTTTTATCCATCTTGATTTTGTTTAAATAATGAGAGGTTTAGCTTTGTAAGATTGTAGAGCCTATAAATCTCTTTTCCTCAAGCTTCCTTTCTGTAAATATAATAAAACCTTGTTAAAATTTTCATCTGAGCTTTCCTTATAGTTATAGAAGCTAACAGACTCTTTAAGTGAACAATAGCCAATCAACCAAAAAAAAGTGAACAAAATGAACCAAAAAAAAAAAAAAATGAACCAAAAACCAACAGGTTTTTCTTGCTGTCCTTCAACAGTAAGAACAGTTCCTTTTGAACAGTCTATTCTTAAAGTCATCATTAGCCAAATATTGTAGCACAAAATCACCAACTAGAATGGCACAGTATGATTTAGCTTCATTTGAATTGTGGTGGGAATTAGTACCTTTTCATTGAACAGAAAAAAGAAAAAACAGAAAATACTCCCCCTTAATCATTTCAGTTCACCTATTCTTACATATGAGGGCTTCCCAGGTAAATCTGGGAAAGCATCTCAGAAATATTAAACTTTCTAATGATGTTTCATTTTTATTTCATGGATTCTTACAGACGAAGAAAAGGTAGATGAACGAGCCAAGCTAAGTGTTGCTGCCAAGAGGCTGCTTTTCAGGGTAAGAAGTGCGAACAGGCTTGTTAGAAAGAATAACACCAAAGCAGAAAGACTGATCCCTGAGGCTCTGGTATTTTCCCATACTTCTAGGAGCTCCAAGATGCTCTCACCTGAGTTAGTCAGTATTCTCTAACATAAAAAAGTACCTGAGGTAGTCAATTTACAGAGAAGAAAAGTTTAAGAGGTGCCAGTCTTTGACCAGTTGGACCTCTTGCTTTGGACCCATGACCAGGCAGTACATCATGGCAGGAGCACAAGTCAGAAGAAGCTGTTTACCTCACAGTGGCCAGGAATAAAAGAGAAAGAAGAGGCAGAAATCCCCCAGGCCCTTTTGAGGCCACACCTCCAGTGACCTGGAGACTTCCCACTAAGGCCAACCTCTTAAAGGTTTCATTCCCTCTCAATAATACCAAGTGAAGGACCAAGCTTTGGCTTTATACATGAGCCTTGGGGAGCAGGGGTGCTCACTGGAAATCCAGACTATAGCACTGACTCTGTTTTGACTAACCACCCAACTGCCCAGCCTGGAAGCGTTCAATTCTGATCATGATCAGTCAAGTCAGGATCACTGGTGTCCCCTCCTGTGAGTCCTATGGAAGAACAAAGATATTTTTGCTGCCCCAAATTTCTTTCCTTTGATTTGTGAAGATTCCACAATGTTTCCCATGTTAGGAAATGGAGAAATCATTTGACGAACAAAGTGTTCCAAGGAGACACTCGAGAAACTCGGCCGTGGAGCAAAGACTACGGCGGCTCCAGGACAGATCACACACCCAGCCCATCACCACTGAGGAAGTGGTCATTGCAGCCACGTGAGTCTGCGCTGGGCTTTCCTGGCCCTACCAGTAATGGCTTCCTTCTGAAAAGGGATTTAGAGAGTTGTGAGTGAAAAGGAAGTGATAGCGAGATGCTTTGTCTTGATGCCATGGAGAGGTTGATGTTCCCAGATTTTCTCTAGTGCCATCTTTGTAATGGGATGTGTTCCCTGTCATAGTTCCTGAGAAACATCTAATGATATTGGTTCATTGTTTATTTTCCTCGTGCATTCTGTTTGGGTTTTCTTTTTATCTTGTTACTTCTTTTTTTCCTCCCCTGGGGGTTGGGGGGTACTGGGATGGGTACTGGGAATTGATCTCTGGGCCTCTCGCTTGCCAGGTAAGTGCTGTACCACTTGAGCCATACCCCTAGTCCTTGTGTTTTTAATTTGTTTTGCAAAGAGGATCTCGTGCTAACTTTCCCTAGGCTGGCCTCCTCAGACCAATCCTCTGGTCTCCTCCTCCCAAGGAGCTGGGATTGTACATAAGCATCACCACATCTGGCTGTGTTTTATCTCTTTTGTGATGAAAAGCGTAAAGCATGAAAGTAGATGACGCAAAGTGAACCCTCAGCTTCAGAATTTGCCAATTCCTGGCTAGTATTTCTTCATCTTTATCCTCACCTATTCCCCCTTTCCTCCTGCACAATTTTTAAGCAAACCCTAGACTTCGCACCTATAAATAGTTTAGGATATAGTTCTAAGAGACAAAAAGGTTCATTTTGTTTATAGATAATCACCAAAAATGTTTTTAAAAGTAATTGACAATTGAGTAACTTTCCAAACTATACAGGACATCCATTTGGACCACTATATTCTGGTATGTTCAGCCTTTTTCAAAGTAATTTTCAAAGGTGATTGCTTGGGCCAAGCAAAACTGTGTATTTTAAAGTTATTTATTTATTTAATGAACTTATGTTTGCTAGGCAGGTGCTTTACCACTTGAGGCACGCCCCAGCTCTTCTTTCTTTGGTTATTTTTTTGAAGAGATTGTCACTTTTTGTCTGTGCCAGCTAGTTCCAGAGTTTTCTTATTTATGCTTCCCAAGTACCTAGGATGACAAGTGTGAACCACAATGCCTTTTTTTTTTATTGGTTGAGATGGCATCTCAAACTTTTTTCCTGGGCTAGCCTTAGTAGCTAGTATTACAGAGATAAGCCACCACCCTGGAAAGAAATAATGATTGTTTTAGAAAAGTAGATTGAGGGCAGGAGATATGGCTCAAGTGGTAGATCACCTGCCTAACAAATACAAAGTGCAAACATCTAGTACCACCAAAAAATACACATTTGAAAGCATGGGCACACCCATTTGCTGATACCTAACATGCTTTTTAATATTATTTTTAAAATTAGGGTGTTTATTTGAAAGATGAATCTTTTTTGAGCCCCACTCTTAAGGCTATTCCATTTACTCTGAGCAGCTTCTATCTCTGATTTCCTAAGCTGGTAATTGCTTTCAAAGTTTGTGTGTAGGTTGTTGTGGGTTTTTTTGTTTTTGTTTTTTGTTTTTCTTGCCCTCAACTTAGTTAAGAAACATTTTTGGTAAAATATTTGATTTAACATTTCTGAATTTCAAACTATGCTTTCTTTAATGCTTCTTTTCTTCTCTCCTGTGGATGCTCACTTCCCTCCCCACATCTTTTCCTTGGCAATTGCTTTTAAAGTGAGCCTACCCCTGCATCGTGTTCTGGGGTCACCCACCCTGGAATGGCGAGACTTCCTAGTCCCACTGTAGCTAAGAATGCTGTACAGCCTCCCAGGTACTGGACATAATAGCTGCATGCCATACCCAGTGCCACTCCACTGGGCTACATATTGCTGTGAAAAACTTGAATGCCTTCTCTTTGTCTGACAAACAAGTCAGTGTGGTGTTCTGAAACATGGCATTTTGTTTTGTGGTAGTACAAGTTTCTGATCATTTTGTGTCTGCCTGCATGAGAAAAATTGTCCATCTGCTTACATTATGTGTTAGGAGCAGTGACACTAACTTACTTACCCATTCGTTTTGGTTCTGTTTTCCATCATACCAGTCATCCCTCAAACATTTCATTTTTCATCTTTATAACACTAGCACTTCAAGACTAATCGGAAAATTGAACCTTAATGTGTACACTGGAATTCTGATAAGAGTCGGTTATATATTAAACACATGTGGACACAAATACATATTTAAAACAATTCTGTTTCTAATTCAGAGCCACATAATGCTGTTCTATTTTGGGCCTGATTGTTGATATTTTGCTGTTAGGTTTTTAATTGTACTGCTTTGATATTATGTCTTTAGAGCATGTAAATATTTCTTTGTTTGGCTGTTATGGGCCAAAACATGAAGGCTAAAAATAAGATTCAAAGATATTAAATAACAATTCCTGAGTAACTGGTATAATCCAGAAGTAGAAATGGTTGAGGAAATAAATAATTGGGAAAATGAGACTGCAGAAGTGTCCCAAGTTCCCGAGGTCTTCATTGTGCTGGTTATAACCTATGCTCAAAAAGGCTCTGAGCTCTGGGACAGCCTGGGAATCAGTGGATTTTTTTTCCTGGTCCTGGAGCTTGAACTCAGGGCCGTCTCGCTCTCCCTTAGCTTTTTTTTTTTCCAAAGTTGGTACTCTACCAGTAGAGCCACAGCTCCATTTTTTTGTTTTTTTGCTGGTTAATTGGAGATAAGATAAATCTCGCAGACTTTTCTGCCCAGACTGACTTTGAACCAAGATCCTCAGATCTCAGCCTCCTGATTAGCTAGGATTACAGACGTGTAACCATCAGAGCCCAGCTAAATCAATGATTAATCAGAGTAAAGGCAGAATATACTTCTTTTTAGACTATATAATGAGATTTCTATGGCAGAATGAATTTTGTTGGAGACTTTTCAAGATTCACATTGACCACATAAACTAAAAGCCTTCCTTCTCTTCTGACTGGAAATTGGAAGGATTTATTATTCACTAGTACTACCCAAGGCCTTGAGCATGCTATGCAAGCCTCCTATCACTGAGCTACATCCCCAGCCATAGTAGGAGCGATTTATATTCACTTAAAACTTTGACCACTTTTCAAAGGTACTGGGATTTAGAGTTAAGTACCTTTTAAAAACTGATAGAGAGAAAATGCTATACTGAAGAAATGAAATGAAAATTATACCATTTAGGGCTGGGAAGGTGGCTCAGTGGTAGAGTGCTTGCCTTGCATGCATGAGGCCCTGGGTTCAATTCCTCAGCTGCACATAAGCAGAAAAATCCAGAAGTGGAGTAGTGGCTCAAGTGGTAGAGTGCTAGCCTTGAGCTGAAAAGCTGAGGGACAGCGCCCAGGCCCAGAGTTCAGCCCCTGTGATTGACCAAAAAAAAAATTATATTTTGAAAGTAAAAATGGAAAGCTTGTGTTGCAGATTATGTGCTTGATCAATGACTATATTTTTTTCTAAATATTTAAAATAGATCACCCCCGCAGCACATCTTAGAGAATGTCCAACTATGGCCTAGGCAGTACCTTTGGCTTCCTGAAGACATTCATTATGATCTCCAAGTTGACTTTGGTTCCTTAATTAGGAAATTTCTTTTTAGAAAAAATACTCCGATTTTTTAAAAATTCATTTCTAAGATCAGCAATGCTAGTATCCCAAGCTCACTGTTTGCTTTCTTATTCACACTAAGTAACTGCTTACCTTGTCTTAAGATTAAGTAGGGAAAAGTAAGCCTTTTGCAAAATTAAGGGAAATATGTAATGTTAGTGGTCGGTTTTTAGTCTGTAACGGTGTCGCTGACTTCTTTTTTTTTTTTCCCTGTTCTTTTCTTTTTCAGATTACAGGCATCTGCTCACCAAAAGGCTTTAGCCAAGGAACAGGCAAATGAGGGCAAAGATTTTACTGAACCAGGAGAACCTGATTCCTCCACGCTGAGTTTAGTAGAGAAGTTGGCCTTGTTTAACAAATTGTCCCAGCCTGTCTCAAAAGCCATTTCTACCCGAAAGAGAATAGACATGAAGCAGAGAAGAATGAATGCTCGCTACCAAACTCAGCCAGTCACCCTCGGAGAGGTGGAGCAGGCAAGTACCCTGTCATCTTATTCTAGTTGTGTGCTTGTTCTTAAAATAACAGCAGCACCGTGTTGCTGTCAGATTTGAGACCTAATTATGGGTTACTTACTAACGGGTAATTTAGAAATCATTCCATCCCTTAGAATAACCAGGCCAGGTATGCTTCTCTTTGTTTTCTTAATTTGGTTATACAATCACCTGGACTGAGTCTGCTTTGGAGAGAAAAGATCATAGGTACAACCTGCAACCCCCTCTCCCCCGAAAGTCTGGTTGGCAATTTATTATAGAACCAAGTATAGACAAGTCTAGACCAAATCCCAGCACCAGGACGTTTACATATCACGTTTTTCCATCTGTTTTTACTTTACCACCTGTGTCCTCCCAGGTACAAAGTGGGAAACTCATCTCTTTTACCCCCACTGTGAACACATCTGTGTCAACCATGGCCTCTGCAGTCACCCCTACATATGCCGGGGAGCTCCGGACAAAGCCATCAGCTGACAACAATGCAAGTGCCACCGAGGGTAAATTGCCCTCTTCCGTGGAAAATTCAGACTCTCCAGTTAGAAGCATTCTGAAATCACCAGCTTGGCAGTCTTTGGGAGAAAACAGTGGGAGCAGAGGAATGCTGAGAGAATTTGGAGAATCAGAAAACAAGAGTTTTTTGACATCTGCAGAAAGTAATATAAAAACATACGAGTCCTTTGAGGAAGTGGAAGCCTCCTACCCTGGCCCCAGTAGGGTGAGGGAAGCAGACAGCCAGAGGGAACAGAAATGTGCTCTACCAAGGAAAGAAAGCCTGGAACTAGCTAGTACTCCTGTCACCCACCTTGGCGATGAACCAAAGAAATTTTCCACAGCTAAAATCAGCACCCAGGGTAACTTGGATGTGAAGGACAGGCCACCCTTTGAAGAGAAGGTAGATGAGGAGAGCATCACCAAAAGGAGATTTTCACTCAAAGGTAAATTATAACTTTACCTATGTATTCCAAAACAATAGGGATTTAGTTCCTACTTGATTTATTGCATGTTACTGTGCTTCCTTAAACACTTTTCTTTTTAAAAATAAATTATTATTGCTGTTGTTAAGTAGTTGTAAAAAGGGGTTACAATTCCATCAGGAAGGTTATGAGTACATTGCTTCTTGGTCAAAGTCACCCTTCCTTTGTTCTCCCCAATTTTCTCCCTCTGGTCCTGTTTAAATACTTTGATAAGGGTTTTAAGTGACTTTAATTCACACAATAGCTTTCTCAGATACTTAACTCTGTTAGCACCTCTTGTAAGTTAATGGCCTAAAGATTCCAGCATGGGCTAGGCACAGGGAATAAGGACTTGAACCAGTCTGATTTCTCTCTACATGCCTGCTTTCCAGTAGTAAGCTTTTCTAATAGAAATCTACTCCTCTTTCTGTGGTTTGTTGTGGAGCAATCCCCTAAAAAGTCTAGTTTTCTCTGATGCCCCAGGCTTGCGTAAATCCAGGTGGCCTGGGTGACCTGACCCGTGTCCACAGGTTACACTTCAGTGGCAAACTTTGGATGTGTGTGTATGTGTGTATGTGTATATCAGATGATGATGACCATGATCATGATAATGGTGATTATCACTTTTTCTTCCCCTAGTAGCTGAATGCGAAGAACTGGCTTCTGAGCAGCTAGGGACAACTGAGGGGAAGACTTCAGGCACAGGGGCCTGGAAGCAGCAAGATCCTTCAGAAACACTACAGAAATATTACAAGAGTCCGTGTGCGATGTTTGCTACCGGAGAGATCAAAGCACCTATCGGAGAGGTCATACTTGATTCCTCTAGTAAAACCATGTCAATTAAAGAGAGGTAAGAAGAGATAATGACTGGGAAGTAATTGTGCATTCATTACATTGCATTTCATCTAAGGAGATGAAATCATAGTTTGGACAGATGCTGTGATAGGATGATTCTGGGATGTTCAAGTTTTTGATCATGAACTGCAGTTGTCTCACACCTGGTTGAGTAATGCTAGGACCAGACCCAGAGGAGGAAACAAACCGAAAAGCATCATTAAGTTGGGATGGTGGGTCAAGTCTCTAATCTCAATACTAAGAGGCAGAGATAAGAGGCAGGAGGATCACTAGTTCTGGCCTGAGCTGAGTTCCTGTCCAAAAAAGAAAAAAGGATTCATTGTTTATTGTCTTCATCTTTTATCTTTCTTTCCCCATTTCTAATCTTTCCTTCTTCTCTTTCTATCTTTTTCTCTTTCTTTCTTTCTTTTCTTCCTTCCTTTCTTCCTTCCTTCCTTCCTTCCTGTCTCTCCCTTCCCTTCCCTCCCTTCCTTCCTTCCTTCCTTCCTTCCTTCCTTCCTTCCTTTCTTTCTTTCTTTCTTTCTTTCTTTCTTTCTTTCTTTCTTTCTTTCTTTCTTTCTTTCTTTCTTTCTTTCTTTCTTTCTTTCCTTTCTCTCTTTCCCTTCCTCTTCCTCTTCTTTCTTTATATTTTGTGCCAGTTGTAGGGCTTAAACTCAGGCCCTAGGCTCTGACCTTCAGCGTTTTTGCTCAAGGCTAGCACTTTACCACTTACCACAGGTCCACTTCTGGCGTTGGGAGGTTAATTGGAAATGAGAGTCTCACAGATTTTTCTATCTGGGCTAGCTTCAAACCACAATCACAAATCTCAGCCTCCTGAGTAGCTAGGATTACACATGTGAGCTATGGACAACTGGCCCCTGTTTCTTATTTTTCACTAAATCTAGTGAATCACTTTATCTAGTGATGAGAGGTGAGAACTTAATTTTTCTTTTCAGAGACACATGGTTCAAATTGAGTACACAAGCTATTTGTGTGTGGCTGTGTCAAATAAATATAGAAGTTGAAGACCAATTCATATATACGATTGCATCTCTGGGATTAGAATCTTAAATTCAGTTTATTTTACAGAAAGTGGGCTGGGTGACTTCTGAAGAGCATGTAGAAATTCTCCTTCCTTCCTTCCATTCTTTCCTTCTCTCACTTTCTCTTTCCTTTTTCTTTTTCTCTTCTTCATTCTTTCTGTCTTGCTCTTCCTTCCTTCCGTCCTCTCTTTTTTCTTTCTTTCTTTTCTTTTCCTCCCTCCCTCCTTCCCTCCCTCCCTCCCTCCCTTCCTTCCTTCCTTCCTTCCTTCCTTCCTTCCTTCCTTCCTTCCTTCCTTCCTTCTAACTTTGCTCATGCTACGAAAGCCCTCTCCACAGAACTACACAATTTTATATCAGATAATAGCATGAATGCTTATATTTGAGTATCAAATAACACTATAGTCTTGTTTCATTGAAAGAATGACACAGGACTGAGAGATTCTCTTTAAGAGGGTAGATACAGACACTAGCAACTCATTATTTTCAGGATGTTGTATTCCTTGTTGATCTTTAGCCACAGTTAAGTAAAGCTGCCAACAATGCCATAGTAATAAGAAGGAATGAAAGTCACTTCAACTCACAGATATAATGATCAGAACTGTTGGCACTGTGTGTTCCTAAAGGTCTTCCAGCATGGACCCCTGGCACCTTCTACCAAGCAGATGGTCTCTTCTTTTGTCAAGCACTGGATACTCTTGATTTTTCTAGATACCTTTCAAGTTACTAAAGACTGTATGTCAAATCACAACGAAAATTCTATTTTTCAAGCCAAACTTTTGAACATTATTCATAAGATACTCAATAGCCATTTTTTTCACTTACAAATTAATGAGTCATGGCTAATTTTCTTTGTTTGCAATGCACAATAAATGAGACCTCCCAGGCTGAGGGTAGTGGGGGAAGGGAAAAGGGCTGAATCAAATAGGAAAAGTAGAATCTTGAATCAAGGAAACAAGTCTGGTATGTCCTGGCACCAGGATCTTCTCTACCAGGCTTTATCCCAGAGACGCAAGTATTGATATCAGGTAAATAGCATTTATCTGAGTTCAAATGTTTTATATTTCAAGAAATTTTCCTGAGTTAAAATTCCAGTGGGACATATTAATGTCACAAGTCTTGTGTGTGTGTGTGTGTGTGTGTGTGTGTGTGTGTGTGTTCTGGAGCTTGAACTCAGTGCTTGTGTTCTTACTCAGCTTGAGTGCTCAGTGTTGGCATTCTACCACTTGAGTTACACCTCCAACCCAACAGGCACCAAGTAAATACAATTAAAAACAAAAGGTATATTAATGAACTTCAACCTATCTAAGCTAAGTTTTTAGTGTTGTTTAGCTCTATCTGAAATTCATGAGCTGCCTATATATTTTTGAAATGAGAGAAAATTCTAAAGGGAACAAACAGAGACACATGATTTGCCTATCCCATATTTGACCCAACCCCAACTATTAAGAGCTTGAAAAACTTGTTCTAACCGAGCTGGGCTCCAGGGCCCAAATTCCTGCTGCAGAGTGTGGGCTGTGACAGTAGACCTTTTCCCCCAGCAGCCTGCTTAGCACATGTTGTTTTGGCCCCAGGCCAGTCCATGGGGTTAATAGGCTAAGGCATTGCCACTCATAGCCTCAGACTAAGCAGATGCCAGCTTCTCAGCATCACAAATAGCACTTGGACTTGGCAGATGTTAAAAGCACTGACAGTTGTTGGCTTTGCATGGAGGAATTTGCCATGTGTCAGCCCAGACCTTTCCACTGTCCAGTGCAAGGCTGCCTGTGGTGAGCTGGAAGGCTGTGGCATTGAAGAAGAGAGCACATCTGGAAAGATCTTCTACTCTCCCAGCTTGTCAAATGCCAAGTGGGAAATCTAAAGGGACATGACTAATATATTTGAGTTGTACTGCATGTTCCTTTGAAGTTATTTATGGATTTTTTTTGCATGTGTGCTGGTACTGGGGCTTGAACTTAGGGCCTGGGTACTATCCCTTAGCTTTTTCACGCATAGCTGGCACTCTACCACTTGGACCACAGCTCTATTTCTGGGTGTTTGGTGGTTAATTGTATTTAAGAGCCTCAGAGACTTTCCTGTCCAGGCTTCAAACCAAGATCCCCAGATCTCAGCCTCCTGAGTAGCTGCTAGGATTATTGATCAGTTGTACTCAGAGGCTGAGTGTGAGCACAAGTACCCTGTGGGCATAATGGAAGTTGTGTCTCCCCCATTGGCTTGTCCCTCTGTGGTCTTCAAAAGACTCCAGTGACAATACTGCCAGCAGCACATCTAGATGAATGGAAGAAGGCTTCCAAAGCCATCCTGAGAAAGCAGGATAAGAAAGCCAGAAGTTTCTTGAAAGAGGAAGGCTTAGCTGTGCCAGGTTGCTCACACCTGTAATCCTAGATACTCAGAAGGCTGAGATTGTGATCTAAGAATCACAGTTCTTAGCCAACCAGGGCTGGTGTGGTATGCACATCAGTACTGGGACTTGAACTCAGGGCTTCAAGCTCCTGTTTGGCCTTTTCTTTCAAGACTCATGTTCTATCACTGGAGCCATAGAGCCACTTCTGGATTTTTGCTGGTTAATAAGAGATAAGCAACTAATGGACTTTTCTGCCCTGGCTGACTTCCAACTGCAATCTTCAGATCTCACCCACCTAAGTAGCTAGAATTACAGGTGTGAGCTTCCTGCTAAGCCTCTGATTTCTTGAGACCTTCATTCTGAAAAGCACCTCAGTAACTGTGGCTCTGTATTTTTAATAACCCCAACTCCTGCTATTGCCTCCTTACTAGTTAGGATTACAAGCATACACTACCATACCCCAAAGAATTACATAATTTAGGACTAAAGGGGATCTTGGTCTGTGTGTACCTGCTTGGTTAGATAAGGCAGCTTTATGCCAGTTTATAGAATGGGCACGAGATCTGCTGCCACATATCGAAAGAGAAAGGAGTTTGGGAAGCTTTCAAAGTTCAAATCTCCTGCCTCCTTTAGGGAGTCCTTTTCTTCATGCCTTACTTTCTGTTATTTGATAGAATAAATAGCATGTTTAAGTTATATATACATTTGTTTTTGTGTTGTTTATTTGACAACGTTGGTGTTTGAACTCAGGGACTTGGGCTTGCTAGGGAGGCATTTTACCACTTGAGCCATACCTGCACCCCTTTTTGCCCTAGTTTTTTTTGAAATGGGGTCTCATTTTTTGGCTTTGACCACCCTATTTGCTCTTCCACTTATATCTGGGATGATGTATGTGTACCAGCCTTCCCATATTTTCTTTCTGTTAAAAAAGAGTCTTAAACTTCTTGCATTGGATCATTTCAAATCATGCTCCACCTGAGCTCATGCTCCTGAGTAGCTAGAATTACAGATATGAGCCATTGTACCTGGCTCATAATTTATTTTCTTATTTGCCTAACAAAACTTTTATCACATGGCATCAAGGATGTAGCTCAGGCAAAGCCCTGGGTTCCATCCACAGAGCCACCAAAAATAAGAACTTTTATCACAGTATCACTTTATCACCCAGCCTCCATTACAAACATTGACTGGAATTAAGAAACTTAGCAGATGAGCCATTAGATAACCTCTGTTACTGGAATGGAGAAGAAAATAGTCAGCAACAAATGGGATTGCGTGAAACTGTAGAGCTTCTGCATGGCAAAGGACATAGCTAGCAAGATCAATAGAAAGCCCACGGATTGGGAGATCTTCACTAGCCACACAACGGACAAGGATCTCATATCTAAAATATACTTGGAACTCAAAAAATTAAATTCCCCAACAGCAAATCCTCAGAGAAGCAACTGCCCAATTAACAAATGGGCTAAAGACTTAAAGAGAGACTTCTCTGAAGAGGAAATAAAAATGGCCAATAAACATATGAAGAAATGCTCAACTTCTCTAGCCATAAAAGAAATGCAAATCAAAACAGCATTGAGAATTCCACATCACCCCAGTTAGAATGGCTATAATCAAGAACTCTAATAACAACAGATGCTGGAGGGGATGTGGACAGAAGGGGACCTTACTGCATTGTTGGTGGAAGTGTAAACTTGTTCAACAACTTTGGAAAGCAGTATGAAGGTTCCTCAAAAGACTCCACCTAGATCTAGCTCCCCTATGACCCAACAATCCCACTTTTGGGCATTTACCCAAATAATCACAAACAAGGCCATACCAAAGCTACTAGCACAACTATGTTTATCACAGCATTATTCACCATAGCTAAGATATAGAACCAACCCTGATGTCCCTCAGTAGATGAATGGATCAAGAAAATGTGGTATATAAACACAATGGAATTCTATGCCTCCATCAGAAAGAATGACATTGCCCCATTTGTTAGGAAATGGAAAGACTTGGAAAAAATTATATTAAGTGAAGTAAGCCAGGCCCAAAGAACCATAGGTCCCATTGTTTCCCTTATCTGTAATAACTAGTATATGTCTAGAACAAGCAGAAAAGGTCAAAATCTATGTACATATGTCCATATAAACTTAGGCTAAGCAAAATGAACCCCAAGATAGGGACACAAGAGATTTTATCTTTCTTGCTGTTGTTTTTAATGTATTTATAATATACTATGCGATTTTTTTGTTTCTTTTGTATGATCTTTCCACATGGTATAACCCCTGTTTTCACTGTATTTGATTCTGGTGTTCTGCATCTTGTATATATGTTTTTCTAATTTGGGGAGGGGAAAGGAAATAACAAAATGCTGAAATAAGATTACAAGATGACCCATTGTAACAACAAGATGTACAAGACACTATGTTGAGAATGAACTTTACAACGTGGGGAGCGGAGGAGGAGTTGGGGAGGGAAGATTGGTAGGGGAAAAGCAAAGGAGGGGGTAACAATGCTCTATAGGAAATGTACTCATTACCTTGCTCATGTAATTGTAACCCCTCTGTACTGTATCTTTACAATTAAAGTGTGTGTGTATACACACACACACACACACACACATATATAATAGGGAGCTAGAACTGTTGAAACACCTAACAGTGCAGCCCTGCGTCTACATACTGTATTAAGATGGAAAGATGTTGCAGAGGACTGCAGGATGGGGCAGAATGATCTGTTTGTTTCTCTACTCTTTAAATTATTTTAGCATAGACTACTGTGTATGTGAGTCTACTGACCATCACCTCTTTACTTTTTACCTTTCCCATGCTTGTCTAACTTACACAACTCAAATTTCTTCATCCATTATAATACATACAGGAAACTAAAATAGCCTCAAGTTCATGAAAGTAGCTTTCCAGAAACTCCAGTAGCCAAGCAGCTCAACATCAAGTTACACAAAGGTTGTACTAAAGTAGGTTTGATAGCCATCTCTTTTCATTAGATTCTTTTTTTATATATATCTTTTCCCCTGAGGAAAGCTGAAGTAATAGTTCTTAATGGGTTTATTGGAAAGGTTTTTTTTGGGGGGGGGTTGTTTTGTTTTGTTTTGTTGTCAGTCATGGGGCTTGAACTCTGGGCCTGGGCACTGTCCCTGAACTCTTCAACTCAAAGCTAGCGCTCTACCACTTGAGCCACAGCACAACTTCGGGTTTTCTAGTGGTTTATTGGCGATAAGAGCCTCACATACTTTCTTCCCCAGGCTGGCTTTGAACTGCAGTCCTCAGATCTCAGCCTCATGTGTAGCTAGGATTATAGACATGAGCCACCAGTGCCCAGCTGAAAACAGTGCCCAGCTGTATATATATATAATATATATACATATATTATATATGTGTTATATATAATATGTATATATTATATATTATTTATGTGTTAGATCAGGTTCATTTGGAGGAAAAGTACAGGATTTTGAATACAAGAAAAGAAAAAAAAAACATCATAATCCACCTTTAGCTTAAATGCATGATACTAAGATCTTTTCAATTTTTTACTGTTTTATATTTTATTTTTATTTTTGTACATATTTTTATTGTAAAGATACTGTGCAGAGGGGTTACAGTTACATGAGTAAGGTAATGAGTACATTTCCTATCGAGAATTGTTACCCCTCTTTTGTTTTTCCCCTACCATCCCTTCCCTCCTCACCTCCTCTACTCCCCCCCAGAAGTTGTAAAGTTTGTTCTCAATATAATGTCTTGTACATCTCATTGTTACAATGGGTCAACCTATATCCTTATTTCAGCATTTTGTTATTTCCTTTCCCCTCCCCAAATTAGAAATATATATATATACAAGATGCAGGACACCGGAATAAAATACAGTTTTAAACTCCTGGGCTGCAGTATTTACAAAAAACTGCTCGCAGCTTTCTCCATTTAATGTCATTTCATCAAGTGGCCAGCAGGGGTCACTAGAAGACATTTTTCTTTGGGGATGAGTTTTTTGTTTGGGGTTTTTTTATTGTAAAAATGTTTTACAGAAGGGTTACAGTTACATGAGTAGAGTAATGAGTACATTTCATAATGAACATTGTTACCTCCTCCTTTATTTTCCCCCTACCATCACTTCCCTCCCCACCTCCCCAACTCCTCCCCCCCCCCCCCACATTGTAAAGTTCATTTTCAATATAATGTCCTGTACATCTCGTTGTCACAATGGGTCAGGCTGAATCCTCATTTAAACATTCTGAAATGTCCTTTCCCCTCCACAAATTACAAAAATATATATACAAGGTGCAGAGCACCAGCATCAAATCCAGTGAAAACAGGGGTTATACCATGAGGGAAGAACATCCAATAGAAACATTTTGTAAGTACATTAAAAACACTAGCAAGAAAGAAAGAAAAAAAAAACCTCTTACGTCCCTGACTTGGGGTACATTTTGCTTAACATTATCTCATGGTCACATGTACATAGCCTTTGACCTACTCTGCTTGTCCTAGACATATAGTAGTTACTACAAACAAGGGAAACCATGGGACCTATGTTTCTTTGGGCCTGGCTTACTTCACTTCATATGATTTTTTTCCAAGTCTTTCCATTTCCTAACAAAAGACGCAATGTCATTTTTTCTGACTGAGGCATAGAATTCCATTGTGTTTATATACCACATTTTCTTGATCCATTCATCTACTGAGGGGCATCGGGGTTGGTTCCATATCTTAGCTATTGTAAATAATGCTGCGATAAACATGGTTGTGCTGGTAGCTACAGACTGGGAGAAGATCCTGACTAGACATACAACAGACAAGGGTCTCATATCTAAAATATACTTAGAACTCAAAAACTTAAATCCCCCAACAACAAATCCTCAAAGAAACGACTGCCCTATTAACAAATGGGCTAAAGACTTAAAGAAAGACTTCTCTGAAGAGGAAATAAGAAGGGCCAATAGACACATGAAGAAATGCTCAACTTCTCTAACATAAAAGAAATGCAAATCAAGACAACGCTGAGATTCGACCTCACCCCAGTTAGAATGGCTATAATCAAGAAATCTAATAACAACAGCTGCTGGAGGGGATGTGGCCAAAAGGGAACCCTACTACATTGTTGGTGGGAGTGTAAATTTGTTCAACCACTCTGTAAAGCAGTATGGAGGTTCCTCAAAAGACTCCATGTAGAGCTTCCAACCCAACAATCCCACTTTTGGACATTTACCTAAAGGATCACAAACAAGGTCATACCAAAGCTACAAGCACAACCATGTTTATCACAACATTGTTTTTTGTTTTTTAATTTTATTGTCAAGGTGATGTACAGAGGGGTTACAACTGATTACATTTCTTGCGTAACTTGTTACCCCTTCCCTCATTTTTCTCCCTCTTTCCCTCCCCCATTCCCCTCCCCAAGTTGTACAGATCATTTCCAACATATTATCTTGTGAATATTGCTGTTGCATAGGTTCCACATTTGTCCTTTGTCTCACCATTTTGTTGTTCCCCTTCCCTTTTCTAATTCAGATAAATGTATATACAATACCCAAGGTACCAAAATTGAATGCAGTGACACAGGGGATAAACCATGGGCAGGGGGGGCACAAAAGAAAAAAATCACGTAGTACATTGAGAACAACAACAACAAAGAAAAACCTCTTGTGTCCATGTCTTGAAGTTCATTTCACTTAGCATCATTTATATGGTCATATGTACATAGTTATTGAGCTATTCTACTCATCTGCTAAGATTGTCCTAGATATATACTAATTATTACAAATAATGGAGACCATGTGACCTGTGTTTCTTTGGATAAGGAAATGGAAGGACTTGGGGATGGTTATTTTAATCCTCTCTTATTGCTTTCAGCCCACGGTCAACAAAAAAAGCAGATGTCTATTATTCTCTTGCTGGAATGATTATATTTCTCTTATCTGATAGTTATGGGTTCAGCCTTACTCTGTAATCAGCTGAAAAATCTTTGGGACCCTTTTAGATAAAGGACTTGCAAGTTCTAAGAGTTTGGTGGTGAAGTCTTTGGTTGGTATGTTTTCCTTCCAGGTTGGCACTGCTGAAGAAGAGTGGTGAAGAAGACTGGAAGAACAGACTTCATCGAAAGCAGGAATACGTCAAAGCATCAGCCAGCAGCAGCCTACACATCCAGGAAACAGAGCAGTCTCTGAAGAAGAAGGTAATGTTTCCATGTGAGGACAGAGCTTCTAACATCACGCTTGTCAGTGTGTCACGTGGACAAGCATGTCTGGATTAAGTCCTACTCTAGAGAGCATAAATGCCTTAGGAACATGCTTAGCCTGTCATGTAGCTGCTAAATTGATCAAATGGCCAAGTCTTAATATGTTGTAGTCCTAATAGCACTGCACATAATGTCTCAACATGCATGGGACTATTTCCAAATATGCACACATTCTTAAATGAATTCTGGATTTAGAATGTGATTAAAAACTTTCAAAGGAGTGGGACACTGGTAGCCCATGCTTTTAATCCCAGCTACGCATCCAGCTTGAACAGGGAAGTCCATGAAACTGTATATCTAATGAACCAGGAAAAAGCCAGAAGTGGAGCTGGTAGCTCAAGTTGTAGAGTACCAATCTTGAGTGAAAAGACTAAAGGACAGTGGCTAGGCCTGAGTTCAAGCCCCAGTACCAGCACAAACAACAACAACAAAAACCAAGAGAACAAGAACCCTCCAATGCAACTCTTAACTTACTAAGAGCTTACATGTTACTTATAAAATATGGATTTGGGTTTCCTATGCAGAGATTTAAGACCTAAGTAGAAAATTAAGGATATAACTATAATCTGTGACACTTTCTGAATACTTTTAAGCCTGTTTCATAATAAAGAGATATGCCTTTTATTGAATTAATTTACTAAATAAAAGTTATATATGGTGACCAGTGCTAGCAAACATTTCATATAAAAGAATATTTATGAGTTGTTAAATTACAAATGTAATGATGACCAGTCTTTGGCCAGTTACTACATACTTTCAAAACTGCTGGCTAGCACTACAGATATATTGATACCTGTATATTGTGCTTTCTGGCTAACGGCCACACCCACTAGCCAATTTCTCGGATTCAGAATCTTCAAATAGAAAGGAAAAAATAAATGTTCCCAACTGCTTGATCACCTGGGCCCTTCTGGATCTCAAATAAACATCCTATGTCTAGTATGATGTTGTGTGCCTATAGTTCCAGCTATCCAGGGAAGTTGCTGTGGGAGCCTCACATGAGCTCAGAAGTTCAAGACTAGCTTGAGGAATATAGCAAGAACGTATCTCAAAAATGAAAATAAGTATCTATGGAAAAGAGAAATGATGAAGGTGACCTTTGTTCAGTAAGGTCTCATTAGATAAAAATGAGATTGTACGAGTTAGTAATCCAGATGCTATTTTATTTCTATGGTACTTCTGTTTCTAAAACAGGGAGATCAGAATAGCAATTTGAACTCTCATTTTTTTTCCTACCTGGTGTTAAAGATAATAACTAAGGACATTTAGTTCTCAGCCATTTATCATGTTTTCAACAATTACATACAACTGAACACTAAAGTATAAATGTAGGAAATTGAGATTTCAAGATAAAAGAAAACTGAGTCCTTCAAATAATTTATACCTTGGCCCACAAACTCTGTTTACAAGAATCTTAGTGCTGAGGCTGAATCTCGATGATAGAGCATTTGCCTACCATATATGAAGCTCTTGGGGTAATCCCCAATACCTCAAAAAAAAGTCCTAAAAATCATTGATTCAAAAATAACTTCAGTCCATAACTTACTGACAAAGCTGTCAGCAGTGTGCTATGGTACCAAGCAGCACCAGAGTGCCCTGCTGGTCATCTTGAAAGGTGCAGAGTACCTGGGCTTTCAGAAACCAACCATCCCCTACCGCCAGATGAAAATTAAGCTGAGCCTAAAAAGCACAAAGCGAGATGGAAATCCACATAAATGGTGGATCTATCTTTCCTACACACTGAAGAGTGATGGATGGTCTTGAGTAGTAAATACTACTCAAAGACATGGCTGAGGTGTTTAGGGGACAAAAGATCCATGTTACCCTGCCATTGCTAACCTTGGGGTAGAAACCCAGGGATGGGGTTCAAGCACTGGGTTTCTAGGTAGCTTGGGCTTGCCAATGTGAAGTGCTTTACTTGGATCATGTCTCTGCAGCCACTGCAAACGCACAATCTTAGCCCTCTTTGATGGCCTCATTCAGTGTGGTCTGAGACAATAAGCTCTTTGATGCTAAATTTAAGTCCATCTATTTTAGGCTGTTGTCACATAGGGAAATCTCAAATTCCGTTCAAGTCAAGTGGTTTACTGACAGCCTCAAGAAAGCTAGGTGCTGGTGGCTCACATGTATAATCTTAGCTACTCAGGAGGCTGAGATCAGAATGAGCCCAGGCAAAAAAAAGTTTATGAGACTGTTATCTGCAGTTAACCAGCAAAGAGCTAGAAGTAGAGTTGTGGCTCAAGTAAAGCTAAGGGACAGAGCTCAGGCCCTGAATTAAAGCCCCAGTATCCAGTATCCACTACACACACACACACACACACACACACACACAATCTCTCTCTCTCTCCCTCTCTCCCTCTCTCCCTCTCTCCCTCTCCCTCTCTCTCTCTCTCTCTCTCCCCCCCTCCCCCCACTTAAAACATATGCATTCAGATAGAAACTTGCTGATAGAGTACGAGTAAACTTGTCCATATATTACTGCCCAAAACATAGTTATCGAACCTTCCAGCTTTACCAGCTTGGGTACAAAGGAGCTAGTTTTATGATCAGGCCAACACTTCCTAGTTTCTGAATTTGTCAAACAATACATAATTGTGGTCACCAAACATTTCACAGCTCGGGTTCCTTTCTGTGTGTGGTAAGCACAGATCCGAGAATTGCAGCTGAGACTACACAGAAAGGGTGGGGCATGTGATGACAACGGTAAGTCCCTCCCTCCGCCCTGTGAGACTCACACAGTGCAGCAGCTAGTACCACCTGAAAATGACATCGTGGAAGCCACATGGGAATTTAAATGTCCCCAGTTTTTAAAAAAGTATAAAGGATGCCTTGAAATGGATACCTATTTTATTTGCCCAAGAGGATGTCCCAAAGGAAAAGAATCTGTAATGCTGTCATGAGCATGTCATTGAGGTCCTATATAGCATTATGTTTCTATTTTGGCCTCTGAATAGCATTGAAGAGCTGTTGAGTTTTTCTCCATCATTCTAGCCATGCCCCATGAAGCAAGGAACTTAGAAACAGTTTCTTGCTTTTCAGTTTTATTCCCCTCAAATCAGGGTTGATGGTTTGTCATTAATTATTTCCCTAATTTCTGGTCATTTCCCATGAAAAAACTTAACTATCTCTATTGCCACCCTTCTCCTATATTTCGGTTAGGCCAAATGACTTGAGCACTTCTGTTTCTTTGTAGTTTATGTAATTAGTTCTAAGCAATAAAGCTTATTTTGTTTGTAGAGTTGGCCTGGTCCATACTGAGTGGAGTATGTGTCACTGAGCATGGCTTGTGTCTTGTTTCCTCCACACTAATTCCATCAGAAAGAAAAGAGAGGAAAAGAGAGAGATCACTTAAAGCAGTGATCTGATCAGTCTTTATTTTCATCTAATAAGTACTTAAAATTCCCATCCTATCGCCCTGTCTTGTGTCTGTTTGTTAAAATAACTATGTAGTATATCAGACTTTTCTATAAAATCATTTATAGAATTGCCCCTTACAAACTGGCATCTGTTTCTGAATCCCAGATGAGAGACTGACTCAGCCCTTGTATGGTCAGCTCAGATCCTTTGAGCTCCAAAACAAGGTCCTAAAATTTCAAGGAAAGCAAATCTTGCATGTTCATATATTTTGTCACTGCCCCTGTCATTGAAATGTGCAGTCACCACCATGATGAATGAAACCAATGCAAAAGAGGAAGGAAAAGAGGGGACAGCAAGGCTGGAGGATGACATCTCAAAGTTCCCTGCAGGAAATGAGTTCTCATGGTGTTTATGCCACTGAATTGTGAGCACGTGCACGCTTCTAACTAAACCTAGGCATGAAAATGATGGTGGTACCCTGACTAGACTCTTCTCTTCCAATCCTCTGCAATTTCTTCTGTTTGTTTTAACCTGTAGGAAGAAGCAGGATTTACAGATGATAATGCCATTTCTTATCTACCTTGGGTAAGCCTGACTCCCCCACACAGGTGTCCTCATGTAACTGACCACAGTGGGTCTCCCCTGGGTGAGTGCAAAGCCCTGAAGCACAACCAGGACATGAAAGAGGGAAGAAAAGTCTAGGATTTGAAGTTGCTGAGGTGTGCACTCAAGAGAATTCTCAGAGGTGCATCTCTGTGAACACAGCAGGCAGAAGGCTATCGCTGGAAACGTGTAGATATATTCATGTAGGAAAAACGCTCACAGTTCATGCAGAGAGAGCCAGGCACATTCCTGAACATGCTCAGTTTGAGATTTTGCATCCTATATATCCAAAAAAATGGTTGATGAGATGCCTCTGAGCAAAGAACATAGTGTTATAATAAACTAAGTTTATTCTAGGACACCTTAAAAAGGTTGCGTGAGAGGGACTTCCAGATTTTGTCTGATTCCTTGTAAGCATTAATGCAAGGAAATGGAGGTATGGCTCAAGTGGTAGAGCACCAGCCTTGATTGGCCAAAGCCAATATAGAGTGCAAGATCATGAGTTCAAGCTTCAGTACCAGCACAAAACAACAAAGAAAAAAAAGTCACTCAAGTGGGCATCAGCCTCCTGTCCCTCTAAGCATAGATGATTATCCCTTCCAGGACCTGTGTGTCAGATGTCACTCCCTCTAGATGACAAGCCTGGTTATAGCCCGTTCCAGCTCATTCTGATCATTAGATGGGTCTTCTCTGCCCTCCTTCATTTGTATGTGGTTTAAGAATAACAGCCTTTATACAGCATGAAAAGCTGATCCCATGTTCTTAAGTTTTTTAATTATTTTTATTTACCTATCAAAAATACCTTACAGAAGGTGATTTTTGTGTGTGTGTGAAATGCTAACATTACCAACAAAAGTCATGAATCCCATCTTGATAACCAAGCAGCTTGCATTGTAGTAGTCTCCCCATTCCTCATTCTATCAACACAAAGCTGATTCATACAGGTGCTGCATCTGTGAACTGGTTTTAGTATTGGCATTCATGGAAGGACCCTCGTTACAAAGCAAACTGAAGCCAGGCTCCAGTGGCTCACGCCTATAATCTTAGCTACTCAGGAGGCTGAGATATGAGGATCTAGGTTGGAAGCTAGCCTGGGCAGGTATGTCTGTGAGATTCTTATCTCCAATTAAACACCAAGAGGGCAGAAGTGGAGCTGTGGCTCAAATAGTAGAGGACTAGCCTTGAGCAAAGCAGCTCAGTGACAGCTCCCAGGCTTTGATTTTAAGCCCTAAGACTGGCACAAAAATAAAGGGAAAACGGGAGTTTAAAAAAATAGCAAGGTGAAATTGCAATGAGTCGATTAACTTTTCTGTTAGAACTTCCATTGTTTTGTCTCCCTCACACCACCCCATCTCACCCATCTACCCACCCTTGTAATCAGTCTTTTCATCTCTAATCTTCTTGCTTTGCTCTATAGGAACCTGTATATGCTTCTACTTATTCTCCTGCTATACCTGCTGCCCATAAATACCTGTCTTTTGTAACTATTAATCAGGTGAGGAAAAGCCTATACAAATGAAGCCTCATTGCAATTTCTGAGCGGTAGGGAAGGACTTTGGTTTTGTTTGGCAAACTCATTTATTTGCTCTGTTGTTGTTGTGTGTGTGAGTATGTGTATATGATTGTGTGTATGTCTATGATTGTGTGTATGTCTATGATTTTAGTGTGTCTACCCCTCACAGTCATGAAACTAGCTTAAGGGGCAAGTTCCCCTTTTTAATCACCAAGCATTAAATCCTGTGCTAAGTCAGGAGCTCATCCTTTAATTTTCCGAGCTGGCTGATGGTGCTAGAACAAGGTTATAGTTACTTTGAGGTCTGAGCAGAGGCCTGTGATCTTGTCATCTTTTGTTGAGGCCATTTGTGGCTGCATGCTTGACACAGACACTCAAAACTCTGCTAAGAAGGACTCAAAGCTAAATCTCCTAACAGTGTGCAAAATGTCCTGGCTTAGCCACACTTCTATTTCTTCTTTCCATTTTTATTATTTAACATTACGCTCTTACGATTTCTTTTTACAGTTGAGTTTAACTAGACTTAAGATGAAAATTTAAAAGCTATACCACAAATTTTTCTTTCCTTGAAGCTTTCTAGTTGCAGAAGTGTTTTACCCTTCAGTATACTCTTAACAACATATGTCAGCTACACTCTTACTGTCCCATTTTTCAGGAGATGTGGGAGGGAAGCAAACTTACCAGCAACACATGATAATTTAAAAACATTTTTCCTGATTGGTCTTTTATATGGCTCTAATCTGTTTCCTACTAAATCTCTGTCCTAGGAGAAACCCTCTTTTCTGCCCAGCTGTTTCACTCCCTGATGCGCACACACACACACACACACACACACACACACACACACACACACACACACATTACTCCTCTGTCTTCCTCCTCTGTGCCTCTCTCCCCCTTTCCCCCCACCTCTTTCTCTCTTCATATTCCTAAACCTTATATTTCTAACCCCCTTAATACAAGGAGTCATGTAAAGTGAACTGGTGAGTCAGGTTTCCCGAAACCCAACCCTACTAGTATCCAAGTTAAGTAGAAACGTGTAGAGAGATAAAAATGCTTATGTTTAATATAATGTGCAGGGGAGTAGAAAGCTTCTTGCCTTAGATCTGTCACATGAATTAAAGCTTTAAATTCTACAGTGGTTTTGTCATTCCAGTATGAAGGAGTTCTAGGGCCATCCAAGTGCTTTGGGAATTAAATTGTGGGTTCAAAACAATTTTTCTGAGTCATTTATACACTCCAGTACCACACCCTCGATACTGGAGATGGGTTAATGAGTTCAGCGAAGGCCGAGAGATGTCTGAGTCTTGAAGGAGCCAACTCTCTTGGCACTTGGCTTTTCTGGAAATATTTTAAGCCAAGTCATGTACTTTATTGATTTGATTCAACTCCATTTTCAGTGGAAACTTCTCTCTTTCTTGAATTTTGTGAGGGCATTTCAGCAAGTCATTTCAGGTATTCCTTGAAATTAGGGTCTTCTTGACCGTCATAGGAAATGTATAGTTGTTTTTCGTTTTTAATTTTTGAAAACTTCTTTATTGCTTAAAGTTAAAACTTCTAGGAAAGTTTCCATAATAAGCAGGGTACCCTCCTGCACCCTTTACCCAGCCCAACAATTATTAACATTTGCTCTCTCTCTTCTTTCCTCCATAAATCATGTGTGTGCATTCATGTGTATATGTTGTATATGTGTATGCTCCTTTCAGGGTATACTTGCCAAAGTATTTCCCTCATGTCCACAATACAGTGATACAACGATTAAGATGAGGAATGTAACATTGACATAATGCTTGTCTAATTCACATTTGTATTCATATTGTGTCAATTCCTCCTAATAATGTCTTTTACCCCCCACCATATGAAAGATCGAAGCCAGGATCATATCTTTCATTTAGTCATCCTATTCCTTTAGGAAAAGGTTCTTAACCTAATTTAAATTACCAAGGATCTCAAAATTACTTCCAGCTGTGATGGTCTGGTGAAGAATCCTATGAAGGAAGTCATTATAATTAAGATTAGATGATTGGGAAGAACATAATCATAATTAAGAAAATTAACTGTGACTATCTCTGCTCTCTTCCTGCCCTTCCTGTTGATCCCAGAGGGGGACCAACTCATGTAGTAGAAGGAAAGTTATGGAGGTAGAAAAACCACTGAACCCTGGGGATACATTTCCACCAAAGGCACTCCTAGGCCCATGTCAGGAAAAGGCCTTGGGATCACTTGGATCTCTGATGAGTTCTTATCCAAGGAAAATTCCTCAGGAAGGAAGAGCAGCTAGAGAACTGACAGGAGTTAAGGAGTGCTTAGGCACAACTAGAAAGTAAATGCCCTAGTAGAAATGGTGCCCCTCAGGGCCATGAAGATACCTAGGTAAAAGCAAAAGGGCAAACCTAGGAGGCATTGCCAGCTGTCAGAGACTTTGTGCCAAGAATAACTTCCTTGTAGCCTTCCAGATGAAGTTCTTCCTGCTCTTAGAAGGATTCATTTGCTCTCTTCCTTTCTCGCAATCAGCTCGATGGTCTTCTCCCCCACCACCAACCTTTCCTCCCTCCCCTTCCCTTCTCTTCCTTTCTCCTCTCTCCCTCTCTCTCCCTCTCTCCATTTCTCTCCTAACTCTCCTGGTCCTTCCCTCCTCTCTCCCTCCTGCTTCTTGCCCTATCCTGTGCCTTAATGCAGAGAGGGGGTTTGTAGTCAAAGCAGGGTGGCAGGAAAGAAGGGGGAAGAAACATGATGTTCCGCTTCAATATCGCCACACTCTCACCTACCTACACTCTTCCTTCCTGTCCCCCTCCTCCCTCCCAGTTCACCCCAACTGCTTTCAGTCTTATCTGTCACTTTCCAACTTAACCTTGTCATCCTGGTCCAGTCCCAGTCCAGAGTCCTCTTCAGGTCCCTCTCCACCCCCCTTCCCCTTGGTTACCTACTCTGTCACCAGCATCAAGCCAAAGGAGCACCACCATTGGCCTAGAAATGGAAGCAACGGGTTTTTTCAGAAGCGCAATGAGAAATATTTGAAGGCATCTTTTAAGTAGAAATGGTATCTATGTATGTTATGTCTGTGCACACTGCATCCTCAGTTGTTAGGTTTGTTGTGGCCTACAGCCCCTTCCATGGGTGACCTGGCTACTTTGCTGTCCCTATGACAATCTGCTGAAGGGAGGTGTGTGCCAAGTTCAGGAATCTTATGGACATCTCTTCCTATCCAATTCTGAGTTACACGGATAAATTTGTCTCGACTCACTGTGGTTTGTGTGAGGGCATGTAGACTCTCCCCATGCGCCCACAGTTCACTGAGTTGGACCAGACTCTAGAGCAACTTCATGTGTTACTCTTTTTTTGTTTGTTTTTTTCACCTGCTCTTTCAGTCATGAATGCAACAGACTAAATCTATTTCCTTCTATTTCTTTTCTCTTACAAACAGCGGGTCACGGAAAGTCGGGAGAGCCAGATGACCATTGAGGAGAGGAAGCAGCTCATCACCGTGCGGGAGGAAGCATGGAAGACCAAGGGCAGAGGCGCTGCCAATGACTCCACCCAGTTCACAGTGGCCGGCAGAATGGTGAAGAAAGGTCAGAGCCAGTGCACATGCGCTGTGAGCTTGTGGGTGCCCTGTGCTCACCCACAGAGGTGATGTGGTCTGGAACAGATGCTGTTTTGTTGGTGCTGTTATTTTAAAGTGAAGTTTTAAGCATCCTGGTGTTAGGTGAATCTTTTCTGCATAGGTTTTGTGTGCTAGTCTTACTAAACATTTCATAAAAATCATTTGGGGCTGCCTGCAATATGAAGTGTGATTCAACTTGCCACCATGTCAAAACTTTCCCCTTTTCCCATTTGGAAAGCGAGGACAGTTGTAGATTTCAGAAGTGACTACAAGCCTGCTAAGAATACTTCAACAAATTCTTTCTCACAACCACCTTTTTTTTTTTTTTTTTTTGGTAGTGTGGGAGAACAGTACTGGGAGTGTTGAGTATGATCCTCAGCAATACAAAATCAGAGTAACATACACCCTCCTGTGTCTTTCTTCCAAAAACCCAGTGTTCTTTGCGTTAGTGACTATTTGGCCCGTAAGGCCAAATTGTCTCTGTAACCCCCAATACCAGGGACCACTTTTGGCTAATGTAACACAGCTTATTCTTTTTTGTGTATGTGCTGGTCTTGGGGCTTAACCTCAGGACCTGAGCTCTGTCCCTGAGCAGTTTTTTTGCTCACAGCTAACACTCTTAACAGTTGAGCCACAGCTCCATTTTTGGCCTTTGTTGGTGCTTACGTAGAGATAAGTCTCACCGACTTTCCTACCTGGGCTGGCTTTCAAACATAGTCTTCAGATGCCAGCCTCCTGAGTAGCTAGGATTACAAGTGTGGTCCTCTGGGCCTGGCTCACAGCTTGATCTTAATTAGCTTCCTCTCTAATAGGACAACTGTGCTTCATCTGTTGCCCCTGCCACCAGGAAAGGGCCTTCAAAACTTTTAACTCCATCTAAGTACATTGTGATTGCCTGATGCAGTCTCTTTTTTCCATTTTTATGTCATGGGCTTGTTTTCCTGTGTCTCTATTGTATATTTGGTATATCAGCTCATGAGTGCACAATCTTTAGAAACAATAAAATGCTATCAGTAGTTACAGTTGCCCCTGCATAGTCAAGGTAGCTACTAGATACATATGCTGAGTATACACACACATGCATGGATTATACAATCTACAAGGTACTCATGGAGATTAATTCGTTGGGTCCTAGAAATTTCCAGAATAATTTTAACCTGCTGTATCACTGTGTTATTTGTTCTTCAGGCTTGGCATCACCCACTGCCATAACTCCAGTCTCATCTCCTCTGTGTAGTAAGTCAAGAGGTACTACGCCAGTGTCCAAACCCCTAGAAGGTAAGTCACTAGGGTGGTCCCCAATAGCCTGTGAGCTTCTGATCTGAGTTTTCAGTAACACTCACTTACTGATGCTTTCTTCTTGATTAGATATTGAAGCCAGACCAGATATGCAATTGGAATCAGACCTGAAGTTAGATAAGCTAGAAACCTTTCTAAGAAGGCTAAATAACAAAGGTAAGACCAGACCAAGTGTCTGTTTTATCATATTGTGATTTGTATTTATAATGAATAGCTAAAAATGTTCTTTTTAAAAAAAAAAACTTGCTTCTTATCATAATCTCCATATCCTAATTCTGATTTCTTATCCTCATGCTAAATTGTCTTCTTTTTAGTGTAGCTTTACTAATTATTTTGTTATTATAATCTTTGCTGTTAGCTTTCAAAACTATGACCAAGACAGAATAATGTACTAAATCAGGGACTTTCAATAATACACATGCTGGGGCTGGGAAGGTGGCTCAGTGGTAGAGTGCTTGCCTTGCATGCCTGAGGCCCTGGATTTGATTCCTGAGCACCACATAAGCAGAAAAAGCCAGAAGTGGTACTGTGGCTCAAATACTAGAGTGCTAGCCTTGAGCTGAAGAGCTGAGGGACAGTGCCCAGGCCCAGAGTTCAGGTCCCACGACTGACAAAGTAATAATAATAATAATAATAATACACATGTCTGAAAAAAAAAGTTTTAAAACCTCTTACATTGTTTGTTTATTGATTGATAGTTGGTGGGATGCAAGAAACGATCCTCACTGTCACCGGGAAGTCTGTGAAGGAGGTGATGAAGCTGGATGATGACGAAACCTTTGCCAAATTCTATCGCAGTGTGGATTCTAACATCCCAAAAAGTCCTGTGGAGTTAGATGAAGATTTTGATGTTATTTTCGACCCTTATGCACCCAAGTGAGTCTCTGCCTCTGTCTTTCATCTGCTGTAGAACACTTCCTTCTCCTCTTCCCCACATCATTCCGCCAGGAACTCTGTCACTGTGTTCTTCATGGGAGTTGATCTCCCTGCAGCCGCATTGACACTCTGGCCAGATAAATATACATCCTCCAGACTGTGTGTGTCACAGAGGTTTGTCCTGTTCTATCAAAATAGTGTCACTGGTAAGAACACATGATTAGTATAGCTAGAAAACCAAGAGGGGTAGAGAGGTTACCTAGTTTATTATAATGTATAAAATCAGTAGACCTAAGAATTTTCTCAATGATGTCCAAAAATGACTCTTCCCACAAGAACATAACAAACCTACCTAAAAAAGTTATTGTGGTATTGGGATCCTGTCAGTTACAAGTGCCATAGAAATACCTAAGGCAGGGGCTGGGAAGGTGGCTCAGTGGTAGAGCACTTGCCTTGCATGCATGAGGCCCTGGGTTCCATTCCTCAGCACCACGTAAGCAGAAAAAGCCGGAAGTGGTGCTGTGGCTCAAGTGGTAGAATGCTAGCACTGAGCTGAAGAGCTGAGGGACAGCGCCCAGGCCCAGAGTTCAGGCCCCACGACCAACAAGAACAACAACAAAAAAACAGAAATGCCTAAGAAAAACTACCTTCAGCAAAAGAAAGTTGTGGAAGGATTACAGGTTCACATGCTGAAAACTAGTGGGATCTCAGGTTCCAGAGCCCCATCAGAACATGGCCTCTCTTCTTTATGAACTGGTTTCACTCTCGGTCAAGCTGTGGCTGCATCTAGCTCCAGATCCTGCCGCCAACCTGGGCACCATAGCTTTGCTTTCCACTAGAGCCAGCAGAAATTCCAGGTTGGCTTTTCATTGCTTCAAGTAGTGAAAAACCCAAGTAAGATCCTGAGGCCCTGAATTCAAGCCCCACTACTGGCACCAAAAAAATGGAGAACGATTTTTATCAGCTTCCTAAGTTCTTCTAAACCATCCATTATAGCCAAGAACCAGAAGATGGTGGTGTCTAGATCCTTCCCATCCAGGCCATGGAAGGGTGGAGTGGATTTCTCCAAGGAAAGCCCCCAGGCCATTGCCAGAAGCAGGAGTCATGTGCCAGGCAGGGTATACCCACAAGCACCTGCCATGTCTCTGTTCTTTCCCATCTGGGTGACTGTCTGAGTATGTTTAGTCATCTTAAAATTTCTTTTTTTGTTTGGTTTTTTTTTAACTGTATTTTTTTTTTGTCTTTTCTTTTTTTGGTACTGGGGATCGAACCCAGGACATTGCACTTGCTAGGCAAGCGCTTTGCCACTGAGCTACATCCCAGCCCGGTAGTCATCTTAAAATGTCTGTAAGATGCTTCCAGTACATTTTTACATGTAATTAATTTGTTCAATTTATTTCAGTTTGTGTGTTTCCATTTCCTGTCTTTAAAGAACAACTTTCCATTGCCCACCTTCAAATGACATTTGTATTTGCAATAAATGGTTATTTAACCATTTCTCAATTTTCTCCTCACCAAATGTCACTGTTTAAGTTGTTCAATATGGTCATTTAAACATCTATGTGTACATTTAGATACACACAGAGGCAGTGTTATACATTAACAAGACTTTTGCTCACAGACCTAAGTACCTAGAAGTTGCAGGCAGCAGCAGGGGTCTGTTATGAAGTCTCATCACTAGACCTACCAGCTTCCCAGGCCACGCTTCTGTCCACAGTAGTGAAGGGAGTGCCTGTGGAATCACAGGTGGTTTGCAGGCTCTTGCATTGCACTGTCTTCTTCAATATTGTGGTTATTGTCAGACACCAGTAGCTCACACCTCTAATACTAGCTACTAAGGATGCTGAGATCTGAGAAACAAGGTTTGAAGCCATCCCAAGCAGGCAAGTCCAAAAGATTCCTATCCCCAATTAATTAGCAAAGAACTGGAATTGAAGGTGTGGTTCAAGTGAAAGAGTTCCAGCCTTGAGCAAAAAGAAGGCTAAGGGAGGAGAATCCCCTTAGTTCAAGCCCCAGTGCTGGCACACATACACGCACACACAACCACAAATTGTGATTATTTCTCTCAGGGGTCAGTGGTTGAGGATTGGTGATGAAACTGAAAAACTATTGTATAAAAAGAACTGTTGTTCTGGAGCAGCAAGGGTGGGACTGAGGGCCAGTGGCTTCCTGTGAATTCTAGAGGCAGCATTCTACACAGGTGAGCCCTTCCAAAGAGAGACTTGGGACATGGCATGGTGTGAAACAGCAGTTCCTCGGCCTTTAGAGCTGTCCAGTGGAGGACACGCTGCCCGTGGAGCATTAGATAGCCACTAAGTAGACACCAATGGACATAAGTGAACTGGGCTCCTGGGACAGGGACATCCTGGATTCAGTGGGCTTGAATCTCCCTCTACCTCCAAGATCCCATGATTTCTTGTCAGGTGAGTAAGAATGGGAGATGCTGTAGTCATAATGAAATCAAGCAATGCTATTATGGAACCCATTACTCTGGGTCCAAGATCCACAGGCAAACCAGGAGTGGCTGGTGTTACAGCCATAAAACCCAACTCTGCTTGGCCCCCAGATTAACGTCGTCTGTGGCGGAGCACAAGCGTGCAGTTAGGCCCAAGCGCCGAGTCCAGGCTTCCAAAAACCCCTTGAAGATGTTGGCGGCAAGAGAGGATCTCCTCCAGGAATACACGGAACAGAGGCTGAATGTGGCCTTCATGGAGTCCAAGCGGATGAAGGTGGAAAAGAGTAAGTGTTTGGAACCACTGCCCTGCTTCTCTGCTTGGGCATAGGGTGTTCATTTGTTGTACTTATTTCTTCATTTTTCTGCATTGTGAAGGCCAGAAAAGATGCTCAAATGACATCTATTAAGTAATAAGTAAGTTTGCACAAACACAGGCATGTGGGCCTAAATTTTCAGGATCAAGGAGGACCATCTGTTCAGTTGAGCAATTTAAAAACATCCTGATTGAAGAAGAAAGATGCATCTGGATTTTGTGGTTCAACCCAGATTCAGCCCTATTAGAACCCAAACACAGTAATTCTCACTGCATCTTATTCAAGAGCCAACGGAATTTCCTATGGAAATATATCTCAACTCACTGTTCTTAATCCTGGAGTTTTAAGCTAACACTTTCGAATCATTCCTTAGTTTATTTTACTTGTTTTTATTTTTATTTAGTTTTATTTAATTTACTTATTTTTGTGTGAATATACCCCTTCTGAGGCTTGAACTAGGTGCTTTCTTGTACCGTTTTTCACTCAAATCTGGCACTATACCACTTAAACCACAACACTACTTCATTTCTGGCTTTTTAGTGGTTAAGTGGAGATAAGAATCTTATGGACTTTCCTGTCTGAACTAGCTTTGAACTAAGATTCTCAGATCTCATCCTCCTGAGTAGCAAGGATTTTCACAGGCCACTAGGATCTAGCTCAAACCATTCTACATAGAGGTCACTAAGGCTGCCAAGTGTCAGGATGGGGATTAAGTGGGGTAGGACGGGCTGGAATGGGCCTTGAATGGAGAGAGAGAGAGTGGGCACCTGGCTCTCTACTCCCATGTAAGGCCAAGTTGCCCTGCTTTTATCTAACAATGCTGGGTTCCATTGTTCCAAAAAAGTGGTTTTGTTGGTGGAGGTGACTGCATGCAGAATCTTGATATTTGAATATTGTTATTCAATATTATTCAATATTATTCAATATTATTATAATTTGTATTTTCCCACAGACTCACAAACCGAATTTCCCAAGATTTTTTCTTAGAAATACAGTATTTAGATGAGATGGCTAAGTCACTTTCTCCTTTTCTCCCTCTCTTCTCTCTGTCTTCTTCCCTCTCCTTTCCCTCTGTCCTCTCCTTCTTTCTCTATATATTACCATCTATTAATTACACCAGAGTTTCATTATAAAATTTCCATACATACACATAATGTACTTTGATCTAATTCACCCCATATTAATCTTTCTTTTTTTCTCCTCGTCTCCTACTTTTAAAGGGCATTTTAATGGGTTTCATTGTTCTATTGTGTAAAGCCTGGTCATCTGAAAGTTGTTAGCAGTTATAACAGCTTTCAGTATAATTGGAACAAATGAGCTCCTCACCTGGTTTATCCTAATGTTGCTACTTTAGTTTGCATGATCACGTGGCACTTGCCATGAAGTGGTTTATACCTCAGGTTCTGCAGTTAGGTTTTCTTGGACGGTGATTGTTTGATGGCACAGAGAACCAAGCTTGAGTACGTTTTCCTCCTTAGATAACTATAAAATGCACAGATCATGAGTTGGTTGGGAATGATTTCTGATTGTAAACATTGTCAATTCAATGAGCACCTTACTTTCCCTCTACATGGCTCTCCTTCTCACCCAGTGTCCTCCAACTCCAACTTCTCCGAAGTGACTCTGGCAGGCTTAGCCAGTAAGGAAAACTTCAGCAATGTCAACTTGCGGAGTGTCAACCTGACAGAGCAGAATTCTAACAACAGCGCTGTGCCCTACAAAAAGCTGATGTTGTTACAGATTAAAGGTATTTCTGAGCAGCACAGGTGGGGCAGGGATGAGAGCGGGGTTTGGGGGGCATTGTGCATTAATCAGTTCTGTCTAGTCCCACTAGGAGTCCTGCCTGTACCCTTCCTTGCCTGTCAGAAACCCAGCATGCGAGCTTTCTGAGAATACAACTCTTACACCTAATCAAATCTCATGAGGCAGGAGATATGCTGCCCACTGGGGCTTTCAGAGGTCTTTAATGTGGCAAATCTGGAGTTAGAGTCAGGTCTCTTTTCTTCCTGCCTCTCAGCTTTTGCTCCCACTTCCTCTGGTCCCTCAGGTCCCCACACTGCCATGCAGACACTAGATGAGTCTGAAGACCTCAGACCACTCTCCACTCATGTCTCCTTGCTCAGATGAGCAGAGATTTTATGCTAGCCAGAGGGAGGAGGACACCAGGATGGAATCAAGAGAATGCAGAAGGAAATGAAATTTATGGGACTCTACTCTCTGCCCTTCCTCTGGACAGCAAGTGAGACACAAACACACCTGTTCACATGCTGTACAGTGACACTGTGACTAGTCCTAAAAAGGGAGATGTTCAACCTTAAGCAGGGGAAGTAATCACTAATAGTATCACGTGGCCCAGCTTAAATCCCTCTGCATGCCACGCAGACGTGGGAACTAATATTTGTAAACAGAAACCTTTAGAATTGGTAGTGTATAACTGCCATGCTTCCCACCTGCCTTGGGCCCCATGAGAAAGTGGTGATTCTGGGCCTTGTGTTCAGGAAGAAGACACGTGCAAACAAGGCTGGTGGAGCCTCGCGCCTCATCACTCAACAGCGGGGACTGCTTCCTTCTGCTGTCTCCCCAGTACTGCTTTCTGTGGGTTGGAGAGTTCGCAAATGTCATCGAAAAGGCAAAGGTGGGTGTCTGAGCAACTGCTTTTGTTGGGCCGGGTGCAGTGGCTTGTGCCTATAATCGCAGCTAGAATCCTACTACTACTATCATCCCTCTGTCTTCTCATTTGGAAGGTGGAGATAGGATTATGGTCCGAGGCCAGCTCCTACAAAAAGGTTAGCAAGGTCTTACCTGAAAAATAATGAAACCAAAAAGGGTTGAGGTCTGTGGTTCAAGTGGTGGGATCTTACCTTAGCAAGCATGACGTCCTGAATTCAAACCCATGGACCACCAAAATATTTTAGTTAACACTTCCATTATGCAACAATTATTTTTACTAGCTATCTGATCCTTACAGAGCTTCCTAAATGCCTAATGTTTTGTTCAAGTGACAAGAGACAGGTAGCCTGACTTTTCCTGAGCTTTTGTGACGTACTGATTTGGGATGCTTTAGTTAGTTCTGCTTTAGTTTATTCCTGCCCCAAATAAACAAGGAACCATCACCAAGCAAAGACCCTTTATCCTGGGAACCTATGAACTTTGCCACAAACCTGTATGAGAATCTCCTGGGGGTAGGTAGTTGTTTTAAGCTTCATATGTGAGCTATGGAACATGAAAAATCAAGAACTGTTTGCTCTAAAGAACTAGTACTTGTTCATATCAATTCCCTAAATGACATGTTCTTTCTTTTTTGTGCCAGTACTGGGCTTTGAATTTAGGACCTCCTGCTCACTCTTAGCTTTTTTCAATCAAGACTAGTACTCTACCACTTGAGCCACAGGTTCTCTTCTAGCTTTTTGCTGGTTAATTGAAAACTAGTTTTATAGATTTTTCTGTTCAGCTGGCTTTGTGTTCCTCAGATCCTGAGTAGTGAGGATTACAGGTGTGAACCACAAGTGCCTGGTTTACATTTTCTTGACTTTATTGAAAATACCCAACATCCAGAATCCCCCTGTGGTCACAAGACTTTCAGACACAAACCGTTTCTCTGCGCATTATGACATTTGCCACGTTTGCTTGGTACATGCCAGCTTACTTCCCCGGTCACAGCATTCCTCTCTCTTTTCAGGCGTCAGAACTAGCAACTTTAATTCAGACAAAGAGGGAGCTTGGCTGCAGAGCTACCTATATCCAGACCATTGAGGAAGGAATTAATACACACACTCATGCAGCCAAAGATTTCTGGAAGCTTCTGGGTGGCCAAACCACTTATCAATGTAAGAGCTTTCTATACTTAAGACTTGAACATCCTGTCTTAGCTCCCTTGGTTCATCTTTCTACACTAGCTCCTTTACCATGTCAAATGTGATGCTATCGTACTATTCTCACTCCACAGATGCTGGAGACCCAAAGGAAGATGAACTGTATGAGACAGCCATCATAGAAACGAACTGCATTTACCGTTTGATGGAGGATAAGCTTGTGCCTGATGATGACTACTGGGGGAAAGTTCCCAAGTGCTCTCTCCTGCAGTCCAGAGAGGTATGGAGATGCTCCCCAGGTCAGAGGCACCAGGACAGACCCCTAGAGCGTTCTTCCCAGAGCTGCCCAGCATAGCAGACAGTTAGTGCCCAATAGAAGTTATCTGGCTTTCTCACTGATTGTCCATCACTTCAGCTCTTATAGGATATCTGTGCGGGACTTCAAACCATTACTGCCTTCTACAATAGATGCATAGATGTTCCAGCTCTAACAGCTAGTCCCGAATATTGTCCAGAGGTAGTATGGATCATTGAGGGTGTGCAGATTTTAGACAAAATGTAAACACTACTTTGCCTTGTCTCTCTAATTTTCTGAAAAGATTTAAGTTTTTTTTCCAGTTAAGTTTCAGGAATAATAGATGCATGTGTATTTCAGTTATGGGCTTAACAAATTAATGTAGGGTTTTTTCCTCTTACTAGAGTAAATATTAATTTCCTACCCTTGCAATGGCCTTAAGTGCTGAGAAAATAAGTGGAAGAGAGTTGGCTGAGCATGATAGTACATGTCTGTAATCCCAGCACTCAGGAAACTGAAGCAGGACCATGAGTTTAAGGCCAAAGCTGGGTTACAGTAGTAAGACCCTATCTTAAAAAGAAACCAGGGAGAGGGAGAGAAAAGAAGGGAGAAAGGAAAAGAGAATGGGGTGATAGAGAGGAGTAATAAGGGGTGAATGGACATGCCATAATGAAAACCCTTACTTTGTACAATTATAATAATAATAATAATAATAAATAAACAAATAAATACAAATTTCATTGGATAGAAGCATATTTGAAAACACAATCCAAAACTAGATTGAATGTATGAGCATTTAAATGTGGGGAAAGGTTATCAAAAAAGAAATTGTGAGGAATAAAATTTAAAGACTGACCTCAAACCATGAGCCTCCCAATCTCTGCCTCTTGAGTATTTAGAGACATGAGCTATGTGCCAGTGGCTCACAATTACAACTAACCCTAGCTATTCAGGAGGCTGAGATCTGAGAATCACAGTTCAAAGCCACCCTGGGCAGGAAAGTGTGAGACTCATATCTCCAATAAACTACCAAAAAGCAAGCTGTGAAGCTGTGGCTCAAGTGGTAGAGCATTAGCCTTAAGCAAAAGGAAGCTCAGGGACAGCACATAGGCCACAAGTTCAAGCCCCAGGTCTGTACACAAACAAAAAAAAAGCCAAAGTACAGGCATGAATGACTGTACCTGGCTGGGTGTTTTTGTTTTTGTTTTTATAGTGCTGGGAAATAAACCTCAAAACTTGAGTTCACAAGACAAGGGCTCTTCCACTAAAGCCACACCCTAAGCCCTACAGAGTCATTTATTTATTTCATTGTATTTTATTGTTCCAATACTGGAGCTTAAACACTGAGGACCTTGCTTGGCTCTTTTTGCTCAAGACTGGTGCCCTACAAGTTGAGCCACACCTCCACTTCTGGCTTTTTGGTGGTTAATTGGAAATGAGAGACTTTTCTGCCTGGGCAACTTTGAACTACAATCCTTGGATCTCAGTCTCCTGAGTAGCTATAGATTGCAGACAAATGACACCCGTGTATCTGGCTCAGAAAATGAAATGAGCCTAGTTTAAAGTTAAGTAGAACTTAGACTGCTGGGAATGAAGGTAGAAAATATTCTAGGGGAAAAAAAAGAGTAGAAAGAAAGAAAAAAAACCCACAGGTGTGGAAGTGAGAACTAGCGTGATATTTTGGTACTCATTCAGCAACCTCTTAGGAATAAGCCTGTATTGTAAGTATGAGAGTAGTAAGATCGCTGCCCTTAAGCGTGGTAGAATTGTGCACAGAAGAGAAGAGATATTATACTCTTGTTCTTGATATGTATGCAATCGTCTGTGTACATGAAGTGAATGAATGAACACATGCCCTAGGGAGTAGAGGGGGTACACAAAGAAGCTAGGAGGTGTATTCAAATAGCTCTCTTATTAATCAGAAGCACATATCTTTTTGGCTTTTGTTTTTGTTTTTTGTGCCAGTCCTAAGGATTCAACTCAAGGCCTGGACACTATCCTTAAGCTTATTTACTAAAGGCTAGTACCTCTTGAGCCACAGCTCTACTTTTTGGCATTTTGGTGGTTCATTAGAGATAAGAGTCTCATGGACTTTCCTACTAGGGCTGGCTTTGAACTACCACCCTCAGATCTCAACAAACATGAGCCCACCAGCACCCACCTAATGAAAAGTTTGAAGTGGCTTGAGAGTTCAGAAGAGGAAATATGAAGCTGGAGCTTCAGGACAAGAAGTCTGGCTGACAAAGTCTCAGGCCCTTTTTCTGTATTGATTATCCTGCTAGGATTTATATCCTCACTACTTGGCTCAGTGACCCTAGAGACCAGATTCCTATTCAGCCCATCCTCAAAGTGGACCAATTATTTTCTGTCATCTCCCTAGGTCCTGGTGTTTGATTTTGGCAGTGAAGTTTACGTGTGGCATGGAAAAGAAGTCACATTGGCCCAACGGAAAATAGCGTTTCAGCTGGCAAAGCACTTGTGGAACGGAACCTTTGACTATGAGAACTGTGACATCAATCCTCTGGACCCTGGAGAATGCAATCCGCTTATTCCCAGGTACGCCTGCGGTCGCATGCAAAGCCCACGTGCGCACACTCCCTCTGCCAGCCTTAGTTCTTCCCAGTCACCCTCTGCTGCTCTTTAGAACAGAGATTGCAGTTTTGAAAAATGTTCCCTTGGCCTGGGAACATTCACAAATGTTTCTTGAGCTTTTCTTTCACTACAATCCTTGGATTTGAGCCATTTGAGCCATAGCCCTATTTCCAGCTCGCCCTTTCCTTCCCTTCCTTTCCTTTCCTTTCCCTTCCTTTCCCTTCCTTTCCTTTCCTTTCCTTTCCTTTCCCTTCCTTTCCTTTCCCTTCCTTTCCTTTCCTTTCCTTTCCTTTCCTTTCCCTTCCTTTCCCTTCCTTTCCCTTCCTTTCCTTTCCTTTCCCTTCCTTTCCTTTCCCTTCCTTTCCTTTCCCTTCCTTTCCCTTCCTTTCCCTTCCTTTCCTTTCCTTTCCCTTCCTTTCCTTTCCCTTCCTTTCCTTTCCCTTCCTTTCCTTTCCTTTCCCTTCCTTTCCCTTCCTTCCCTTCCTTTCCTTTCCCTTCCTTTCCTTTCCTTTCCCTTCCTTTCCCTTCCTTTCCCTTCCTTTCCCTTCCTTTCCTTTCCTTTCCCTTCCTTTCCCTTCCTTTCCCTTCCTGTCCCTTCCTTTCCTTTCCTTTCCCTTCCTTTCCTTTCCCTTCCTTTCCTTTCCCTTCCTTTCCCTTCCTTTCCCTTCCTTTCCTTTCCTTTCCCTTCCTTTCCCTTCCTTTCCCTTCCTGTCCCTTCCTTTCCTTTCCTTTCCCTTCCTTTCCTTTCCCTTCCTTTCCTTTCCCTTCCTTTCCTTTCCCTTCCTTTCCTGTCCCTTCCTTTCCTTTCCCTTCCTTTCCTTTCCCTTCCTTTCCCTTCCTGTCCCTTCCTTTCCTTTCCTTTCCCTTCCTTTCCTTTCCCTTCCTTTCCTTTCCCTTCCTTTCCCTTCCTGTCCCTTCCTTTCCTTTCCTTTCCTTTCCTTTCCTTTCCTTTCCTTTCCCTTCCTTTCCTTTCCTTTCCCTTCCTTTCCTTTCCCTTCCTTTCCTTTCCTTTCCCTTCCTTTCCTTTCCCTTCCTTTCCCTTCCTTTCCCTTCCTTTCCTTTCCTTTCCTTTCCTTTCCTTTCCTTTCCCTTCCTTTCCTTTCCTTTCCCTTCCTTTCCCTTCCTTTCCTTTCCCTTCCTTTCCTTTCCTTTCCCTTCCTTTCCCTTCCTTTCCTTTCCTTTCCTTTCCCTTCCTTTCCTTTCCTTTCCCTTCCTTTCCTTTCCTTTCCCTTCCTTTCCTTTCCCTTCCTTCCTTTCCTTTCCTTTCCCTTCCTTTCCCTTCCTTTCCCTTCCTTTCCTTTCCCTTCCTTTCCCTTCCTTTCCCTTCCTTTCCTTTCCTTTCCTTTCCCTTCCTTTCCTTTCCTTTCCTTTCCTTTCCCTTCCTTTCCCTTCCTTTCCTTTCCTTTCCCTTCCTTTCCTTTCCTTTCCTTTCCTTTCCCTTCCTTTCCTTTCCTTTCCTTCCTTTCCTTTCCTTTCCCTTCCTTTCCTTTCCTTTCCTTTCCCTTCCCTTCCCTTCCCTTCCTTTCCTTTCCTTTCCCTTCCTTTCCTTTCCTTTCCTTTCTTTTCCTTTTCCTTTCCCCTCCCTCCCTCCCTTTCTCCCTCCCTTTCTCCCTTCCTTCCTTCCTTCCTTCCTTTCTTCTTTCTTCTTTCTTTCTGGTAATTAAAGATAAGTCTCACACTTTGGTCTTCAGGAAAATGTTTATATTTAAGTTTTACTTTCTAAAATCATTCATTCATTCATGTAGAGTACTAGTCTTGAGCACAAAAGCTCAGTGCCCAGGCCCTGAGTTCAAGCCCTACAACCAACCAACCAACAAACAAACAAATAAGTAAATATAAAAAGGAGGAAACTACCTAGTTTATTGGGAGGCAGAGATCAGAAGATCACAGTTTGAGCCTGGCTCAGGCATAAAAGTTCAAGAGACTCCATCTTTACAACTGGCTAGTTGTTTACTACTGGGTAGCGGTTGTCCCAGATTCAGGGGCAGTACAGTGACTAAGCACAATGCATGCTTGTTATCCCAAGTATCATGGGGAAGCACAAGTAGGAGGATCACAGTCCATGCTAGCTGGGGAATGAAGCAAGACTCTACCTTGAAAATAACACAAAACAGGGTTGGAAGTATGGCCCAAGTGGTAGAGCATCTATCTAGCAAGCACAAGTCCCTGAGTTCAATTCCCAGTACCAAGGAGAAGTACCTTGTCCCTGGGAAGCCCTATAAATGAGGACCCCTCACCAGTACTACACCCTACATTCTGCAGTGAGTCTCCTACTCAATGCACTTCATTTCACGTAGGAGATGCTTTCTAAAGTGGAAGCCAGAGAAAATAAGCTATAAAAGGGTCTATAGTCCTAATAGCAAGTCTGCAGAGTAAGGTGTAGAAAAAGATTTCTTGACCTGGAGACCATAGCCCTTCAATGTAGTTGTAAACTTTCCTTAATGGTTGATATGTGATTGCTGAGATCCACTGGGGACTTGAGATGGAGGCATTTGGATATTTGCATGCTGTACTTCATCCTCATCTTCCATCGAAACATGCAGCCTCCTTCATGTGTTTTTACTTATAATGCCAGAAACTGTGGTCTTGACCAAGTAGGAGGTGATTGGAGACCAGGGCATAGCAGGGCACAGCATTGTAGCTGCTTTATCTGAGGTGACAGTGGCATCCTGGTCCCAGTTCACAGCCAGCACTGATTTGGAGGGAGAAGAAATACCTGCCTGTTAATTCTCAAAGCTGTGCGTTCTGTACAACGTAGTTCCTGAGCTTCTGCTTCTTTCTAATTTACCTGTGTTGGGGGCTAGGGGTGTGCTCAGTGGTAGAGCACTTGCTTAGCACTTGCTTAGTGAGCACTTGCCCTAGGATGCATCTTCAGTATCAAAATAAAATAAATCCCTTGTGTTCTTTGTGTGTGCATGTGCGCACGTGCGCGCGCACGTATACACACACACACACACACACACACACACACACACACACACAGAGTTCCTGAGGCTTGAACTTGGGGCCTCACATTCTCACCTGGTTTATTCGCTGAAGGTTGGTACTCTATCAAGTCACACCACTACTTTCAGCTTTTTGCAGTCTAGGGTCTAATGCCAACCCCAGGGACATCCCCAGGAAGAGCTTGCTAGAATGCAAGAGAAGCCCATACCACACACAGTTGCACTGAAGCACATCAGCTTCTCAGTACCAACCTTCACAAGGCTCCAGGCTAAAACCAACACAATATCACTTACTTGGTAAAATAAGGAGAAGCAAGTCATTTGTTCAATATGCCACTTTTTTCAATAGTCATGCATGAGTCTATGTGTGTGAGTGTGTGTGTGTGTGTGTGTGTGTGTGTGTGTGTGTGTGTGTGTGTGTGTGTGTGTGTTATTTAAAGGGTACTATCCTTTCTCTTTTTTTTTTTTTTTTGCTCAAGGCTAGCACTCTCCCATGGAGCCCACTGCGCCATTGCTTTAGGCTTTTTGCTAGTTAGATGGAGATTAGAGTCTTGTGGACTTTGCTGCCCAAGCTGGCTTTGAAACATGATCCTCAGATCTCAGTCTCTAGAGCAGGCAGGATTGCCTGACTGAGCCACCTCTGTCATAGTTTGTCTGTCATGTAGTCAAGATTCTTTTCTTCCCTACTCCGCTCTTGCAGAAAAGGACAAGGACGGCCAGACTGGGCGATATTTGGGAGGCTTACAGAACACAATGAGACTATTTTGTTCAAAGAGAAATTTCTCGATTGGACTGAATTGAAGAGACCTACAGAGAAGAACACCGGGGAACTTACCCCACAGAAGGTATGATAGTGACTAGCCTCAAACTTGGGCTTGGTTTGAGTCCCAATAAAAATGGCCATGATGGTAAAAGACTTCCCAGGGAGCATCCACTAAAACAGCAAAATAGTCTCAAGTACATTCTAGCATTTGTTGCTTTGCTTGTCAATATTCAGCCTCCCAAATTCTTTCCCCTAAATACAGCCTTCAGATACCCCAAGACAGTATGAAAGCTAAATCTTCACACTGTACTATTAATAATTGAATCAGGGCTAGGGTGTAACTCAGAAGTAAAGTGATTGCCCAGCATGCAAGAGGCTCTGAATTCCATTCCTAATACCACCACAAACAGCAAAAGATGACTATAACAACATTGAAGATGATAAGAAATGACTAAGTAGCTGAGCCCTGATGGCTCCCACCTATAATCCTAGCTACTCTGGAGGCTCAGATATAAGGATCTCTGTTCAAGGCCACCCCAGGCAGGAAATTCCATGAGACTCTTATCTCCATTTAATCATCAAAAGGCTAGAAGTAGAGCCGTGGCTCAAGTGGTAGAGTGTCAGCCTTGAGGGGAAAAGCAAAGCTCAAGAATAATAACCAGACCCTGAGTTCAAGCCCCAGTACCAGAACAACAACAACAACAACAAGACTAGGATCAGAAGCAACTGAATGCTTGCATGTTTCCTTGTAGGAAGATCCCAGAGCGGACATCAAGCCATGTGATGTGACACGGATGGTGGCGGTGCCCCAGGTGACAGCCAGCACTATACTGGACGGAGTCAATGTTGGCCGTGGCTATGGCCTGGTGGAAGGGGAGGACAGGAGACAGTTTGAGATTGCCAGTGTCTCTGTGGACGTGTGGCATATCCTGGAATTTGACTACAGCCGTCTCCCCAGACAGAGCATCGGGCAGTTCCATGAAGGTGATGCCTATGTGGTCAAGTGGAAGTTCATGGTGAGCACCGCAGGTTAGTGAGCGCTGACGTCGTCCTCAATGAGGGAGGCTGAAATCCAAGCACAGGGTTGGGACACTGTAGCAATCTAGCCCCATGCTCCTGAGGACCAGAGAGTGAACATGTCAGTGAGGAGGAAGGCAGAGTTCCTGACAGCCTGGCAGTGCTGATGTCCTCAGGTTCACTTCCAGAAAGCAAGCCTGCAATCAATGCTTGCTTCTCCACCGTCATGCCCAGCCCTGGCCCAGAGGTTTGCTAGGAAAACAGTGTTTGCCATGTGATTTTATGCTGCTTAGATAAATAATTAAATAGTACTTATTGTTGAGAGGCTTTAAACTGGAACCCATTAGTACACTGACACTGTAATACAGGGAAGAGTCATTCATTTTTGTGGTTTGTTTTTTTTGGGTGAGGGATTGTTTTGCTTTGGTTTTTTTTAATGTCAGTACTAGGGCATGCACTCAGGGTGTATGAACTCTCACTGGACTTGCTTGCTTGGGTGGCGCTCTACTACTTGGGCCACACCTCCAGACCAACATTTTGGTGGTTAATTGGAGACAGAAACTTGAAAGCTTTTCTGTCCAGGCTGGCTTTGAACCTCAGGATGACACCATGGCAGGCTGAAATAGTGGACTATGCCCCTGGCTGCCAGGAAGGTGACCTTAGTGTATGTTAGGGGTGGGGTCTTCTGACCTATAGACTGAAACTCTAGGAAACTAACTTTACAGCAGGTGGAGTTCCAAAAACACAAAAAGGGAGTTGTATGTTTACTAGAATAAACTACATTAAAGGGAATTCATTATTAGGGAATTCATTAGGTACATCTAAATTTTCCAAAACCTTCATAGACTATTTAATAGGAGATGATGGGAAATAATGACTTGACCAAACAACCTCTTCTAATACTTCTTCCCAAAGAACCCAAAGATGCTCATTACTAGCTTCCACAGTATCTTTATAAACAAGGTTACAACTTTTTTTATATGTTTTTTATTGTAAAACTACTGTACAGAGGGGTTACAGTTACATGAGTAAGGTAATGAGTACATTAAGGTTACAACTTTTTAAAACTCCAGCTGTCAAGAATAAGTTCAAAGCCTTCCAATTCCAGAGTATCCTTTTGGGAGCAAAGCAGAGTGATGGTATCTGCAGAGAATCCTCCCCTCATTTTTACTTCTTTTTTGTTCGTTATTTGAGGCAGCATCTTCCTAAGTAACACCTCCATCTAGCTAAGCCTCGGTGATGGACATGAAGCCCCTAGCCCTTTGAAAAGAGTGGTAGGTCAGCAACAAATCTGTTCCAATTCTGACTTAACTTGGAAACTTCAAAGCTGTCTACTTTTAAAACTAGAATAGTTTTTTTTAACAGTCTTAAGTGTTTCCTGTCCAGCTATCATGTTTAGTATTGTTTCTTCACCGCTAATCCTTTACCAGAGAGTGGCATAGTGTGGAAAGTGTGTGTATGTTAGTGTGTGTGTGTGTGTGTGTGTGTGTGTGTGTGAGAGAGAGAGAGAGAGAGAGAGAGAGAGCGCATGGTCCTGCTCTGTCAATCTGCATTTCTGCTGCTGTCACACATTTGGACAGGCTCTGTCTCCCTATCTAGGATGACAAGTTTCTCTCTGGGGATCCAGGGCCCCCTTTCAAGCAAGCATCTTTCTAATGTTTGGAGGTGTCAGTCAGCTGGGAGAGAGATGATTTTCTTTTTCTGCAGTGAGATTGATCTGCCTCTAGCTGTGAGCGGTTTCCCCTCAGCCCTGGACTCCGCAGCTGTTTCTGTACCTCGCATCCTCACAGCCCGTGGGGAAGTGGTGAGGGCTTCACTCTTCCTCTGGCTTCTCAGCTGCTTACCTTGCCCTTTGCCCTTCTGTGTTCACAGTGGGAAGCCGACAAAAGGGAGAGCACCCGATCCGAGTGGCTGGCAAAGAGAAATGTGTGTACTTCTTCTGGCAAGGCCGGCACTCCACTGTGAGTGAGAAGGGAACGTCAGCTCTGATGACCGTGGAGTTGGATGAGGAAAGAGGGGCTCAAGTAAGTCCAGGGCCTGGCCTGGTCCCTGATTCTAAGGAACAAAGATAGTATCATCCAGAGCCCCTGTGGTCCTGGTCCTGCGGGTTTCAGGCTCTGTCTCCTATCTTACACACAACCATCCATCCATTGCAATGATGAGCCACAAAGCAGGTGCAAATGGCAAATGGCCTGTGTTTCTGATAGGTCTCCACTTAACAGGCATTCAAGGAATTACACACAAAGCACAGTGATATCACTTGTAAAATTGGTACCGTTTGTTTGGCTTTTTTTGTTTTAGTTTTTGTTTTCGTTTTGTCAGTTGTGGGGCTTGAACTCTGGGCCTGGGCGCTGTCCCTCAGCTCTTCTGCTCAAGGCAAGTGCTCTACCACTTGAGCCACAGTGCCACTTCGGTTTCTGGTGGTTAATTGGAGATAAGAGTCTCATGGGCTTTTCTGCCTGGGCTGGCTTTGAACTGCGATCCTCAGATCTCAGCCTCCTGAATAGCTAAGATTATAGGCGTGAGCCACCAATGCCCAGCTTGATAGAGATTTTCAAACTAAAAGGTCCTGAGTTGTCAAGGACCTAGCAGGATGGGCACCCTCACACCACATGCTTCCCATGAATATAAGCAGAACAGCCATGCTGAAGTACCTTAACAGCACTATCAGGACTTAGAGTTCCACTTATACAAGTTTACCTGAAGTTACTATCACAGATGGAAATAGAGACAAATCAGCAATATTCTGATGGATTGGAAAACCAGTCTGTATGACTTTTCTAGAATATGGGAGATCATGTCACCTCTCATTCAATACCATACTCTGTAATCTAAGGAAACTCCAGTGGCCCCTTCACAGATGGCCATCCACACTGCTCCATCTTCCTCTTCTTCCTGCTACTACCCAGCCTGCTCTTGGCCCCGTGCAATGGCTCTCCTGGCACTTCAGGCCCTGTGTGACATTCTACCTTGAGAATATTTTCTGATGTACAGAGGTGCAGAGGTATATAGCTCTCAGCCTCTTAAGGTGTTCTGTTCAAGTGTCACACCCCCATTTCATCCAGTTTCTCCTCTTTTCCTCTCACTCTGTTCCTTTCCTACATTCTATGTTTTCACAGCACTTTCCAGCACCTAAAATTACATAATACTATTATTATCCACCCTCCTAACAAGCAAGAAAGAAATTATGGCTCTCTTGGTCTTATAGTTCCAGAGCCTATGCAATGCTTGGCAGCTATTTCAAAGTTTTTTCTAAACATTTCTTTTTTAATTTTTGGATACCTTATAACACATGTTCCATCTGCTAGCACCAGTTCTCAGGAGTTGACTCTAGACTGCCTGGAAACCATGACACCACTATGAGCAGATATATTTTACTTCCTTAGATGAGAGTTGGCCTTCTTGGATGAGGGAGGAGAACAAAGAAGATTTTTCTAGAAAGAGAGCCACATTTATTCAGTCTTCTTGTTTTCACAACTAATCATCTTCCCTTAAAAAGATGATAATACATATTTTTTACCTAGATCATATTTTAGAAATAGTTGCTAGCAATAGTTGCATTTTTGTTTATTCCTACTAGTTGGTAATTTCCGCCGTCTCTGGGTATATATGAAGGCTGTATGTGAATGGGTTTTAATCAGGCCTTCACAAGTACCCTTACCCAGGCTCCTGTGGCTCATACCTGTAATCCTAGCTACTCTAAAGGCTGAAATCTGAGGATCAAGGTTTGAAGCCAACCTGGGAAGTGAAGTCTATAAGACACTTTTCTCTAGTTAACCACCAAAAAGCTGGAAGAGGGGCTGTGGGACAAGTGGTAGAACACTAGCCTTGAGGGGAAATAAAAGGGATAATGCTCAGGCCTTGAGTTTAGTCCCCAGGACTGGCATCAAAAAAAAAAAATAGGAAAAGAAAAAAGCATCCTTAGAGTTTGGAATCTTCATTTCTCTGCCTTGAGCATTTCATTTTTTGTTGCTTCAATGAATGGAAAATCATGGTAGAACAAGAAACACGCTACAAAATGGCACATGGTTATACAAAACATGCCCTGGGGTAGGTAAGTTGGTACATGATGAGAAATTCTGCTTACCTTTCTCTTCACCAACTGCCAGCTCAACACATCATCTGCTCGTGGAGGGAAAACTTCCTGTCAAAGCTGACTCAGCTCTAATGTTCCTCAGCTCCCTGAGAAAGGGAGTGTGTGAACGGGGAAGGCAGTGAGAGGCACACTGCCCTGTAAGCAGAGTGCTAGAAGGAGGTGTATTAGCTTTCTGTTGCTGTAACAGAACTCCAAGACAATCAGCTTAAAAAGAGAGGTTTATTTTGGTTCATGGTTTCAAAGGTTCTGCTCCATCATTGGTTGGCTGAGTTGCTTTTAGGTCTGAGGTAAGGAGTCACGTCATGGCAGGAGCACAGGGATGAACAAAACTGCTTACCTCATGACGGGAAGTAAAAGAAAGAAAGGAAGGAGCTGGGGGCTGGCCCTCCCTACCAGGGCATGCCCTGTTTGACCTAGAGACCTCCTCCTAGCTCCACCTCTTAAAGGTTCCACAGCTACCCCATAACATCTTGCAAGGCACTGAGCCTTTGGAGGACATTTAAGATTAAAATTATAAAGTACACTTCCCCAGAGTTCCTAAGGAGACAGCGATTAGCCATTCTCACTACTGAGTGGTGTGCCTTCTTTAAAATTGTCTTTAATCATGTTACATGCATTCCCCAGAAAAATGTGTGTGTGTGTGTGTATGTGTGTGTGTGTGTGTGTGTGTGTGTGTGTGTGTGTGTGTGTGTGTGTGCGCACATATGCTGGGGCTTGAACTTTGGGCCTTGCAGCATTCTTGCTCAGCTTTTTTGCTCAAGACTGGACCACTTCCACTTGAGCCACAGCTCCACAGCTAGCTTTTTGCTGGCTAATTGGAGGTAAGAGCCTTGTGGATTTATCTGTCCAAGCTGACTTCCAACTGGGATCCTTAGGTCTCAGCCCCCTAAGTAACTAAGATTATAGTCACGAGCTACTAGAGCCTATTAAAATACAAAAATGTCTGAGAAGAATATTCAGTGGCAGAATAATAATATATGATGAAAATACAGAAAAGGCAACAGAAAATAACACTCCTACTTTCACCAAGGATTAAGTATCTATCTGAAAAATGAGACTACACACGTGAATTTTATTGGTGCTTGTTTAGTTCATAGTATTACCACTGGCTTTTGTGCATATGCCTAGGTAGATTTCAGGTTTGCTACAACAAACAGTATTGTTTCCATGACCTAGAAGCCCATACCCCTGATCTGTCTTCATGTGTTTAAACTTGAAGGTCCAGGTTCTGCAGGGAAAGGAGCCCCCCTGTTTCCTGCAGTGTTTCCAGGGTGGAATGGTTGTGCACTCTGGGCGGCGAGAAGAGGAAGAAGAAAATGTGCAGAGTAAGTCACTTTTTATTTTGTTTTGTTTGTGGTGCTGGAGGTCAAACCTACAGCTTCATTCATGCTTTGCAAGCATTCTACCACTGAGCTACATCCCCCAGGCCCACTGAGTCAATTTACTGGAATTCTTTGTGTGCATTTATGAGTGTGTTGTCTGTGTGTGTGCATGCACATGTGGGGGGGGGGCAGAGACAGAGACAGAGAGAGAAAGAGTTAGTACTGGAGCTTGAGAGAGAGAGACAGAGACCGAGAGAAAGAAAAAGAAAGAGAGAGAAGAGAGGAGAGAAAGAGTTGGTACTGGAGGCTGAGTTCAGGGTTGGTTCCCTAGCTTTATCCCTCAAGGCTGGTTCTACCACTTGAGCCACAGCTCCACCTCTGGCTTTTGGGGAGATTCATTAGAGATCAGAATCTCTTAGACTCACCTGTCTAGGCTGGCTTTGATTGTTAGTTCTCAGCCTCCTGAATAGCTGGGATTACAGGTGTGACCCACCAGCACCTGGCTCCTGGAATTTTTTTTTTTAATTTTTTTCCTGGGATAGGTATTGTTACAAGTAAGAGGATTTACAGTAACTCTATCTACACCTGCTGTGGTTTGCCATGAAAGGGGGCTAATGTTTTCCTGAGAAATCAGCTTTACAGGGAGTGCATAACTTCTTCCCCATCCAGCAAAATTTCCTTTGGATCCACCTTTGCATGTAGAGTACTAGAAGGCTCCTTCATCTTGCAGAGAATCCTGGCCATGGCTCTGGCTATGCTTTTTTAGAAAATATAAGAAAAAATATGGATCATCTATTATAAGTTATTTCCTTTTATTAGCTAACAGCTGAAAAGACTTTAGAGCCTTAGGACTAACTATAAATTTTGTGCCAGGTGCCAGTGGCACACACCTATAATCCTAGCTGCTCAGAAGGCTGTGATCTGAGGATCACAGTTCAAAGCCAACCCAAACAGGAAAGTTCATGAGACTTTCACCCACCAATTTCCCCTACTCCTCCTGGCCAAAAAAAAAGAGCTGTAAGTGGAATTCTGGTTCAAGTGGTAGAGCCCTGGCCGTAAGCAAAAGAAGTTTAGGGACAGTATCATGGCCCTGTGCATCATGAACTTTTGGCACCCCGGTTCTAACTCCAGAGAGACTTGCTTTCTGGGAGGAGCAAATGCTCCTGACTTGAGGCTTTAGCTCGGGGGTCTCTGTGGTCTCTTTTAGTCTGATGGGCCATGGCTACCACTGACTGTCCAGGATCCTCCCCACCCTCCAAGGGCAGCTCTTCCTGCCCCTGACTCAGGTCCTAACTCTGTGCTGCTGCTGCCCCCTGCAGGCGAGTGGAGGCTGTACTGCGTTCGGGGCGAGGTGCCCATGGAGGGGAATTTGCTGGAGGTGGCCTGCCACTGCAGCAGCCTGAGGTCCAGGACTTCAATGGTGGTCCTCAACGTGAACAAGGCCCTCATTTACCTGTGGCACGGATGCAAAGCCCAAGCCCACACGAAGGAGGTTGGGAGGACCGCAGCAAATAAGATCAAGGAACAGTGAGTGCTATGCCTATGTCTATGGCAGGCTTTCCAGGAAGGGTGTAAAAGGCTAAAGCAAGAGGACTGCATGGCACCCAGTGTGCTTACAGTGACTTCAGCAAGGGATGGTGGTGGATGTAGGTCAGGGTCTCTGCCATTCCACCTAGCATGCATCTTAGCCAAGACCTCTAGATGTCTGCTTTCTGAGAAAAAGACATTGAGCCAGTTGTGATAATGCATGCCTGCAGTCACCCGAGCTTTACTCAGGAAGCTGAAGCAGGAGGATTATGTGAGCCCAGGAGATAGAAGCCAGCCTAGACAATATACTAAGACCTTCATCTTTCAAAAGTAAAATAAAAATTAAAAAGGCAATTTGTATCATGTCTATAATCCCAGCTACCTGGGAGGCAGAGATCAGAGGATCAGAGCTCAAGGTAAGCCTGGATGGAAAAGTTAATAGGACCCTATCTCAAAGATCAAACTAGGCAGGGTCGTGTGTGTGTGTCTATTATCCCAGCTATGCAGGAGGTAGAAGTGGAAGAACTGTGGTCCCTCGGCCAGCCCAGGTACAAAGTGAAGGTCCTAGGCTGGAGCTGCTCTCCTGGTTTCTCACTCAGACCAGTGAGAGCAAAGAAAACAGCAAAGTACTCACTCACAATTTATTCAACAAGTGTATTTATTAAACACCTACCTCGAGCCAAGCATAGACACAGGGCAGAGGGACTCAACAGTGAATAAACCAAGTCTTTCTCCCTGTGAAGTTCATGGTCTAGCAGAAAAGAAGGCGTAAAAGATATTGTGCTATGTATAAGATAGATGCCGTTGTACATTCATCCCTGGAAACAGGCCAAACCCTTTCTTCCAGCACTGGGGCTTATAAATTACAGAATGTCTTCACTGGCTAGGAAAAATTGCTCTGCATCAGAAAAGAGAGGAATTGGGGGTGATCCAGAGATTCCGCTTTGAATGCTTAACACTTTCTGTGCTCCTCCCATGCAGGTGTCCCCTGGAGGCAGGTTTGCACAGCAGTAGCAACGTGACGATACATGAGTGTGATGAAGGATCTGAGCCCCTGGGGTTCTGGGAGGCCTTAGGAAGGAGAGACAGGAAAGCATACGATTGCATGCTTCAAGGTAATACCATAATCCATAGCCTTCCACCTGCGCAAAGCATTCACTCGCTAATTTATCTATTATTCAGCATGTGCTACATATATCACACAATGAACTAAACCAAGGGTAGGGCATCAAAAGTCTCCAAATGCAATGAGGAAGCCAAATATTCTATTGAGTGTATTAAGTAAGTGGCAGCACTAAGGAAGAAGATTGAGCATAGGAAGAGGATTTGTTGTATTATTCCACCAGGAAAAGGTATACATGGCTCTATGAAAAAGATCATATTTGCACAGGGCTTTGGAAGTTGGTATGACTTCAAAGGAGAGAATGAACAATAACAGAACCTGTGGAATCATGGGCTAGTCAGCTTGGCTAGTAGCCAGTGGACAGGCCAGCACGAACAAATCAAAGCCAGGTTACAGAGGGCCTGGAACTCAAGGCCAGAAGTCTTGGACCCTATCGAGGGCTCTGCCATTCACAGAAGTCACAGGAGGAAGGGGCCAGTAAACACTAGTAAATTCTTCATGAATGAGGAGCTCATGAAAATTGCCAGTGGCCTGTGAACTTGGAATATAAAATTCACAGATAAGAGTACAGGGATGGTCACTGAGTGCCATTACTATGAATCTGCTGAGAGGTGGCAGTTGAAGTTGGTAGACCTGTGCTTGAAGCTGTAGCTCTTAACCTTTCTGGGACTTGTAGGTCCCTGAGAGAAAGTGAGGGACAGTCCATAGAAAGGGGCAGAAGTACAAAGCTCATGCCTGTAATCCTGACTACTCTGGAGGCTGAGATCAAGAGATTCAGAGTTTGAGGACAGCCTGGACAGAAAAGTTTGCCAGACTCCCATCTCAAAATAACCAGCAAAAAAGCTAAGCTGGAGGCATGGCTAAAGTGTAGAGAGCCAGCCATGCAGTCAAGCCAAATGAACATGAGGCCCTAAGTTCAAACCCCCAGTATGAAGTAAATAAATGAATGCAACCCAGTGTTATATTATCTGCTCACTCACTTTATTATGACTAAAAGCCCAAGTCGTTAATATTTAGACCCTGAGTGGTTGCTGACATTCCTTGAATACATGTTGTCTGCTAGCAAACAGGCTTCATAATAGTTGGGAGTGGAATAATTTCCATAATGATGCAATATGAATAACAAAATAATCACATTTATTCCTAATTAGGGTAGATTTTTAGATATCAAACTTCTGTGCTAAAGTTTTGTGTGTTTCAGCATGTGTCCTCAGAGCATTTCTGCTAAGTGTTATTCCTACCAGCTATGAATGAAACTACATTCCCAACATGGCCACAAATGTATTCACCTTTTGCTAATAATCAATAAATAAATTGGGAAAAGGAAATAACTAAGCATTGTTATAATATCGCTTGTTAATTATATGTACTAGGAAATACTTTGTATGTGTGTATCTATGTGTATATGACTGCATACATGTGTGTGCAAATGTATGCACATATACTTTTTTTGAGGGGGGTCCGGTTGTGAACTCTGGGCCTGGGCACTGTCCCTCAGCTCTTCAGCTCGAGGCTAGCACTCTACCACTTGAGCCACAGCACTACTTCTGGCTGTTTTCTTTTTGCTTATGTGGTGCTAAGGAATCAAACCCAGGGCCTCAGGCATGCAAGGCAAGCGCTCTACCACTGAGCCACCTTCCCAGCCCGCACATATACATTTTTAGCCACTGGTATTTCAGCGTTGATGAATATTTTATTTGTTCCCTTTGAACATTTTATTGAGGTATTTTGAGGTATTTTTCTTTTCCTTATATACCTTCAGCTATTAACTAATTTCTAATAGTACAGCTTTTAACTAATGTCTAATAGTAGAGCTATTAACTAATTTCTATTTTACAATTGTTCCCCATTTTGTTTCTTGATTTTCCACTATTGACGTTTTTTGTACTGTGATTTTTTATTTTTCATAATTAATGCCTAAGTCTTTTCTCTCCTGATTACTTCTTTTATCATTGCAATGATACAAGCTTTCCCCTGTGTGGAGATGTAATAATAAAATTCCCCCCAAACCCTCCCTGTATAACTGCTGTAAGTCCTGCAGCTCAGTGGTTGAGCACTTGACTCACATGCACAAGGTACTGGGTTCCATCCCCAGCACTGCTAAAAAAAAATAATAATAATGCTTTCCCCATCTACACTTACATGAATCCTAGCCATGTTTCCCTGACCTTGTGAATTAGGCCCTATTTTCCCCTTGGCCCATCTGGCATATGATCATCTGTTGTCTTCAGCCTTGTTTTCTTTTCTCTCTCAGATCCTGGCAGTTTTAACTTCGCACCCCGCCTGTTCATCCTCAGCAGCTCATCTGGGGATTTCTCAGCCACGGAATTTGTGTACCCTGCCCGAGCTCCCTCTGTGGTCAGCTCTATGCCCTTCCTGCAGGAGGACCTGTACAGTGCACCACAGCCAGGTGAGGCCTGCGAGGCCTGCAGGGGCCCAGCTTGGCCTGAGCACCTCCCCTGTAGTCTGTGTACATTAGTAGTCACTGCAGAGCATTGGCCCATTACATCATTCCACCCTCCATGTACCGAAAAGGGAAAGAGTATGAAGTCATATTTTATAGTTTCAGGCCATGAGGCTCAGTTACTTCCTGCGCCCATAGACCACATTAGTATGGTGAGAACACCAACATCAGAATGGACCTTGGCTCCGCTGCTAGGCTTCCCCTCAGACCTCATAATCCTCAGCCAGCTGCCCTTGCTCTAGCTGCCATGATTGCATTTGAAACATAAAAGAAAAAAACAAAATGGAACTGGATAACTTGAGAAGGGTAAGGCTGGGGGAGCAGGGAGAATGGGGAGAATGATAGAAGGGGTGACATTGATTGAGACGCTGCACTCATAAATTGATATGTTGAATTGAAAGCCCTTGTACAACTACTTGAAGGTGATTTTTTTTTAAATGAGAGGATAGGAGAGAGAGACTGTGTTGTCCAGGGATCTTCTGATTATCAGATAAAGCAGGAACTTTCCCAGAAGCCCTAGTAGACCTCTGTTTATGTCCCATCTACCAGAGTTTGTCACATGGCCACCCCAGCTGCAAAAGCGAATGGCTAAGGAGTAGGGATGGGACATTTTCTGAGTTAGCCAGAGAGGTGTTAGCCCAAGACTGCTAAATTCAAGGTCAGGGATGTTTCTACCAGGCTGTCACCTCAAAGCTGAAGCCTCTGGGCTATCACTCTAGTTGGGACACTCACTGAAGAGTGGGCTTTGTAGATACTCCTCCTTCCTGCCTATCAAGCTGGAGGCCATCTGTGCCTGAGCTCCTGATAGTCTCTTGTCAGATACCTCCAGCTTAGAGATAGAGCCCAGGTCACCAACAAAGCTTGACCCGCTGCACATGTCATGCATGGGTGACATTAGTGTCCAGAGGGGTGGTTGCTGTCATCCTGTACCTGGGACTCAGATGGATGATCAACTTTCGCTGGGCAATTCAAGTGTGTGTGGTTTTCCCAGAACCCCACAATGTACTCTAGGAAAGGATTCAAGCCAGTCAAGTTAGTGGAATGTGTCAGAATTGAGACTGGCAGAGAAGAGGAGGAGGTGGAGATGGAACATTTACTCTTTCAAAGCCCATTTCTGTGTCAGAGAACTGAGGACTTTATCAGTGTTCAGTAGTCAGGTGTGGACACAAATGTCACTGAGCTGAGGACAGGCAAGATGTGCTCCAAGTTTCCATGATGCTCTTTGGAGACTGGTGGTGACAAACAGCCCCTTGACACTTGGCACAGGCCTAGACACAGCTAAGAAGGCCTGAGCATGAGCTGGGGAAAAGAAGGAGGATTTGAGAAGAAAGAAGATGAGAAAGATCCTTGTACCTCTGCTCTCTATACGTAGGGGGCTTTTCTAATATTAACTTCCAAAGGGCTGGGGCCTCCCAGTGTCCCCTTCATCCTCAGGGAGGCTCAGAGAGATGTCCCTATCTGAGGGGGTGGGGCCTTTCCTTATGTCTGGGGCAGAGCATGTTAGAAGCAGCCACAAAGGAGCTCCTGATGGTCTGGCTCTGTCCTCCCCTCAGCGCTTTTCCTGGTTGACAATCACCATGAGGTATACCTCTGGCAAGGCTGGTGGCCCATCGAGAACAAGATCACCGGCTCTGCCCGCATCCGCTGGGCCTCTGACCGGAAGAGTGCAATGGAGACTGTCCTGCAGTACTGCCGAGGTAAGGGGAGGTTCAGAACCAGGGAGGAGCAGCCAGAGGCCCAGACCCACATTTCCCGCACATGCCCACCAGCATGGCATAGCCTGGCAGATAGCAATGAAGCCAGTGTCCATTCTAAGCATTTGAGACATATTACTTTTAAGATCCATGTATTCTCATCTGCCAGCGCAAGTGAGAATTCATTTTTCTCATTCGTATGATGAGACCATGTAACTTGTGTGAGAAGTTTGGGTTTTACGTAGGAATAAGGACACCAACTCGAAAGGAACGCGGCAAGGCAAAGTTTACTTCTGCAGAAGGGTGCACCATCAACCTAAACCAAGCACACAGCAGGCAAGCTGCTCCCTTTTTATCTCTAACCCAGCCAGGCCCCTCGGCTGCTCACATTTGCTGAGCTCAGTTCACAATCTGCAAAAGGATGTGGCTTAACAGGATATACCTAGAATCCAAGGAGCCTCTAACAGGATGTCTTAATTAAAGCGCAGCAAGAAAAGGATGTAAATGTAATCAACAAAGGTCAAGCTGCCTGACCTAAGCAGAAACTTTTCAGAAAAACAATTCTCACAAGATCGACAGAAAGGAAGCAGTCCACCTTGACAGGAAAGATGCTTTTCTCACACTTGGTACCCTAAGGGTGCATTACGGAACACACAGGACAGACAAAAACCCTGTTGCATTTGGGATTTACTTGTGCTGCTAGACATGTGAGCCTCTATGAGGCATGTTCTGTGTAAAGCAGCGTCTTTGGAAAACAGAAATCTTCCCCAGAAAAAAACTGTCAAAAAGTCACTGTCCACCATTTCAGCATTCCTTATTATTTTTACTATGCCTTTTTTTAAAAAGGATTTCTAGTAACCCAGGCGTAGTGGTTTATGCCGTAATTCCAGCTGCTTGGGAGCTGGAGGGTGGAGGATCTTGTTTAAGGAGGAAAAGCTTGAGATCCTGTCTAGAATCAAAAACAAAAGGGCAGTTGTATCAGGTACAGCAACCTGCCTTGAAAGCCTAAGGCCCTGAACTCAATCCTCAGGGGAGAATCCTGGGGGGAAAGAAAGTAGCAAATGCATGGGGTATTTTTTCCCATACCTTCCACATGAAATATGTAATCTTTTGGATAAAATTAAGGAGCCAGTGGGGCTGGGAAGGTGGCTCAGTGGTAGAGCGCTTGTCTTGCATGCATGAGGCCCTGGGTTCGATTCCTCAGCCCCACATAAGCAAAAAAAGGAAAAAAAAAAGCCAGAAGTAGCCCACGACCAGACCAAAAAAAATTAAGGAGCCAGTAATGAATGCTTTATCTGAATGTTTCTGGTTTTGTTGATTATCTTCACATCACTGAATGTGTGCAGTTGTTTACTTTTTTATCTTGAAAAGCCTTTGTAGTAGATTCCTAAACTTTCCACCAAATATGGAAGCTTCAGTGCTTATAAAAGACACTTCCATGACCCATCTAATGCGATTGAAGTTATTCTGTGTTACAAGGTGAAAGGAAACCTGCACAGGTAACTGACAGGAAGAGCTCCAGATAGCAGCCATGGCCACCCAAGGATCCAGAAGCATTGTGTTAGTCTCAGGACAAAGACGTCATGTCTTCATGGCACTCTGTCATCAAGGACATCAGATTCACATTTTACATTATTTTCATCCATGTGTTGTTATCCACTACTTTTAATTGTCATTTTAAACTTGAAACTAGGAGTTGTGACCAAAGAAGACAAGGTTCCAAGGGAAGTCAAAGGAAAGACAGGGTTCTTGTGCCCCCTGACATTGTTTGCATTCCTTGTCACCACAGGAAAGAACCTCAAGAAGCCACCTCCCAAGTCTTACCTCATCCATGCTGGTCTCGAGCCCCTGACGTTCACCAACATGTTTCCCTGCTGGGAGCACAGGGAAGACATTGCTGAGGTCACGGAAATGGTAAGCGCGTGTCTGCACATTGCACTGTTCAGGCAGGATGCTCAGTAGGGCAAGGTATCCAGTCTATAGTTCATAGCACTCTCAAGAGAAAAAGAGAAAGGAAGGAAGGAAGGAGGGAGGGAGGGAGAGAGGGAGGGAAGGGAGAGAAAGAAAGGAAAGAAGAAAGAAAGAAAGAAGAGAGGGGGAGGAAGGGAGGGAAAGAAGGAAGAGAAGAAGGAAGGAGAGAGAGGGAGGAAGGAAAGAAGGAGCAAGAGAGGGAAGGAAGGGAAGGAAGGAAGGAAGAAAGGAAGGAAGGAAGGAAGGAAAGAACTAGTTTAGGAAGAGGAGAAATCTAACAGGAAGTCAGTTGGACTTTTCTGGTAGTTTTCTATACATAGAACTCAGACTTCCTTAAATACTTATAAGTGGAGGTGTATTTATTTATTTTGAAGAGCATAAATAAAAACTGCAGTCCTGGCTGGGAAGGTGGCTCAGTGGTAGAGCGTTTGCCTTGCATGCCTGAGGCCCTGGGTTCGATTCCTCAGCACCACATAAGCAAAAAGAAAAAAGCCGGAAGTGGCGCTGTGGCTCAAGTGGTAGAGTGCTAGCCTTGAGCTAAAGAGCTGAGGGACAGCGCCCAGGCCCAGAGTTCAGGCCCCATGACCAGACCCAAAAATAATAATAATAATAATAAAACTGCAGTCTTTTCATTCTGTTGCTTCTCAAAGTCTACAAAATATATGTTTCAGAGGTTAGCCTCAGGTAAAAAAGACACAAGACAAGCCTTGATCTGAGGTGTGTTCAGATCATTAGACCTGGGGTATGATGATGTACTCATGGCCAGGTGTTACTCAAAGTTTCCTTAATATTGTCTTTTGAGCCTGGTACCAATGGCTCATGCCTATAATCCTATCTACTCTGGAGGCTGAGATCTGAGGATTGAATGCAGCCAGGGCAGGAAAGTCTGTGAGATTCCTATCTCCAGATAACTACCAAAAAGCCAGAGGCAGAACTGTGGCTCATAGAGTGCTAGTGTTGAGCAAAAAAACAGTTTTAGGACAGTGTCCAGGCCCAGAGTTCAAGCCCTAGGACTGGGACTTAGAAAATTGTGTTTTATGTGTCCATCTGATATTAAATGAGGCATTCATTATAACGTCTACCTACCAGAATATTATTATCTAGAATTTTTATTTTGGTGGTACTGGGAATTGAATTCAGGGCCCGTTGCCTACTAGGCAGGTGCCCTACAGGTTAGCCATACCTGCCAACCTGTCTTTGTGTAGCCACGGGTTTTGATCTCCACAGGGAAGAGCCAACCTCAGCCTGATTTCTGATAGAAAGGAACATGTTATAGAAGTTAATGAATATGAGCAAACCATCCCAAAGGCTCCAGGGATTGCCAACACCTTACCAACTTCATGCAGTCTAAACACAGGATGGAAATCACCATCATATTTCTGCATCCACTGTAGATCACTGGATGTCAGCAGGAGCTGCATGATATTGTACCAGCCTGTGGGATTTCAGCCAGGAGGAAGCGGGCTTCCCCCGCAGCATGCCATACTAATTAATTAAGATTTACTAAGTGCTTGTCCTGACTGGGCACCACTCCAAACACTTTACATTCATTTTCTTACTTAATTATCAGAACAGTCCATTAAGATTTGGCTTCTTATTATCCCAATTTTTCCAGCATAGGCGTAGAGACACAAAATCTGGAGTTACTCGTCCTGTGTCCCCAAGCATCAGGAAAGGAACCAGCCATGGGCACAGGCAGGCTCACTCTAAAACACACCTCAAAAATCCCTCCACGGGCCAGTTCCATGTGTTGCTGACTTTACCAACAGTGTTTAGTCACCCTTTCCGCCCATCCAGCCATCCAGCCACCCAAAAGGAGGGCAACCCATGTGGGATCCAAGTTTAATGGAGGAAGATAATTTCCACTGAATAATCTTAATGTACACAGTTGTTTTGGAAGGAAAAAAAGGAGGAGTAGGGAAGGGAGGGAGGAAGGGAGGGTTGATTCATGAACATATTGAGCAAGTTCTCTTCTGCTAAGCCACATCCCCAGCCTTATTTTTCTATTGTGGATCAAGAACTGATCCCTGGGGCAGAAACAGATGATAGCTTTTAAGGATGTGGAGATCACCATTAGAGGCCAGCCTGGACAAAAGCATGAGACCCTATCTGAAAAATAAACTAAAATCAGCAGGACTGAGTCTTTGGCTCAAGTTGTAGAGTACTTACAAACACAAGAGCCTGACTTCAGTTTCCAGACAGGATATGTGAGAGAGAGAGAGAGACAGAGATAAACACAGAAACAAAGACAGGGAGACAGACAGAGAAAGAGAAAAAAGCACAAATGCCATTTATGTGTAAGCTTCTAAGTATTTAGGCTGTGAATCCAATCATTTTATTCTTTAATCACTTATGAGAATGTGAATTTTTTTTGGAGGCAGTCCTGTTACAGTATTTATCTGAAACTTGGCAGTTGGATGAGAAAACATAAAAGCCAGGATGTGATCCTTTATATTCCAGGCCCTGGTCCCTCCCTTCGCAGTGAAATGAAGCTATGAACCTGCCTCTCTCAGGCTGTGGCACAGATAGGCAGGGCTGCATGTTCACTAGCACGTGATCAAATGTGGCACACACCAAGCTCTCTCTGCCTCTCCTGTCTAGGACACGGAGGTTTCCAATCAGATCACCCTTGTGGAAGATGTCTTGGCCACACTCTGTAAAACCATCTACCCACTGGCTGATCTCCTAGCCAGGCCACTCCCAGAAGGAGTGGATCCTCTAAAGCTGGAGATTTATCTCACTGATGAAGACTTCGAGGTGAGTGGTCTTTGGTTGGGATGTTACTTAAGCAGCACCCAGAGTCTCAGCATCCTCTCACACAGTGGGCATTTCTTGTTTCCTCCAGTTTGCTCTAGATATGACAAGAGATGAATACAGCGCACTGCCCACCTGGAAACAGGTGAATCTGAAGAAAGCAAAAGGCCTGTTCTGAGTGCCACAGATGCCGGAGGAGCCTCATGGTCACCTTCAACCATAGCACCCCAAAAATGGATACTTTTTTCAGACTGATTTTTTTTTATTATTTTGAAATCAGAGGGTTTTTTTAAAACCCCAAACCTGATCTTATTAACGATACCGCTTGTCCTGGAGTTGTGTATTTTGTAAATGTTTTAAGAGAACTCTTTGGAAATGTGCTTTCCGCAATTCAGCAGGTGATGTCAATTAAAGCATTTCTCCGTGCACTTGACCGGTGATTTAGAGCCACAGCTCTGCCCTCTTCCTTTGACTACACATGGCCGACTCTCTTTTTGTAGCAGTTCTCTTTATAAAAGTGTTATTTTGATAGTTTGTGGATTCTAAAATATATATATTTATATAAACACCATATAAATCAAATATGTATTTAAAAAAGCAATATGTATTCATTCACTTTTAATTTCTTTTTTTGATGTCAAAATATTACTGCAAGATAGCTGAAATTGCTTCTGTTGGCTTCAGTCTGCCACCCGTCTGTATCCTCACCTATTCAGAAGCATTTCCTGTCACATTAGATCTGACTTGTTTTGAGTACTGCTTCCGGTGCTAAAAATGAACAGAAAAAAAAATGTACTGAATGGCATGGACTCCGAAGAATCTATGCAAATCTACCTTTAATATCTCCCCAGAAATATATAGTGCCTTGTTTCGATGTACAGTTTATATACAGAAAAGTTTGCTCTGCCTTTTTGATGATGGTTTTAAATGTTATCTACAGTTTTACTCTCAAATAGTAGAAAGAAAAACATCTCAATTTCTAATACCCATTGTAAACATTACACAGTGTCATTTTGTGACATAAGGACCCCTCCAAAAAAAAATAAAAACTTCAGAATAATCACAATTAATTGATTGGTTTACATTGACTTCCAAGCAGGTTCCTTTGTGTGGGGCAAGAAGAGTCATAATTGTCAATCGAGTAACAATGTTTTGCCATTAAATATTAACTGCTATAAATCTGAATCTCACTTAGGGCAAGATTTTATATACATAGCATCATAGGATTAAGAAGTCAGATATTTGACCTCTGAGTACTATAATGAGGACATGTTTTTAAGATCATTATTCACCACAAGCTTTTAATCCTCTAGCTGTTTCCAACATTTGATTTCAGGATGGGTATCTAAGATATACAGAAAATGAGTTAGAAATTTCCTCATATGTTCTGAAAAGTCCAAAGCTAGGGCTAGGGGTATAGCTCAATGGTATAGCTCTTGCCTTGACTCCCAACCCCACCAAAAAATAAAAAGCTGGGCTTGGTGGTACTTGGAGACAGACATAGGAGGATTGAGATCATTTTTTCATCTGGGCAAAAGTGAGAGACCATATCTGGGATCGGGGCTGGAAGGGAGAGTTTAAAATAAAAGGCTCAAATGTGTCTCGAGTGGTAGAACACTTGCCTGGCAAGCACAAGGCCCTGAGTTCAGTCCCCTGGACCACACAAACATAACAAAAACACCCAAAGGCATGGTGTTGATCTACAGCTGGGCTATGAGCAGTTGCAGCCCCTCTCCTTGCCCTTTTTGTCCAGGTTTTAATAAGTCTGGTAATCACACAGCTACCTTGAACTTCGCATGCTCCACCCTGGGACAACAGCCTGGACATTCCACTTCCCGATTGTGCGGTTTGGGCCAGTCACTGCAAGTCCTTGCCTTGGTTTCCTTAAGAAAGGAGACAATAGCGTGTCATCCTGCCAGCATCACAAGACTCTTAGTAAGGATCAAGCGAGAAATTGTTTTACATTGTCATGGTGCTACGTACCTACTGGCATCTGGGCTCTTGCAATGGTGGCTGAAACCAGAAAGTAAGATCGTTACTAGGCGCTACTTAGGAATTTCAGACTAAATAAAAAGAAGTACAAGGGAAAGGAGAGAGGGTTCTGAATGGTGTTACCCCATAGGTACAATCCACAGGAGTGGAGAAAGGGTTTTATAGCCAGCAGAGCAAGCTGAGGAGCAGCTGGAGGGAGCATTTCCCAGGGAAAGGAGGGCAGGCTCTGGGGGCTCCGTGGCTCCTACTGCCAGCCCTGATGCTGTCCGCTGTGGAGCTTGAGCAGGTTCCTGATCTTTCTGTGCCTCAGCTCCATTCGCACCTGTAAGACGGGCTCGTAATACCAATGCCTACCCCCCACACTGCAGAAGGTTGTGTGCAAAGCCCCTTGTTGCTATGCTGCCTAGTTGTTATTTAATAATACAGAGGGTGCAGTCTTAGAAATCCTTTGCCCACTAGAGCAGGACCATTTGGTATTACAGGTCATGAATGCTTCTACAGATAGCAGACATTCATGTTTCCAGAGGGCCCCAAGACTCCACTACCCAGAACTATCCAGTAGAGATAGAAGAGAACCCAGTATACAACTCAGCTCTAACACTTCTCCAAAATCTCAATCAACTCCATCTGCAGGATAACTCCACCATTGTGAGGAGGAGGAGCTGATGTGGTAGGTTCTCCCATTCCTGGTGAGACCCTCTGGAAGCTTCCTGAAAGATCAACCCTCTCTAGAAACTAGACAGAACAAGAGAGATGGGCCTTCTTTCTGCTGATGCCCTGCTATAGAAGGGTTTTACCCCTACTTACTTTAGAATCCAGATGATGTCAGCTGCCCTCTGGGCTTCTGTGTAGACAGAGCTACTCCAGTGTCCACAGCCAGTGCCACTTGGCTTTCACTGGGCAGCAGGGCAGAATGAGAAGATGGGCCACAGTGCCTTCTGTGATAGGGAGAACTTGAGCGCTAACTGAAAATGTGTGGGCTGCGGGGCGGGGGGGGGGGGGGGGCATTCCGAACCTGCATCCACCTTTCCAAAGGGAAGATGGGCATGTCTACATCTCTAGTCACTGGAAGGGGGAAGATGGTGGTGAAGGCTTGGTCCCAACCTTGTGGTACGATTGAGAAGGGATTGGGTGGTGAACATGTTTCCTTTATCAGTGGGTTAATCCACTGATGAGTTCATCCTGGGTTGGCCGTTAGGAGACAGAACATGGCTGAAGGAAGCAGTTCTCTGGAAATCCTCTTTCTCTTCCTCTCCCTCCTCCTCACCCCCCCACACATGTACTTGCTCTCTCTTTCTGTCTCTTTCTCTCCTTCTCTATCTTGGAGGTGAGTAGCTTTCCTCAGCCAGGCCTTTCCACCATCATGCTCTTCCTCACCATATACCTGAAACAACAGAATCAGGTGACCATGGACTGAAACCTCTCAAACCATGAGCCAAAATGCCCCCCAGGTTTCCTCTAGAATGTTGTCACAGAGATTAAGAACTGACTTATACAGCCTCACCCTGGCTGGGCGGGGTGGCAGGAGAGCCACCCGTGTGTAGTGTCTTCACAAAGCTATGCATAGTGGCTTTGCAATTCTCAGGGTCTCCATCAGACCCTGTCTCCCAAACACCCCCAAAAAGCACATAGACTAAAGAAAGACAGAGTACTTGCTATGTAAACAGACTCTAGAAACATTTCCAGCCAGTCCTAGAACAGAAAGCCATCCATTTCTGCTGGTATAGGTAAGACCTGTCATACTGGCGACTTGAGTCTTGGATTTCTTCATTAATACTAATTTTACTGACAGGGTTAGAGTGAAATGTTTGCTGTTAAATATCAAAATGTCCTGCTGACAGACTTATAGTATTTTGGAAATAGTAGCTGGAGAAGCCAAGACTCAGAGCTGGGCCTGGCCAGAGAAGGAAATATAGAAGTAACCCCAGAAAAAAGGGCATTAGTCACCCATCTGCCAAGGGACCAGCAGGTGGCACTGTGGCTCATCAACAAAAGGCAAGGCATCAACTCCTGTGTACGTCATCTGATCCACCCTTTCTGAAGACGCCAGCTGTTAAACAGGAGTGAGACAAGGCCTTCATATGACACTTGTTACTGACCCTAACACCTCTCTTTAGTGTGTTTCCTGTACAGAGGATTCTGCAATGCGCCATGTGCCAGAGGTAAAAACCATCCTACCACCTCCTCTTCTATCTTCCTCTCCTGGGCTCTGGCAATAGCCCTGGTAACAGGTGTCCAGAAGCCAGCATTCACCATGATGGAAGCTGGGACGATTAAATGAAACGTGCCTCAGGAACTAGGTTAGGGATCTTCCAGTCGCAGTTCATCTGGCTCTAAAGATTCCTCCATCCTAAAAGCATACTTTTTTTTTCACTTTTTCCCTCTTTCCCAGTTTGATTATCTTTAGAAAGAAGATGATGCAGCTGGATACAGGTGGCTCATGCCTATGATCCTAGCTACTCAGGAGGCTGAGATCTGAGGATGGTGGTCCCAAGCCAGCCAGGGCAGGAAAGTCTATGAGACACTTAAATCCAATTAACCACCAGAAAACTAAACATGGTGCTGTGGCTCAAATGGTAGAGCTGAAGAGTTCAGGGAAAGCGCCCAGGACCCGAGTTCAAGCTCCTATGGCCAACAAAGAAAGGAAAGGAAAGGAAAGGAGAGGAGAGGAAAGGAAAGGAAAGAAAGGAGGGAAGGAGGGAGGAAGGAAGGGGAGAAAAGAAAAAGAAAGAAAGAGAAAGAAAGAAAGAAAAAGAAAGAAAGAAAGGAAGGAAGGAAGGAAGGAAGGAAGGAAAGAAAAAGTGATGCCTTTGTTAGGCCCAATTAGTTCATCAGGCAAGCTCTCTACTGATGAAAAGTGCTGAATTCCATTTATCAAATACTTAATTAGCCTCACTTGGAAGCGATTCATAATCATTTCTTCAACTTGCTGAATAAGCAGAGAACATGGCATGATCAGACAATTTCAAATATAGATTTCCATAGAGGTTGTACCTGTCAAGATTGTGAGCACATTTCTGAATTAGCATTACAATTTCTCCCCCTGCTGCCCAGAGTCCCCTGCACTGGAGCCCCTTGGCCTGACCAGTTGGTTCTGTGCTCACCGGGCCTGGACAGAGGGTTAACCCTGTGAGTGGCTGCCACAACCAGGAAGGAGGGAGGGGGAGGGCGGAGGCAGGGAGGGCCTGAGAGCAGAATCTCACTTCCCAGCCCAGATCATCTCTCAGCTCAGCCAGCTCGTATTCTCTTTTCCACTGAGGCTACTTTCCTCACTTCCTGTAACTCACACTCCTGCACCCTTTCTGCCCTGGGAGTGCGGGGAATTAGGTCCCCTGAGAGACAGAGGCATTTTCAATGAAGGACACTCACCAACTCAGAGAGCAGGGTGACTCAGAGACATTTCCTGTGCTTCAAAGCACAGGCAGCAAATGTGGTCCCCTCTACTTTCAGATCTGAACTCCAAACCTACGTCACCCACCCGACCATTCTGCCAATAATTCATTAATCACTAACTATGGGTATGAAAATCACTATGCGTTAATCTGGTGGATGCACACAGTCCTTGGCATTCAGGACAAGGTATACTATTCAAAAAGTTCAAAAGCAAAGCCACGGGTGACACTGGTGGGTCACACCTCGGGAGGCTAAGATCTGAGGGTCACAGTTCTAAGCCAGTTAGGCAAAAAAAAGTCTGTAGATTCTTATCTCCAATTAACCAGTGTGTGTGTGTGAGTGAGAGAGAGAGAGAGAGAGAGAGAGAGAGAGAGAGAGAGAGAGAGTCACTATAATATAGTGAATCTGCAGCCTCATACATCTTTTTGCTACAACTCTTGATTACATCAAGGTCACATCAAGGAGTTGACCTCTACTGACTAGTTTTGCAGAAGCACACTGGCTCAAAAGCCATGAATTTGAACACTATTTGTTAGAGTACAAGGCTGCCTGCTGAGTGTGCAGTCTTGTCCCTGGACAGTTTAATGTCTTTGTCCATAACCCACCAAGTGAGATGCTGCTCATGGGTTTCGCACTCAAATTCAGGAGTGGAAGTCATGAAAGACAATGCCCGTACCTGCC